TGTTACATCTGTTGGAAATGTTTAGCCAACACCCAAAGTTGCTCCAAACTATTCTTGGGGAAGTCCGTTTTAAGAAGTTGCTGCCATCGTTGAACAGAATACGCAAATGATAGATTCTTGATCTTGGGTGCTTAAAATCACCCATATTGGCTGATTTATATACTCCTTGCAGACAGCTGGTCATTTGCATCCTTTTAGAGAGTCGTTGAGGCCACTTGGAGATTTATCTGTGCGCTTTTGGGACAGCCATGACCTGGATGACTGAGAATCTCCTTTGATATCTTGAGGTGGACATTTTTTAAGGCACTGTTATGTAGATCAGCTGGAAAATGGAAAGAAAAACCACAGCTTGAAAACCGGGCAATGTAGATGCTGGAATTGCTATTAAACTTCCTCATGTCCCAGTTAGTTGTACTGGCTCCTGGAGATGTCTAAGAATTGGAGTACAGTATTTTTCAGAGTATAAGATGCACTATAAGATGCACATACCTTTTTTTGGTGAGGAAAACAAGAAAAAAAGAAATCTGCCTCTGCCTCCCAGCAATTTTGCCTCCTTGCAGCAAACAGCCTGCTTTACTTTCACTTTCGTTTTCAGCACAGCTTGATTAGCACAAGAAAAAAAAAAGTCTGCTCCCAGCAATTTACCTCCTTGCAGCAAGCAGCAGAGGCCCGTGCAGCAATAGGCCATGGCAATCCCTGCAGCCTGAAACAGCTGAGAGTCGGGAGGCCGATCCAAGGGACAATCAACTTGTGCTAATTAGGCTGTGCTGAAGCTGAAACGGACTGTTTCTTCTTGCTGCTTGCTGCAAGGAGGCAGAGGGTGGGGGCCAGTGGTTTCATTGGCGGGGTTACATTCGGTGTATAAGACGCACCTAAATTTTCACCCCCTTTTAGGGGAAAAAGGTGCGTCTCATACTCCGAAAAATACGGTAGTTCATCTTTGTGAGGTAAACTCTCTTTGGAGTTAGAGAATTCGTCCTGCGGTGGAAACTAAGTCCTATGTTCAGAGCCACAGTGAAGAAACAAGAGATTTCCTCGTGTCCTCGAAGCCTCCGGTGATGAGATTGTCTAGTAAACCAGCTAGTTTCACAACAGTCCAAAATAACATGAGTCATCGAGTTGACTGAGAAACGTTGAGGGAGAGGGCAGAACAGCTGAGACTCTGGGCTCTCCAGAACTTGTGGGCACGGAAGGCTGCCAGACCATGTATGGTGGGTCTCTTTTGCAAGAGGAGGCTATCCATGGCTACCGATCGTGGTAACTATCTATAGATCTAGTTGTAACTGAGAAGAGTATAGAACAGGGCTGGCGAACCTTTTCACCACCGAGTGCCGAAACGGGAGTGCGCGCATGTGTGTGGGAGCACTGGAAACTGGAAGAGCAGCTCTCTGGTGCATGCGCACATGTGCGCTAGCCACCTGGTCTTCTCTTCTCTCCCTTTCTTCTTCTCTTCTCCTATCCTCTCTTTTCTCTTTTCCTTCCTCTTCCTCTCCCTGCTCCAGTCTTCTCTTCTCTCCCTTTCTTCTTCTCTTCTCTTCTCCTTTTCTCTTCTCTCTTCTCCTTCCTCTTCCTGCTCCAGTCTTCTCTTCTTCTCTTCTCTTTTCTTCTCTTCTCCTCTCCTCTCTTCCTCTTCTCTTCTCCATCCTTTTCCTCTCCCTGCACATCTTCCCTTCTCTTCTCTTCTCTCCCTTTCTTCTCTTCTCTCCCTTTCTTGTTTTCTTTTCTTCTCTTCTCTCTTCTCCTTCCTCTTCCTCTCCCTGCTCATCTTCTCTTCTCTTCTCTTCTCTTCTCTTCTCTTCTCTTCTCTTCTCTTCTCTTCTCTTCTCTTCCCTTCTCTTCTCTTCTCTCTTCTCTTCTCTCCCTTTCTTCTTTTCTTCTCCTCTCTCCTCTTTTCCTTCCTCTTCCTGCTCCAGTTTTCTTTTCTCTTCTCTCCCTTTTTCTCTTCTCTTCTCTTCTCTTCTCTTCTCTTCTCTTTCTCTTCTCTTCTCTTCTCTTCTCTCTCTCTCTCTTCTCTCCCTTTCTTCTTTTTCTTCTCCTCTCTCCTCTTTTCCTTCCTCTTCCTGCTCCAGTTTTCTTTTCTCTTCTCTCCCTTTTTCTCTTCTCTTCTCTTCTCTTCTCTTCTCTTCTCTTCTCTTCTCTTCTCTTCCTCTCTCTTCTCTTCTCCTCTCCTCCTCTTCTCTTCTCATGATGCTTGTACATAACCATCCTATTTTGCCAGAGTTGAGCCAGCCTCATTCCAAATTAAAAAGAGAAAGTTTTCAGTAATTAAACCGTAGATTCCATCTGGAACGATTGTCAAACAAGCACAGAAGACTGGCCCACGTCTACTAATTGTCTTCTGTTGTTTTGGAACGCCGCCCTCTCGTATTGATATCCTGACTCTTCTGGTTGAAAATGGCCCCCGCACTTCCACAACGGGTGCTGTGAGAGCCCGAAGCTTATCAAGCTAATCATAAAGGTTTTAATTTAGCCTTCTGCTCTGCGCTTTTCTCCGTCCCACATGTCCCTTTGCTCGCTCATATGCTGTATCGCTCCGTAAAGCGTGGCACAGCTACGCATTCTCATGAAGGGATCCAGAGATTGGTCAAACGTTGGAAAGAAGCAAGAATCGAGGAAGTGCCTGGTTCCTCCCCAATTTAAAGAAGTAAAATTAAGCAAGCCATCTATCACGTCTCTACGATTAGCTTAATAAGCTTCAGGCTGTTGGTGTGCCCATTGTCTAAGGCCCCAGTTTTAGTGTTTTGAAAGTAGGGATGGAGACAATCTTCTGTTTCTGTTGTTTGTTCGGTCGCTAAGTTGAGTCCGACAGTTGAGGTTCCCCTGTTGTCCACTGTCTCCTGGAGTTTGTCCAAATTCACGTTCACTGCATAGAATAGAATAACAGAGTTGGAAGGGACCTGGAGGTCTTCTAGTCCAACTCCCTGCTTAGGCAGGAAACCCTGCACCATAGAGAGTATTTTAACTTCCTGCGCTGTGTATGGTTTGCCAATTGCCCAGTGGCAGAGAGGACAGCACTCCGGAGGGTTAATGTCATTGCCCAGACAGAGGATCATTGCTTGCCCTCTCCCCTCTTTATAGCTCCCGCTGCTTTAAGAAAGTTCAAAACATACTTAGAGATCCATCTCATCCTGGGCACCCTTTTTTTTTTTTTTGAACTATTACCATCTGGCAGACGGTACAGGACAATAAAGACAAGGACACATAGGCTGAAAAACAGCTTCTATCCTAGAGCAGTAACTATATTGAATTCTACTGTATAGTGCAATTTTAACGCAATATCAGGGGTTTTCAATTCAATTGTATAGAATGTGAAGGGTGTGTGTTTTTGTTTTATTTATTTATGTATAATGTACACTGAAAATGGCATTTAATTTCATCGTACGAGGTGCAATGTCAATAATGTAAACTAAACTATAGCATTTCAGACAAATGGTTATCCAATCTCTTCTTAAAAAGAGATTCTTGGAAGGCATCAGTGACCCTATCTAACCATCTCAATTCTCTTCTTTGAGGACATCTCGCTTCTCATCCAAGAAGCTTCTTCAGCTCTGACAGGGATGGTGGGGAAGGGAAGGATTTGCTTCAGAGTTGAGTTGCAGGTACGAAGTTGCTATAGGCCCTTACCTGGAAGCCATTTTGCATCTTAGACCAGAGGTCTCCAACCTTGGCAACTTTAAGATTTGTGGACTTCAACTCCCCAGAGTTCCTCAGCCAGCTTTGCTGACTGAGGAATTCTGGGAGTTGAAGTCCACAAGCCTTAAAATTGCCAAGGTTGGGGGATCCCTGTCTTAGACTGCTTGGAAGGCATACATTTGCATAGTTTAAACCCAAAGAAGATTTAGTCTGAGCTTGTTGTAATGAGTTTAGGATAATTCTGTGGTTTGGCCTTACAAAAATCAGGGGATCTTCTGAAGGACATATATTCAGGAACAGCAACCCATTAACACAACCGATGGGACAGATGCAGTGATGGGATTCAGCCGGTTCGCACCAATTCGGGAGAACCGGTTATTAACTTTCTGAGCAGTTTGGTGAACCGGTTCTTGGAAGAAATCATTAGGGCAGAGAACCGGTTGTTAAATTATTTGAATCCCACCACTGGACACATGGTCTACACGACGATAGAATTCATGATAAAAATGCAAGACACGGTGGAAATACCTGCCCCCCCACTCCCCCCCGGAAATGCTGCTTCCCCACAAATTTCATTAATGTACATTCAGGATGATGAAAACGATCGGTGAGGAACTCAAATGCTCCACTCAGGCCAAGGAAATATGCAGAGACACGTTTGCTACAGATATGAACATATGGCATAATAATGAGATAAGGTGCAATCAAACAATCTGGCATCGCATTTAATACCTTCCATGAAGCCAGAAAGAGATTGCTTTATTTATTTATTTATTGAAAAGCCACACAGAAACTGTCTTCTACATTTCCAGTTCTGCTAAGATATTTAAACAGGGCAAGTTATTTTATCCAGGTAAGATGAAATCTAGAATTTTGTCTTACCTACAAGAGTTTTAATTAGGGAAGTCAGGAAGTCAATTAAGTAGAAGAATCGAGGCTAGATTTTGCTCATGGCCAGAGAGAAATCTTTCAATCCCTTATCAACATTTTTACTAAAAAGCTTTTTTAAAAAAACTGTCAGTATATTCATGAACTGGAATAGGGCATAGCAACAGGTCAGCCAATGAGGACTGTTTGGTAACTGAAACATAGTATTTGTTGTATGGGGCCATAGGAGACAGTTTGGAGCCTGGGTGTGGCTTAACTGTTCTGTATATAAACTTGAGAGCACTAGCTTCTCCCTCCTCCATTTTGCTTTCTCCGTTTTGTGTTTCCATTTTGTGCTTGCTATTTCTCTTCTCTACAGCGTGGAAAAACCTACAATGGTATTGTATCTAAAGGCATTTTCTTATGTAGAGAAATCCTGCAAAAGTATTTAATTGTGTGTGCTGCAACAAACTCTAACAAAAATGTAAACTATAGTCACACAAGATTTATAACATTTAATGTTAAAAGAATGCATTTCATTCCAGTTGATGGAAGTTAAGTTAGCTCTTGAAATCTTTCAGTCTTAGTTGTTTTCCAGGAAAATAATCTATGGCTCGGAGAACTGACCTGCAAAAATTTTGAAGACACTTTACGGTAATAAAATTACTGCTACCAGTCGATCCAGTGTTCACTTAAGATTTTTTTTGCAACCCGGATTCAGGAATGAAATCCTCCCTTTGAGATAAACTCAGTAAAAACTACAATGTTGAATCCTTATAGTGAGTGCAGGTACTCCTCGCCTTACGACCACAACTGAGCCCAGGGTTGACATTCCTAAGGGAAACATTCGGGCAGCGAGTTTTGCCCCAGGTTGCAACTTTTCTTGCCACCGCCGTTAAGCAAATCATTGCATTTGTTAAATGAGTAACGTGGTCATTAAGGGAAGCAGGATCTTCCTCCTTGTTGGACAGAACGTTGCAAAAACAGATCACGTGATCCCGGGAAACTCCAACCGTCATAAATATGAATTGGTGGCGTTTGAATTTCGATCACATGATCATGGAGAGGCGGCAACAGCTGTAAGTGTGAAAAAACGGTCGTAAGTCACTTTTTTCAGTGCCATTGGAACGGTCACTAAATGAAGTGTTGTAAATTGAGGACTACCGGTCGTGTAAGATATGTTTTCTCTTCTACAATGGAGAATGGACTGAGTGGAATGACTGGGTAGAATAATGAGTCCCTTGGTAGAGCAACAGAGTTGTCGATTAATTTGGAAGAAGATCCTGATCAGAAATGGAGAAAGAAGAAGCATCAAAGTCGAATTTTAGTGTAAACAACAAGAATCCATTTTTCAATCTGCTACACAGATATTTCCAGCCCGTTTGCCCTCTTGAATTTAATCTTTGATAGTAAAGATTTATGAAGGAGTTTTTTCTCTCCTTAACCTCATCCTTGGTTTTTAACTCTAGATTTGAGGCCATTATTTGAGATTTCCAGTTGCAGCCACCGTTTTTAGAGTACAGGAGCAAAATCCAGAACGAATGATATCAATTCGATACGATTCCCTCATTGAATCAAATGTTTTTTTTTTTCTCCTGTTTTTGGAGCAGTGACATTTCCTAAACGCCAAGAATTTAAAACTGAGGATTCGTCGCACCGGATTTTAGGAATCGTACGGCGAGACGGCAAAAAACGCTTCCAAAATTCGAGTCGGTCTTCTTTAAAAAAAGCAAAAAAATGATCGAAGGCGGATGAAGGAGATGGCATGAATGAATTATGTGGAGTGTTATTTACATCGCTTGGATTGTCGAAGAGCACAACTGCCACGCACAAACACGACAACGAGTTGTCAAACCCTGCCAACGTGACAAATGCATGTTGTCGTCACCGACAGTTTGACTGAGTTAGAAAGTTTCTTAGAAGGGCGTCCAAACACCTGAACCGATTTCAGCTTCTTCCCTGCCGACTTCTGCAGAAAAAGAGATTTTTTTTTAAAAAAAAGAAAAAAATTAATCCCGACTAAAAAGCGAGATCACCAAATCCCTTGTTTTAATTTTGTTTGTTTATTGAGCAAAAATGAAGATTTGAGGCCTGTTTTGCACGATCTGTAGGGTGGGGAGGGGGGTTTAAACCCCGCCGGCCCCTTTCAACCATAAAACTGCAGTTACAGCTTGTTCCCGGGAGCAAAACCACTTAGCATTTTGGCACTCCGTCCGAAAAACTGAGGAAACAATGAGCCCCGTTCAGTCCTTCCAACCGCAGCTCTTCTCTGCCTTGTGATCCAGGAAAGGACAGGGGATGAAAGGCTGTGTCACAATCCGGGGAAGCGGGAGGGGGGGTTGTTATCAGTGCGGGGAAGTGTGATGGTTCACGTGGGGGGCGTTAGATCCCAAAAAGCCCAGCCTCTGCTTGTTTTTCCTTTGTTCGGTCATCTAAAGGGCGAAGGAGGAGACAAAAGACAAGATCAGTCGGTGGCTTTAAAAAAAAAGAAAAAAAAAGAGAGGCACGGATGGAGTTATAAATGTTCCCCCGCTGAGATTGTCTTTTAAAGGTGTATTTATTTGGATGGGGGATCTCCTTTTCTTGCAGACGTTTCATGACCCAACTAAGTAACATCATTGGTGATGAAAGGGAGGGTGTGTGGAGAGGAGGGGGAGGAGGAGGAGGAGGACTGTGGGGTCCTTGGCATTCTCTGAGCTTGGTTGTATTCTTGCAGATGTTTTATGACCCACCTAAGTAACGTCATCAGTGCTGGAAGGGAGGTGGTGTGTGGAGAGGAGGAGGAGGAGGAGGAGGAGGAGGAAGAAGAGGACGAAGACTAGGACTGTGGGGTCCTTGGCATTCTTTGAGTTTGGTTGTATTCCTTTAGATGTTTTATGACCCACCTAAGTAACATCATCAGTGCTGGAAGGGAGGTGGTGGGTGAGGAGAAAGAGGAGGAGGAGGAGGAGGAGGAGGAGGAGGAGGAGGAGGAGGAGGAGGAGGAGGACGACGACTATGGGGTCCTTGGTGTTCTCTGAGTTTGTTTTCTTGCAGACATTTCATGACCCAATTAAGTAATACCATCAATGCTAGTAAGGGAGGAGGTGTGTGGAGAGGAGGAGGAGGAGAGGACGAGGATGAGGAGAATGATGACTGTGGGGTCCTTGGCATTCTTTGAGTTTGGTTGTATTCTTGCAGATGTTTTATGACCCAGCTAAGTAACATCATCGGTGCTGGAAGGGAGTAGGTGTGTGGAGAGGGGAGGAGGAGGGGAGGAGGAGGAGGAGGAGGAGGAGGAGGAGGAGGAGGAAGAGGAGGAGGAGGAAAAGGAGGAAGACTGTGGGGTCCTTGGTCTTCTCTGAGCTTGGTTATTTTCTTGCAGACGTTTCATTACCCAACTAAATAACATTATCAGTGCCTCAAGGGAGAGGGGTTGCTTCTGTTTACATACAAGTCAGTGTATATCAGTGTATATCACTACCCTGTCAGTGTTGGTGGGAGTGTAGTTTTGTTCTTGGAGGTTGTCTGATTAGGCTATGGTTGATTGTTTGGGTTGGTAGCCCTTGATTGGGATATTGTTTATGTCTTGATTGTTGGTCAACTCTAATCTTGGTATTAATCTCTGCTCCGCGGGGCGTTGATTTCTGGTGAGGAAGTGTTTTGCTCTTTTTGTTTTCTTTTTAGTTTTTCGATTGTCTCTTTTGATAGTATATAGATGTTGCATATTAACAGAAACCAACCCCTCTCCCTTGTAGCACTGATAACTTTACTTAGATGGGTCATGAAATGTCTGCAAAAAAACAACCAAGCTCAGAGAGCATTAAAGACCCCACAGCTCAACCCTGAGCTACAAACCGAGAAAGGGGAGGGGGAGGCTTGCCACCAGATGTCGTGGACGCTCCATCATTGGCGGTACTTTAAGAAGGTTTCAACAGTCACTTGTCTGAAACGGTATAGGATCTCCTGCTTGAGCCGAGGGCTGGACTAGAAGACCTCCAAGGACCCTTCCAGCTCTCTTCTGATTCCGATTCGAAACACCAAGCCTGCTCACCTGTTCTTTCAGCTCAGCGAGTTGGCCGGAAAGCTGCTTGACCAAAGACATGGTGGTCTCCAACCTTTCTTGCAGGTTCCTGATTTCGTTCTGTTCGTTGTCCCCCTCGTTGCTGACTAAGGACATGGCTCTCATCCGAGGAAACCACTCTAAATTCTTTTCCTGCAGGAGATGGAAACCATTATGAGACGTTAGCTCGATGCGTTCCATAAGGAGATTCCGAAGGATTCCAAAAAGTTTCTTGAGAATGAAATACGAAGCTGGCAGGAATAGCCAACACCCTCGAAGATAAGCTCAAGATCCAGATGGATCTTGACAGACTGGGAACCCCATCCAACAAAATTAAATTCAGTGTGGAGAAAAGTAAAGTCTTACACTTAAGTAATAAAAACCAAAAACACACATATAGACTGGGTGAAACCAGGGTTAATAGCAGTAAGATCTCAGAGTCTTAGTGGATAACCAATTAAATATGAGCCAACAGTGTGCAGCGGCAGCCAAAAAAGCCAACGCAATCCTAAATTGCATTAACAGAGGGATTCAATCAAGATCAAGGGAGGTACTAATTCCACTCTATAAAGCCTTAGTAAGACCACACCTAGAGTACTGCATCCAGTTTTGGTCACCACACTATAAAAAAGATGTTGAGACTCTAGAAAGAATGTAGAGAAGAGCAACCAGGATGATTAGGGGACTGGAGACTAAAACATACGAAGAACAGTTGCAGGAACTGAGCAGTGTAAGTCTAGTGAAGAGAAGGACCAGGGGAGACATGAGAGCACTCTTCCAATATTTGAGGGGCTGCCACAGAGAGGAGGAAGGGGGGTCAAGCTATTTTCCAAGGCACCCAAAGGCCAGACAAGGAATAATAGATGGAAACTGACCAAGGAGAGATTCAACCTGGAAATAAGGAGAATTTTTTTCTGACAGTGAGAACAATCAACCCATGGAATAGAAGTTGCCTTCAGAAATTGTGGGAGTTTCATCACTTGGAAGCTTTCAAGAAGAGACTGGACTGCCATCTGTCAGAAATGTAGAGTCTCATGCTTGGTCAGGGGGTTGGACTAGATGACCTCCAAGGTCCCTTCCAACTCTTTGGTCTGCACAAACATCCGGTCGATGTGCAACGGAAGGAATTCAAAACAGCAAGGAAGAAGCTTGCTTAAATACGTATAACAATTGCAATAATTTGAATTTTTTACTTAAATAAAAAAGAAAAGAAAATTGAAACAATATACGATTATGATTTATACACAAAAATTACTTAATTGGTGTTATATAAGTGGTATGGTTTAATAGATAGAATTTGGGATAATTGGGAAATTGCATTAAATAGCATTATTTGAACTAAGAACTATGTTTAAATGTTAAATTGCTTTATTTTTAAGATTTTTTTTTTTTTTAATTTGATTTATATGCCGCCCTTCTCCGGAGACTCAGGGCGGCTTACAATGCGTTAAGCAATAGCCTTCATCCTTTTGTATATTTATACAAAGTCAGCTTATTGCCCCACAAACTGGGTCCTCAATTTACCTTACTTAGAAAGGATGGAAGGCTGAGTCAACCTTGAGCCTGGCGAGATTCGAACTTACAGTAATTGCAGACAGGTGGTGTTAATCACAATGCTATCAGTCTCCTGAGCCACCAGGCCCAGATTAAAGATAAGATTTAAATTTGATAAAGTAATAATGGAATAAGGATTTAATGAGTATCATGAAATATAAATATGTTTGAACTGTACTGAAATGTCTTATGAGTTATTAATTGAATTAAGATTTAAGGTGGGTTAATAGAAGGGCAATTGTTTTGATTAAGTAAATATGTGTTGTTGTTTTTAAAGATGGTATTAGTTGAATATGTGATTTAAGATTAAGAAATAAATGTTATGGCAAAATAGAATAGATAAAATTTTGTTAAAAATGACCAAAAATTGAACAAATTGATGATTGGATCAAAGCTCTGTTCTGAAAAGATGTAATTTGTATGTTTGGGGGGAAAAAAAATAACAAGGAAAGGAAAAGGGACATTTAAAACATCTCTGTGCTGGCTCATTGCAAGAATTTTTACTTCCTTCCTCTGCTACTTAAAAATAATAATATAAAAAAACTCCTCACTGAAAGCAATTCCAGCATTTTAATTTTCTTAGGAATTATCCTGTGACGTTGCCTTGGAGCTGATTTAGAAGGATACTCTATTTTTTTTTAAAAAAAAAAATGAAATCCGTTTCTCTTACTGCTAAACGCGATGAGTAAAATGACATTATTTTCAAAATAATTGGGCCAAATATTGTGGCTCTTTTAATCAGAGCTTGCAAGCAGATGGTATCATTCCTACAACGTGGGCTCGCAGAGTATCTGTTAATTTTTGGACAGGAGCCGGTTGTTTTGGAAGCGAAATGGCAACGGTTGTAACGAAAACAATATTTTATCGAGGGAGCGGATATCGTGGTGCATCAAATCCATTAATCCGATTGCTTTGCTTTATTTAAAGAACATTCCCCATAAAGCAACTTTTCTATTGCTACATTTCAGGAAAAGAAAAGCTACCCGTCGGTCTCCGTGGCTTTGAAAAGGATGCAGCCCATTATTTGATCACGATATGAAGCGGTTTATGTTTTCCATTTTCTTAAGTAGTTTTCGGCCTTCCCCCCGTAACCTTTTGAGACCGTGTGTCAAAACACAAGCGGGGTGCAAACGTTTCGAATTTGAAGCGCTTGAATTGCGAAAAGGCTCGTTTTAAATTTGAGACGAATGTTTTTGCGTTCCGAAATGGCTTGTTTTTAAACCGGTCTGGATGCGTTTCCCAGGCCGAAAGAGATGTTTGGTTCTGCTTCAAGGTAGAGACAATTCTCAAACAATCAAAACAGCTCAATTCATATCTGTTCATATCAGATCAGGCTGGGTGTGGTGGGGTGGGGTGAGATAGATATAATTTTTACGAAATCAAATAGGAATAGGTAAAAGAAGGAAGGAAGGAAGGAAGGAAGGAAGGAAGGAAGGAAGGAAGGAAGGAAGGAAGGAAGGAAAGAAAAGCAAGATGGATGAAATTGGTTACAGCAGTGATGGGTGCAATTTTGGAAGATCTCATAAGCAAAGGGCAGACAGCAACTCCCAAGAAGCAAGACAATAGGTAAGGAGCCGAAACTGCAAACTCCACTCCCCTTTCGCTCCTCTTTTATTCCCTCTGGGAGGGACCAATCACTGTTCACCTGTGGCTTTACTCCTGAGTCGACCCTTGTTCTTTAGCTGTTCCCTTTGTCTGGCAACTCTGTGCATGCGCACAGTGGGAACAGGCTCCAGCTGTTCGTCTGCCTCACTGATGTCTGACTCCGAAGGCAGATGACAACTGTCAGACGGCCCTGGCCCCTTCTCTGCCTCTGACGCAGAGCCCTCATCAGAGCCTTCTCCAGATTCTAGGACTGGCCCATGTTCCTCCCCAACCTCCTCACTGTCCGAATCTGCTGTCAGCTCCACTGGCGGGCCACAAGAGCATCAGACAGTGTCTTCCACTCAATCCATGCTTGTCAACCAATAAAACCCTAGCCATCAATTTTCTAAGTCACCGTGCTTCCAAAACGGGTGTTTTGCTTCATTTATTTTGACATGGGACATGTAAGGTAAGAGGAGATCTTTGGGACTACATTAATATTTTAGAGAGACTCAACTTCAGAGATCCTGGTATTATTGCTAATGAAAAATAGATTCATTCACTGCGCCGGTAATTCCCAACTGCTGGTAGCAGAGGATTAATTTAGCATGAATATTAATACACACATTTTGGAATAAACATGAATACCTGATTCCAAGCAAGACTAGAAAGAAGAGAGATGAGAAGAAATTCTAAAACATATTTTGGTCTAGGGAATGAAACAGATTCTTTTAAGAAGAGATCTGACAACCATCTGTCATTGGTCACTGATGTGATTTGGGACCAGTGATGGTTGCATAACTAGAAAATGCTATTAAGTCAGAATAACAGAGTTATCCCTGCCCACGGAAGGAGATCCTATACCCTTCCAGACAAATGACCTCCAAATGGGGGAGCACCCAAAGCATCTGAAGGCAACCCAATTAATTGTTCTCACTGTCAGGAAGTTTCTCCTTAGTTCTAGGTTGCTTCTCTCCCTGATTAGTTTCCATCCTTTGCTTCTTGTCTTGCCTTCTGTTGCTTTGAGACTATGTTGACTCCTTCCTCTTTGTGGAAGCCCCTCAAATATTGGAACACAGCTATCATGTCACCCCTTGTTCTTCTTTTCCTTAGACTAGACATACCCAATTCCAAGCAACGGTTCTTCATATGCTTTGGCCTCCAGTCCTCTAACCACCTTTGTTGCTCTTCTCTGCACTCGTTCCAAAGTCTCAACATCTTTTTCTTATAATGCTTATAATGCTTATAATTGCTTATAATTCTTATAAACTGGAGGCAGAATTCCAAGTGTGGCCTTACCAAGGCATTATAACGTAGTACCAACACGTCACATGAACTTGAGTAATGATCTCTATTAATGCAGCCTAGGATTGTGTTGGCTTTTTTTGGCAGCTGCAGTGCAATGCTGGCTCATATTCAAGTGATTGTCCAGTAGGACTCCAAGATCCCTCTCGCAGTTACTGCTACTGAGGTGCCATCTATTCTGTACCTGTGTACTTGATTTTCTTTAACTTCCTTAACAGATTAACAGAGTGGGAAGGGACCTTGTAGGTCATCTACTCCAACCCCCTGCCCAAGAAGGAGACCCTACACCTTCTGACAAATGGCAGTCCAATCCCTTCTTCAAAGCCTCCAGTGATGAAGCTCCCACAGGCAACTTCTGTTCCGTTGGTTGATTGTTCTCACTGTCAGAAAAATTTCTCCTTATTTCAGGTTGAATCTCTCCTTGATCAGTTTCCATCCATTATTCCTTGTCTGGCCTTCAGGTGCCTTGGAAAATAGCTTGACCCCCTTCCTCCTCTCTGTGGCAGCTCCTCAAATATTGGAAGATGCTCTCCTGTCTCCCCTGGTCCTTCTCTTCACTAGACTAGCCAGGCCCAGTTCCTGCAACTGTTCTTCGTATGTTTTAGCCTCCAGTCCCCTAATCATCCTGGTTGCTCTTCTCTGCACTCTTTCTAGAGTCTCAACATCTTTTTATAGTGTGATGACGAAAACTGGATGCAGTACTTAGGTGTGGTCTTACTAAGGCTTTCTAGAGTGGTATTAGTACCTCCCTTGATCTTGATTGAATCCCTCCGTTAATGCAATTTAGGATTGCGTTGGCTTTTTTGGCTGCCGCCGCACACTGTTGGCTCATATTTAATTGGTTGTTTACTAAGACTCCAAAATCCCTCTCACAGTCACTGCTATTAACCCTGGTTTCACCCAGTTTATATGTGTACTTTTGGGTTTTTCTTGCCTAGGTGTAAACCTTACTTTACTCACTACTGAATTTCATGTTGTTAGATAGGGTCCAATGTTCACGTCTGTCAAAATCCATCCAGATCTTGAGATACCTTCTGGAGTGTTGGCTATTCCTGCCAGCTTGGTGTCATCTACAAATTTGATGAGTTCCCTTCTATTCCTTCATCTAAATTGTTTATGAAGATATTAAAGAATACTGTTTTTTTTTTTTTTGCTGTCAAATCTTTTTTAAATGCCTAAATGCCACTTCTTAACCTTCCTGGGCTCCCCACTTATGTATATTACAAAGGGTATTGATGCTTCCTATGATGTTTTTTTTACTCCATTTATGGTTGAATGATACCCTTCTTAAGTGAAGAATTAATTAATCGTGTGATGAAGGACATGATGTCAATCGTCTCATGAACATCCTGTCTGTGCATTAACCCTGAATACTTAATAAAGTAGGCTCAGCTCAAGGAGAAATACTGGACTAATCAGAAATCTGGCATTTGAGCTGCTTTCCCAGGTACCTCTGCAGAATTCTTGATCGGGGACAGTAAGTGGAATTTATTATTTGTTTTAACTCCTTCATTACAACGCTTTTCAAAACTTTATCCATTCTTTTTTCAGTTTATGGATAATGTCATTATCTTCTCATGGAGGTAATGGGAAAGGTTCCCCTCGCACATATGTGCTAGTCGTTCCCGACTCTAGGGGGCGTGCTCATCTCCGTTTCAAAGCCGAAGAGCCAGCGCTGTCCGAAGTCGTCTCCGTGGTCATGTGGCCGGCACATGACTCAACGCCAAAGGAGCACGGAACGCTGTTTCCCTTCCCACCAAAGGTGGTCCCCTATTTTTCTACTGCAATTTTTTAAACGTGCTTTCGAACTGCTAGTTGGCAAAAGCTGGGACAAGTCACGGAGCTCACCCCATACGCGGCCACTAGGGATTCGAACCGCTGAACTGCCGACCCCCCTTTCGATCGACAAGCTCGGTGTCTAGCCAAAATGAGCCACCACGTCCCTTTCTCATGGAGATAAAGGCTAAATTTTTTAAAAATATTACATGGTGTTTCTCATTTGTGTTAGTGGGCTTAAAATGCCTTGTCATTACAGGTAGTCCTCGACTTACGACAATTCGTTTAGTGACCGTTTGGAAGTTACAAAAGCCCTGAAAAAAGTGACTTATGATCGTTTTTCACACTTACGGCCGTTGCAGTATCTCCATAGTCATGTGATCAAAATTGAGATGCTTGGCCACTGACTCGTATTTATGACGGTTGCAGTGCCCCGGGAGGTCACGTGATTTCCTCTTGTGACCTTCTGACAAGGAAAGTCCATGGGGAAGCCAGGTTCACTTAACAACCATGCGACTCACTTAACAACGGCAGCGATTCGCTTAAGAATTGTGACAACGAAGGTTGTAAAACGGAACAAAATTCACTTCACAAATATTTTGCTTTGCAACGGAAATTTTGGGCTCAATTGTGGTCGCAAGTCAAGGACTACCAGTGTGCAAAGGAAGAGATCCTACGGTTAAGATTTGAAGACGTTCCAGCTGCGACTGGAAGGACCAATTTTCTGCGTCACAAATCACCGCCGAGTGGGACTCACCGCGATCATTTGGGCCACGTAACTTTCAGGTCCAGTGTATTCCGTTGGGTCTTTCACTCTGACCAGAACGATAAAACAGAGATAGTGCCACATGTTGTGTTCTGACTTGATGTGTTCCTCGAATGAAACCGTCTTGTTGTCAAATTTGTCTCGCTCAAGGCCTGCAAAAAGAGAGAGAGAGAGAAATTCACTACAATCTTTTCATACATTAAAGCAGGAGTCTCCAACCTTGAATCCTGAAGACTTGTGAACTTCCAGCTCCCAGAATTCTGGCTGGCTGGCTGAGACCCCTGCATTAAAACTCCCTTAAGAAATGAGTAGACAAAAATCCTACAACAGTCCTTGATTTACAATGGTTATAACAGGGGAGGAGAGGAGAGGAGAGGAGAGAAAAAAGAGAGAAGGGGAGGAGAGGAGAGAGAGAAAGAGGAAAAAAAGAGAAGGGAAGGGAAGGGAGAGGAGAGGAGAGAAAAAAGAGAAGGGGAGGGAGGGGAGGGGAGAGGAGGAGAGGAGTGGAGTGGAGAGGAGGGGAGAGGAGGGAGAGAAAAGGAGAGAAGGGGAGGGAGAGGAGGAGGGGAGAGAGAAAAAGAAGAGAGAGGGGAGGGAAGGGGAGGGGAGAGAAAAAAGAGTGAAGTGAGGGGAGGGGAGGAGAGGAGAGGAGAGAAAAAAGAGAGAAGGGAAGTGTAGTGTAGTGTAGCATAGTGTAATGTAATGGAGAGGAGAGGAGAGAAAAAGAGAGAAGGAGAGGCGAGGGGAGAGGGGAGAGGAAAAAAGAGAAGGGGAGAGGAGAGGAGAGAAAAAAGAGTGAAGTGAAGTGGAGGGGAGGGGAGGGGAGGAGAGGAGAGGAGAGAAAAAAGAGAGAAGGGTAGTGGAGTGGAGTGGAGAGGAGAGGAGAGGAGAGAAAAAGAGAGAAGGGGAGGCGAGGGGAGGGGAGGGGAGAGGAAAAAAGAGAAGGGGAGAGGGAGGGGAGAGAAAAAAGAGTGAAGTGGAGGGGAGGGAGAGGAGGAGTGGAGAGGAGAGGAGAGGAGAAGAGAGGAGAGGAGAGAAGGGAAGGTGAGTGGAGTGGAGTGGAGTGGAGTGGAGTGGAGAGGAGAGGAGAGGAGAGGAGAGGAGAGGAGAGGAGAGGAGAGGAGAGGAGAGGAGAGGAGAGGAGAGCAGTTAAATTAACGGCATCAATATTTCCTTCTGATCTCCAAGTCAATACAGGTGCCTTTAAAAAAAAACGCAATGACAAGACACAAACCTACGAATACCTACCGCAGATGAAACAGGTTGTCTTCAAGATCTCTTCTTTCTTCTGCTTTTCGCTTCTGAGATCCGCAAACGTATCGATGATGACTCCGAAAATGAGGTTCAGCACAATAATGATGACGATGAAATAAAACAGGAGATCGTAAACCACCCGAGCAGCAAACAGCGGCTCCTTAAAAGAAACAGCAATTTTATTTATTTTGGGTCGTAATTTGAAAACTCCCTGCTTACCAAGATCGAGCGAAGGAAATTCTCACGTCTTTGGATGGTTTCCGAAGGACGTCCCCCACTCCTCCACCGTTTCTCAGCCCCTGGTTCAACACGGTCACGATACACATCAGCAAAGTGTCGCAGGTCCTCTCAATCCCATCTTCATCGCCGTCTTCACCTGTGGGATATCGTAAGGGACACATGGCAGAAGAAGCCCATCAAGCCTCCCATCGGAAAAATCAGCCACACAAAGCGTAAATATAACTTGCGTTCTATCTTCCGCTTTCTGCTAGCTGTTGTGGTCTGCCAGCAGCCCTGCAGAGCTGGCAGCGGAGTCGGACAGTGAGGAGGCTAGGGAGGAACTTGGGCCAGTCCTGGAGTCTGGGGAAGGCTCGGATGAGGGCTCTGTGTCAGAGGCAGAGATGAGGCCGGGGCCATCTGGGAGTGATGTGCAGACTCCAGAGCCCCCAGAGTCGGACAGCAGAGAGGCAGAGGAACAGGAGGAGCCTGTTCCTAGTGTGCGCATGCGCAGAGCTGCCAGAAGGCACAAACAGTTAAAACAAAAGGGACGACTAGGGAGTAAGGCCTGGAGATGATTGGCCCCTCCCATAAGGCTTAAAAGAGGAGCAAAGGCACGTGGGCTCTTTGCAGGAAAGCAACGTTGTTAATTCTGTTCCCAGTCGGCATCTCTGTTTGATTCTGGACTCCGTGTGCCTTTGCCAAGTAGGTCTTTGGCAGAGTGTCAAGGGAGATAAAGGTGGGTGATTATCCCGAAGGACTTCTTTTTTTGCAACTAATTGGGACTCAGCTGTGAATGAACGTAATTCACAGCTGTTGCCATAAAAGAGGTTTTGGAGACTACTTGTGTGTTTTAATGATTCAGGAAGCCGAGGTCACAACACTAACGTTAGAAGAACTACTGCCGTGTTAATAATCACCTCCCAGATTGTTTGAGGACATCTGCATCCCTCCCGACAGTGAGAACAATTAACCAGTGGAACAGCTTGCCACCAGAAATTGTGGGTGTTCCCATCACTGGAGGTTTTTAAGAAGAGAGTGGCCAGCCATTTGTCTGAAATGGGATAAGGATCTCCTGGCTGAGAAGGGGGTTGGACTAGAAGACCTCAAACTCTGTTATTCCATATTCTGTAGTACACCTGAGCTTCATTTTATTGTATCTCCATGCAAATCACTTTGCATGCAAAGGACCTAATTTCTGGAATGACGTCATCAACTTCGTTCTCCATTAATGGACGCCCCCCCCCCTTCCCCAAGCTATTTTATCAACCACGGGTTTCACTATAGTTGGATAATGACAATATTTGTCTTAAACATGAATTCTGGTGAGTGAAGGAGGGGAGAGAGAAAGAAAGGAAGAAGGAAGGGAAAGAACAGAGAAAGGGGAAGAGATGGGAGTGGGAATGGGAGGAAAGGAAAGGTAAGGTAAAGAAGGAAAGGAAAGATAAAAGAAGGAGGGGAGAGGAGAGGAAGAAGGGAAAGATAAAGGAGAGGAGGGGAGAGAGAGGAGAAAGAGAGAGAGAGGAGAGGAGAGGAGAGGAGAGAAGAGGAGAGGAGAAGAGAAGAGAAGAGAAGAGAAGAGAAGAGAAGAGAAGAAGAAGAGAAGAGAAGAGAAGAAAGATAATATAGAAGAGAAAATAAGGAATGGGAAGAGAGGAGAAGGGAAAGGGAAGAGGAAAAGAAGAGAAGAGAAGGGAAGAGAAAAGAGCATCAATATTTCCTCCTGATCTCCAAGTCAGTACAGGTAGTCCTCGGCTTACAACAGTTCATTTAGTGACCATTCGAAGTTACAACAACACTGTAAAAAGTGACTTATGACCATTTTTCACACTTATAACCATGGAAGCATCCCCATGGTCACATGATCAAAAAACTGGCATGTATTTATGACGGTTGCAGTGTCCTGGGGTCACATGATCCCCTTTGCGACCTTCTGACCGAATCCACATTCACTTAACGACTGTGTTACCAGCTTAACCACTGCAGTGGTTCAGTTAACACCTGTAGCAAGAAAGGTCGCAAAACGGGGCACCCCTCACTTAACAAACGTCTCACTTGGGAAACAGAAATTTCGGCCTCGATTGTGGTCATAAATCGAGGATTAACTGTAGCGGGAATTTATTTAGCCGAAAAAACCAAACATTCGGTAATCATTTCACTAACCTGGTTTGCTAGTCGGAACTGTGCAGTTCTCCCTTGAACACGTTTCCACCATCGTCGTTAAGCTTGTCGAAGAGACGGTGCCGCTGTCTGATACGTCAACCACCACCACAACAGTGACACAACGGCATGGAAAAAAACCCGTTAGGGCTCGTCACATTTTGAAAGTTGAAGTGAATAAATTCAACCACACCTCTTTCATCATCATCATCATTTAACGACCCCATAATCCCTTGCGGGGTAGAGTCTGGGCAACTGAATGGAGCCGAGTGTTTTACTGGCCGGATGCCTTTCCTGTCGCCAATGCGGAGTTTTGTTCAGCAGATATATTCCCATTGTGCCCAGAGAGAGAAATATCTGCCTCTACCTAGGATCGAACTCACAACCTCCTGATTGTGAGGCGAGAACTTCCGCTGTAGGCACCACTTTTTCAACCACACCTCTTTGCTAACTATTAAATTATGTGCCCTCGTTTCTCAGGCTTCCACGTGAATTTGAAAAAAAAAAACAACGTATGGGGCAATTTAAGGAACCAATTCTCTAAATTTAATGTAACTTGTAGACAGGGTGCCCCTATTTTAATTTTTATTTTTTTTAGGGCCTTCAAAACGGTGAAAATTGGAAGTTTTGTGGGACAATGCGGATTAATTTTTCTTCTTCTTCTTCTCATTATTATTATTATTGTTGTTGTTATCTTTTATTCATTAAACATGAAACATTATTATTATTATTATTATTATTATTATTATTATTATTATTATTATTATTAGTAGGTATTCTTTTTTGTTTACCTAGTAGCAAAGATTTAAATAACATCTGCACAAGTATGCATTTCTTCTTAAAATTAGGAGCTTTAAATCCAAATATTCAATTATTTAAAAAACTACTGGTAATTGAATTTTAAAACCTTTTGAATATTTACTCTGGCCAGAGGGTAAATCTGAAGTCCAGTTTCCACCAAAGAAGACAAAAAAAAAAAAAGTCAAATCAAAAGGATTTTGATTTGATAATCAAATCAAATTTGATAATTAAGGAGCCTTGGTGGTGCAGCGGACTAAACTACTGTTAAAGTAGCACTTAGCTGCCAGCTGCCTGCAATTACTGCGAGTTCAATTCTCACCAGGCTCAAGGTTGACTCAGCCTTCCATCCTTTTGAGGTAGGTAAAATGAGGACCCGGATTGTGGGGGCAATAAGCTGACTTTGTATAAAAAAGAACACCGCTTGGGGGGGCCAAAAGCCCTACTAAGCAGGTATATACAAAAGTATGAAGGCTATTGCTTAACGCATTGTAAGCCGCCCTGAGTCTCCGGAGAAGGGCAGCATATAAATCGAACCAAATAAATAAATAAATAAAATTCTATTGAAGCATAAAGCTGCAATAGAAATAAAAATATCTGTGTTTCATATTTACATTATATCACGAGCTTTCATTGCAGTTTCTGCTTAAATAAAAGAACTCCCGTCAAATCACTTTATCTCCTTAAGGGGAAAAATTAATTCAGAGCTACCAACTGTCAAAATATTAAAATAATATCCGTTTATTTAAAGCATGACATTATTTTTTAAAAGGCCGATAGGGAGGACGTTGTGTTTGCGTGCTGCTCTTTTGAATTTTGAATATTTAAACGTTTCCAAGGTCGAAAATGCTGCCGGGTGCTCATTTGCAAATTCGTGCAGAGTGGAATAAAATATTAAGTTGGCTTTTCCGACGTGAATAAGCAACATGTGCATCAGATTTATTGCATTAAACACCACTTGGGCCGTGAGCATTATATAGGACAGTAATGGGTAACCTTTTTGCCGTTGCGTGCCAAAAGCGGGGGGAGTACGGGGGGGGGTCGCGTGTGCATGTGCCCACACCCATAATTCAATGCCCCCTGCCCCCCCATGCATGCCCGCATGACACCCCCCCCCCCCGGTGCTCTCCCCGCTTTTGACACACAATGGCACGGTGGGCACGATAGGCCCGTTTTTTCCCTCTCCCCAGGCTCCAGAGGCTTTCTAGAAGTCTGGGGAGGGCAAAAACTGCCTTCCCCATCACCCTGGAGGCCCTCCAGAGGCTGGAAATATGCAGAAGCTTCTGTGCATGCGCAGATCACCCATGATGACATCGTGGTGGGTGGGTGGAGCCTCCCGCCAGTTTTACTACCGGTTCTATAGAACCAGGCTGAACCGGGAGCTGTAGTGGCTCCGTTACCTGAGCCTGTGTCATCAGCAGGAGAGGACTCCGAGAGTGAAGGAGGGGAGTTGGCAAGGCCTCCCTCTCCAGGACCCTCCTCTCTGGCAATGCCTTCGGTGTCCACCGAAGGGCAAGAGATAGGGCCGGGGCCAAGCACGTCCACGCAGCCACAGATGGACAGTGATGAGGGTAATGAGTCTTGGCTGGATCCACGCCAGCGTCGCAGAGATAAGCATGCCCAACAGAAGAAAAGGCGTGCCAGAGATTAGGCTAAATCACTCCTGGATGCACCCCACAGGGCATAAAAGCAATTTAGGTGGCCATTCAGACCTGTGACCAGCCCAAACTGCTACTATCCCACCACTGCTCTTTGGAACTCAGTGATCTCCTTGGATTTATTTTACGAATTGGGACAACAAACTGTGTGTAATTTTGTTTATTGAGTAAAAGTCATGGCAAGCAGCTACTGGTTGCTGCCAAGGCTCTTAATCCAGGAATTGGTTGTCTGCAGATTTAACCCCCGGCTGTCAAAATGTGTGTGTGTGTGAGAGACGTGGGACAGAACAGGAACAACGTACCTTGTGATAAACCCCATTTTGGGCCTAGTAGGCCTCCCCTGAAGCCTCCTGGAGTGAAAATGGCCACCGGGGGAAGTCCTGGATGCTGGGGACGGGGCCAGCCAGCAACTTAAATACCGGGTTGCCTGAACTGGCCCAAACTGGCTGAATCCCACCACTGCTTTCAACTCAGTGAATGCTCCTGGTTATTTATGTTTGACAGCAGTGTTTGCTTAACAACAAACACTAAAAAAAAAAAAGGTCGAAAAAGCGGAACACAGGCACATGGTGGCTGCTTAACCACCAGTGTGACTGGAGACTCTAATTCCAGGCTCAATTGCGGTGGTAAGTCAAGGAGAACCTGCCCCACCAAAATGGAATTGGTTGAAATATCGTGAGATGCTAGGAGCCGTACCTGTAAGGGATGTTTTATTTTTCAACCTTTCCACGTCCATTATGAAGTCATCCTTCAGAAACAGGAAGCCAACGATGGAGAAGAGATAGACCAGGATGAGAGCTAGGACAGCAGTCAGAATGATGGACCTCCCGTTCCGCGTGACGCTTTTGATGACGTTCAGCAAAGTCTCCTCGCGATACACCAAGTCAAACAACTGGAGAAGAGAATAAACGAGAAGGAAGGAGATTAATCTCATAAATCGCATAAAACAAAGCAACCACTTCACGAATGCAACGGTGGCTTATTTTTGGAGGTGGCATCAGGACAAATTTCAGCATGGCATGGCTATTTGAAAGACTCATTTTGGAAGACCGCAAAGTCCACTTTGGACAGAGAGGACCGCTCGTTTTGAAAGAGAGTCCAAGAGGCCCATTATGTCCAAATGATCAGCTGAAACGGCCCTTTCAAACAAAGGGGAAGGGAAACAACCATCATCTCCCTCAATCTACAGCAACAGATCCTTCCAGCAGTTCCAAGATGGCTCCACAATAAAAGGGAATATTCAGGGACGGTGAGGGCACAGATAAACCAGTTCGTGACGTCAATCGACTCTCAGAAAGGTACTAACAACCGGATGACCCAAGGAACATGAAATCCTTCCATTTCCTCACCATTCAGTCAAAGTTGAAGAAGCTTCTTGGAGGAGAAGCGAAACGTCTTCAAAGAAAAACCAAGGAAGTCCAGATGCCTCTTGAAAAGAAGCACTTTTGGGACAACCATGACCAGGATGACTGAGAATCTCCACAGACATTTCAATCACATGGGAGGTTTTTAAGAAGGGACAGGACAGTCCCTTGTCTGAAATGGGATAGGGTCTCCTGCTTAAGCAGGGGGTTGGACTAGAAGACCTCTAAGGTCCCTTCCAGCTCCATTCTGATCGATTGATGGATTGAAATGTTGTACGGCCTTATGTCACAAACTCTCTTGTGGTATTTTTAACGTCGCAAAATGTTCTATAAAAATTGCCAGATTTAAATTCCGCAGGAGTTGGAATCTCCTAAAGAGCTTTACCCAAATTCCCAATAAATAATAATAAATTAATATCTGTGGAGCCTCTGAACACTTCCCAAGATGAATGCAGTAATTCTGCCTGCAAATATATTACAGCTATTTCCTTGTCAGAAACCCAAGCTTGCCTGCTCTTTGTCTAATGAAGGCGTTCAGATATGGGACAGGAAGCTACCATGACCCTGGGCTTCTCATGTGATAGCAGCTGAAAACAGGGGTGGGCTTCAAAAATTTTAGCAAGGGGTTCTCTGCCCGGTTGCTGGTGGGCGTGGCCATGGTGGGAGTGGCCTAGTCGGCCTTCTGCACCACGGGAGGGGGGGCATTTTTGCCCTCCCCGGCTCTGGAGGCTTCTCCCGAGCCTCTGGGAGAGCGAAAACGGCCTCCCCAGGCTCCGGAGGCCCTTTTTGAACTTCCGGTAGGCCCGTTTTTCACCCTCCCTGAGCCTCCATGCACACCCTGCACTTACCTGCATCCAAAATGGGTCGCGTGGGGACTCCTGGGTGGGGTGGGATGGGCCAGCCAGGAGTGGGATTTGGGGGTTCTCGGAACTGCACAGAATCTTAGCTAGAGGTTCTCCCGAATCTGTGCAAACCCCCAGCAGCCCATCCCTGGCTGAAAAGCTATATAGGTGGTCCTTGACATATAACATTTCAATCAATCAATCAATCAATCAATCAGAATAGATCTAGAAGGGACTTCTAGTCCAACCCCCTGCTCAAACAGGAGATCCTATCCCATTTCAGACAAGGGACTGTCCAGTCTCTTCTTAAAAACCTCCAGTGATTTATTTAACGACCATTAAAAGTTATAATGGTACTGAACATAGTGACTGACAACCAATCTTCACACTTATGACGGTTGCAGTATCGCGGCGGTCTGACCAACATTTGGACACTTGACAACTGATTCATAGTTATGACGGTGGCAGTGTTCCCTTTTGCGGCTTTCCCACATATTTAAATTCAATGGGGGGGGGGAAGCCAGGTTCACTTAATGACCAAATGACCAGGTGATTTAGAAATAGAATAGCAGACTTGGAAGGGACCTTGGAGGTCTTCTAGTCCAACCCCTCGCTTAGGCAGGAAACCCTACACCACTTCAGACAAATGGTTGTCCAACCTCTTCTTAAAAACTTCCAGTGTTGGGGCATTCACAACTTCTGGAGGCAAGTTTTTCCACTTATTAATTGTTCTCACTGTCAGGAAATTTCTCCTTAGTTCTAGGTTGCTTCTCTCCTTGATTAATCTCCATCCATTGTGAAGTCACACAATACATATTCATATTAAAGTCACAGAACACATATATTGCCTGGACAACTTGTTAGGCTCAAACCATATCCTAACACATTGCTTCTTGTCCTACCCTCAGGTGCTTTGGAGAAAAGCTTGACTCCTTCTTCTTTGGGGCAGCCTCTGAGATATTGGAAGACTGCTATCATGTCTCCTCTGGTCTTCTTTTCATCAAACTAGACATACCCAGTTCCTGCAACTTTCTTCATATGTTTTAGCCTCTCCAGTCCCCTAATCCTCTTTTTTGCTCTTCTCTGCACTTTTTCTAGAGTCTCCACATCTTTTTTACATCGTGGTGACCAAAACTGAATGCCCTATTCCAAGTGTGGCCTTACCAAGGCATTATAAAGTGGTATTAACACTTCACCTGATCTTGATTATATCCGTCTGTTTATGCAGCCCACATTTGCTTAACAACCCTGGTAAAAAGGTAGTAAAACCAGGCCTTTCACTTAACAATGGCCTTGCTTATCAATTCTGGTTCCACCTCTACGCATGACAGAATTTTAAAGAAAAAGAAAAGAAACTATTTTCTTCTTTGACAAGAAACAGAAAACAAACATACTCACCAAGAAGCTGTAAAAAAATTCGTGCACGCAGAGGCCCAACATACAGACCAGGACATAAGCCACGTGGTAGAGAAAAGCCATATCCATGATGACAGCTCGGTAGCCACGGGTGAATGTCCCACGATTGCCAACGAAGCTCACCAAAAATACAATTTTGTTACAAAGCTGCACAAAAAAAAAAAAAATTAAAAAAAAAATACAATCTTATTACAAAGGTGGAGAGAAGCAACCGAGACAGTACCTCTCAAGACTTACAATGCTATCCCTATTGCTTGCATTTCTCTTCGGTGAACCTGTGTCCCAGATAGATGCTAAGAATTTCTTTTTTTAAAAAAAGTGTTTCTATAGAATTGAAGCAGCCATAGATAGGCAGGGCCAAGAGACAAAAGGACCAAGTTATATTTTTTAATAATGTGACATAATATTGGAATACTCTGTGAATAACAAAGTTGGTTAGATTATGAGATGGGAGGTGTGGAAATTTAATAGAAGGAAGGAAGGAAGGAAGGAAAGAAGGAAGGAAGGAAGGAAGGAAAGAAAGAAAGAAAGAAAGAAAGAAAGAAAGAAAGACAGACAGACGATAGATAGATAGATAGATAGATAGATAGATAGATAGATAGATGATAGATACTGTGTTTCCCCGAAAATAAGACATCCCCTGATAATAAGCCCAATCGGGCTTTTGACCGCATGCACTAAAATAACCTCCCCCCCGAAAATAAGCCCTCCCCAAAAATATTTAACTGCATGCACAGCCGGTCCCCGCCATTTCCTCTTGTTAGGGTTAGGGAGACAGAGCTGGAAATCAGGTAAGATGGCAAGAGGATCCCCGTCTTGCTCCAGGCGCCCCAAAATAATAAGACCTCCCCGAAAATAAGGCCAAGAGCTTATTTCAGGGTTCAAAAAAAAATATAAGACAGGGTCTTACTTTCGGGAAAACATGGTAGATATGGATGGATAGACAAATATAGATATATTGATTGATTGATATGGATGGATAAAAGATAGATAGATACATAGATACATAGACAGACAAGATAGAGACAGACAGACAGATAGATAGATAGATAGATAGATAGATAGATAGATAGATAAGATGATAGATAGATAGATAGATAGAGAGAGAGAGAGAGAGAGAGAGATGGTAGATGGATAGACAGAGATAGATAGATAGATAGATAGATAGATAGATAGATAGAGTAGTAGATAGAGAGAGATGGTAGATGGATAGACCGAGATAGATAGATAGATAGATAGATAGATAGATAGATAGATAGATAAGATGATAGATAGAGAGAGTAGTAGATAGAGATAGATGATAGATGGATAGATAGATAGATAGATAGATAGATAGATAGATAGATAGATAGATGGATGGATGGATGGATGGATGGATGGATGGATGGATAGATAGATAGATAGATAGATAGATAGATAGATAGATAGATAGATCAATAAATAGAAAGTGTACCACTTACAACATGTATATGGGGATGGTTTGTAGGCAGAGTAAAGAGGTGGAATTTCTGAAGAAAAGTCAACTTCAATAGGCCTTTATCATGCAAACGTATCTGACCTTCACTTGACTTAAAGTGGAATTAATGAGGCTTGAGACCCACACGGAGTATTTGCCAAGGTGGCTGGTTCCATTTCCCAGCCACGCTAAATCAATACGGAACAAGAGAGAACGGATGACCTCTCGATGAATTGTGGGAGGAGTTTTTAAAAACTTACGTTAGCGGCGCCCAGAAGGATCAGCGTGGGCCCGAGACCAATCGTATAGATAGATCTGAGCATGACAGAGACCAAGAATGGGCGGATTCCAACAGGTTTTGGGAAAAAGAAAAGGAGGGACGTACAGACGGCCACAGCGATCCAGAGGAGAATGGAAAATAACGGAGAAAGCGTCCCTAGATGGAAGAAGAGACATCATTATATTTTAGAATATAAGAAGTAGACCATTGTCATCATCATCATCTTCTTTTAATGGCCCCGTAATCCCTTGCGGCATGGAGCCGGGAAACTGAATGAAGCTGAATGTTTACTGGCCAGATGCCCTTCCTGTCACCAGTGCGGAGTTTTGTTCAGCAGATACATTCTCAGAGTGCCCAGAAAGAGAAATATCTGCCTCTGCCTAGGATCGAACTCACAGCCTCCTGATTGTCTGGCGAAAGCTCCACCTCTATGCCACCGCACCACAATATAAGAAATTGATCCCTGAATTAAATCAGTCACGATCCAATCAATATTTTTCCTGCCTGCTACAAGGCAGAAAAAAAGGGACGCGAACAATTTCATTTTATAGTAAACCTATCGATGTCGTTAAATAGAATTGAAGGACTTCCAATAGGAAAAAAAAAAAAGGAATAATTCAGTTGTTAGCTGTGGTTGGTTTGGTGAACTCTTAAGAAAAAGCTTTACAGGTGGTCCTTACAACCATTTGATTAGCAATTGTTCAAAGTCAGAAGGGCACGGAAAAAAGTCCTCACACTTATGGCCATTGTAGCATTTCCACAGTCACATGATCAAAATTTGGGGGGTCTGGCAACCAGGATATATATAAAATGGTGCCACCAAACCACGATCCCCTAATCACTATTTGTGGCCTGGCCAGTCAGCTCCTCTAAATAAGGACTTGAGGACTTCAACTCCTTGAATTCCCCAGCCAGCATGTCTTAAAGTTGGTAAGGTTGGGAAACCCAGATTTAGAATACAATAGAATTTTTATTGGCCAAGTGTGATTGGACACACAAGGAATTTGTCTTGGTGCATAAGCTCTCATTGTACATAAAAAGAAAAGAATAGAATAGAATAGAATAGAGTAGAGTAGAGTAGAGTAGAGTAGAGTAGAGTAGAGTAGAGTAGAATAGAGAATAGAGTAGAATAGAATAGAATAGAATAGAATAGAATAGAATAGAATAGAATAGAATAGAATAGAATAGAATAGAATAGAATTTTTATTGGCCAAGTGTGATTGGACACACAAGGAATTTGTCTTGGTGCATAAGCTCTCATTGTACATAAAAAGAATAGAATAGAATAGAATAGAATAGAGTAGAGTAGAGTAGAGTAGAGTAGAGTAGAGTAGAGTAGAGTAGAGTAGAGTAGAATAGAATAGAATAGAATAGAATAGAATAGAATAGAATAGAATAGAACAGAATAGAATAGAATAGAATTTTTATTGGCCAAATGTGATTGGACACACAAGGAAGTTGTCTTGGTGCATAAACTCTCAGTGTACATAAAAGAAAAGATACGTTCATCAAGAATCATAAGGTACAACACTTAATGATAGTCATGGAGTACAAATAAGAAATCAGGCAACAATCAATATCAATATAAATCGTAAGGATACAAGCAACAAAGTTACAGTCATACAGTCATAAGTGGGAGGAGATGGGTGATGGGAACGATCAGAAGATTAATAGTAGTGCAGACTTAGTACATAGTTTGACAGTTAATTATTTATTTAGCAGAGTGATGGCGTTCGGGAAAAAACTGTCCTTGTGTCTAGTTATTCTGGTGTGCAGTGCTCTATAGCGTCATTTTGAGGGTAGGAGTTGAAACAGTTGATGTCCAGGATGCGAGGAGTCTGGAAATATTTTCACAGCCCTCTTTTTGACCCGTGCAGTATACAGGTCCTCCATGGAAGGCAGGTTGGTAGCCATTGTTTTTTCTGCAGTTCTAATTATTCTCTGAAGTCTGTGTCTGTCTTGTTGGGTTGCAGAGCCAAACCAGACAGTTATGGAGGTGCAGATGACAAACTCAATCATTCCTCTGTAGAACAGAATCAGCAGCTCTTTGGGGCAGTTTGAGCTTTCTGAGTTGGCGCAGAAAGAACCTTCTTTGTTGTGCTTTTTTGATGACGTTAGCTGTCAATTTTAGATCTTGCGATATGGTAGAACCTAGAAATTTGAAGATCTCTAACTGTTGATACTATATGGTCTAATATTGTGAGAGGTGGAAGTATGGAAGAGTCTGTCCTAAAATCTACCACCATTTCTACGTTTTTGAGTGAGTTAGATAGAAAAGGTGTATCTAAAAGGGAATAGGCTTGAATTATGAGATACTTTACCCAGAGTTGAAACTGAGTTGCTGAAGGCAATAAATACATTATGAATAAAAATACATTAAAGAATGTTTGCGGTGATGCGAGAGGAGTGCTCGTTGGATATGTGGGTCTACAGGTAGATTTGCATTCTGGTGATGCTGTACCGCTGCCTGAGAATCTGAATGATTTGCAGCAAATAGATTGTATTGTACACAGTAGATTGTATTGTGTACTGAGAAACACAGGTGCGGAAAATAATATGTCAAAAGAAAAGGGAGATGTGTTTGACGGGGTGGGGGGTGGGGAAAAGGACTGAAGATTGCAGGTTATATAAAAATGATAAAAACACACAACAAAAGATGAATTTGTATACTTTAGGAGAAAGTTTCCTAAAGATGTGGAAAGTGTCGGGTGTGAAATATTAGGTCCCCACAGGAAGGTCCAACTAAACTGATTTATTGCTAAAAACCCATGCATAGGAATCTTCTCAAATAACAGATAGATCCTGCTTCAGAGGTGCTATTCAGCAGGTTCTGACAAGTTCTGGAGAACCGGGAGCGGAAATTTTGAGTAGTTCGGAGAACCGGCAAATACCACCTCTGGCTGGCACTAGAGTGGGGAGGGAATGGAGATTTTGCAATATCCTTCCCCTGGAGTGGGGTGGAAATGGAGATTTTGCAGGTTCCTTCCCCGTGGAGTGGGGTGGGAATGGAGATTTTGCAGGTTCCTTCCCCCTGGAGTGGGGTGGGAATGGAGATTTTGCAATATCCTTCCCCCTGGAGTAGGATGGGAATGGAGGTTTTGCAATATCCTTCCCCTGGAGTAGGATGGGAATGGAGATTTTGCAATATCCTTCACCCAAGAGTGGGGAGGGAATGAAGATTTTGCAATATCTTCCCCTGGAGTAGGATGGGAATGGAGATTTTGCAATATCCTTCCCCTGGAGTAGGATGGGAATGGAGATTTTGCAATATCCTTTACCCAGGAGTGGGGAGGGAATGGAGATTTTGCAGTATCCTTCTCCTGGAGTAGGGTAGGAATGGAGATTTTGCAATATCCTTCCCCCAGGAGTGGGGAGGGAATGGGGATTTTGCAGTATCCTTCCCTGGAGTAGGATGGGAATGGAGATTTTGCAATATCCTTCCCCTGGAGTGGGGAGGGAATGGAGATTTTGCAGTATCCTTCTCCTGGAGTAGGGTGGGAATGGAGATTTTGCAATATCCTTCCCCCAGGAGTGGGGAGGGAATGGGGATTTTGCAGTATCCTTCCCCTGGAGTGGGATGGAAATGGAGATTTTGCAGTATCCTTCCCCTGGAGTGGGGTAGGAATGGGGATTTTGCAGTATCCTTCCCCCTGGAGTGGGGTGGGAATGGAGATTTTGCAGTATCCTTCCCCTGCCACACCCACCAAGCCACACCACATCCACCAAGGCATGCCCACAGAACCAGTAGTAAAAAAAAATTGAATTCCACCACTGTCCTGCTTGGCGTTAAATACGGGTCAACGGAATTCAAAGGGAGTTGAACTTAGTTCATTTGTGACTATGTACGGATTCTAGGCAGATCTCTCTTTTAACCCCACCTCCACGTTCTGTTACTCCTTCTCCTACAGAAATGGATGGATTCTGGCCAACTTGCTTTTAAAAATTCCCTTATTATAATCGGAACTTGGTAGATAATTGGGATGAGAGCACATCATTGGGTGATGGATCTCACCTCAATGAAATGGTCAAAAGATGGGGTCTCATCCCTACTACCTTGCATTCAGAAATCTCATGCCATGTCAGATGTCCTTTTGATGGTTTGCTCTGCAATGCTGGTTAGTCTCAGGATGGATCCCCATGATTTGGGGAGAGGGTCTAAAGTTAGGGTTAGTATTCCAAGATTGCAATTTTGTAATATACCTCTGCAATTCCAAGGGCACATCATCATCATCATCGTTTAACGACCCCCATAATCCCTTGCGGGTTGGAGTCTGGGCCACTGAATGAAGCTAGCGGAGTGTTTTACTGGCCAGATGCCTTTCCTGTCGCCAATGCGGAGTTTTGTTCAGCATATATATTCCCGGTGTGTCCAGAGAGAGAAATAACTGCCTGTACTTAGGATCGAACTCACAGCCTCCTGATTGTGAGGCGAGAGCTCCACCTCTAGGCCACCGCACCACTCCTAATTCCAAGGGCGCATGACATGAGCAAAAAAAAAACTCCCAGCTCATCAGTTAGATGAGCACATGACAAATGAGCACATGACAGATCTGATGCCCCAGGCGATCTGGTCATCTGGGAAGCGCATAGAATCCCAGGACTCTCTGAACGAAAGTGAAAAGTGAAGGAAGAAGATCTAACTGGCTTTTAAATAGCTATACAATAACCGGATCATGTGCAATTCACATGTTTCTTTCACGAGCATTGTTCCACAACCTGCAGAGTTATGGCTGTGTTTTTTTTTGTCTTCACAAAAGAGCATGACTTCTCCTTAATTTAACCCTGAGTTGCAAATATTCTCTTCTATTGAGTTTGCATTTTTCTCTAGCTGCTTGATCCTGGAAAATCTTAGCAAAATGGGAAGAGGGGATCCCACCATTTCAGATTTTGTCCTTTGTGATATAAAAAAACCCCACAAAAACAGGCTGAGCCAAAGAACTTGCCTCCAGAAGTTGTGAATGCTCCAACACTGGAAGTTTTTAAGAAGAGGTTGGATAACCATTTGTCTGAAGTGGTGGAGGGTTTCCTCCCTAAGCAGGGGGCTGGACTAGAAGACCTCCAAGGTCCCTTCCAAATCTGATATTCTATATTCTAATCATGGAGAGCCTTGAGGTTTTAAAAACGGCCCTTTTCAAGGGAATGGAGGACTGTCTGTAAAACTCTTGAACTTTTAGGTGTATGAAATGTTGTTTTTTTTTCTCTCCGGTGGGACCGGTCTATCGGGGCAGCCTGGTCTACCCAATTATGGGATGGAGTATACTGCTTCCGTTTAATCTTACTCAATCTCTCCCCTGGTATAGCCAACAAAGTGAGGAGAGCCCATGGCTTAGAGGTTAATACATCTACCTAATATGCAAGCAGCCCGGATTTGAATCCCAGAAGGTTATGGCTAGCTGGCGAGAGCTAAATAGATTTATTTATTTATTTTATAGATATATATTTTAAACATTTCTATATTATAGATATATAAATAGATCTATCTATTTATTTATTTAGGAGATCAACCCTGACTGCTCTTTAGAAGGCCCTGAATATGAAACTCAAATATTTTGGCCACCTAATGAGAAGGAAGGACTCACTGGAGAAGAGCCTAATGCTGGGAACGATGGAGGGCAAAAGAAGAAGAAAGGGACGGCAGAGAACGAGGTGGCTGGATGGAGTCACTGAAGCAGTCGGCGTGAGCTTAAATGGTCTCTGGGCAGTGGTGAAATTCAAATTTTTTACTACTGGTTCTGTGGGTGTGGCTTGGTGAGCGTGGCAGGGGAAGGATACTGCCAAATCCCCATTCCCACCCCACTCCTGGGACAAGGATACTGCCAAATCCCCATTCCCACCCCACTCTGGGGCCAGCCAGAGGTGGTATTTGCCGGTTCTCCAAACTACTCCGGGGAATGGTAGAGGACAGGAAGGCCTGGAGGAACGTTGTCCATGGGGTTGCGATGGGTTGGACGCGACTTCGCGACCAACAACAACAAATTATTTATTTGTCTCTCTTTATTTCTCTGGGGTCAGGTGGTTACCAGTGGTGGGTTCCTCCCGGTTCGGCCCGGTTCGGCTGAGCCGGTAGCGGTGACGATATGACGTCACTGAACCAGTTCTCTTTGTTCGGGAGCTGGGCCCTCCCGCCCCCGCCCCCCATGTTATTCTTACCTTTTATTTGGCCCCGCCCCCAATCTATTCGCTGCCTCCCGAGTCCCAGCTGATCGGCTAGAAGAAAAAAAACTGTTTAAACTCTTGCCGCGGGGCTTCAAAGGGCCGCCCTACAGCTGATCAGTATTAAAAGGCAGTGTGGTGGTAGACCGGTGCCTCCAAAAACGAATGAGTAGACCGGTACAGCTCTGCAAGCAGTTAAAAGCCTGGTAGATCAGTACCTCTGCTAAATCCTAAAGAATTGTCACATGACCGTCAAACCACACCCACAAAATAAGTCACACCCACAGAACCGGTAGTAAAAAAATTTAGAACCCACCCCTGGTGGTTACTATCTCTAACAAAGGAAAGATCTGTAGTTTTGTAACTTTCATAACCCAAGCAACGTACCTTCATCTCCATCATCTCCAAATGGGTAGAAGAGGGCCACGGCGAGATTGATGAAAACGGCGAGATTGAACGATATGCTTCCCCACAGAGAAATTTGCCGAGAGAACCAAAATAATGCCGGATTATCTAGGAAGGAAAGGAGAAACAATTATTGTTCATCTCAACCAAAAATTGTTGTTCCAGATGTTGCGGGAGACTTTCAAAAAGAATTGTATTTGCACAAAAGTGGAAAAGCGAAGAGATCCCGACTGATGAGAAGGTGATTAGGAAAATATTAGAATGTGCAGAAATGAATAGGTTAACGATTGCAGTTAAGGAGAAAGAACAAACTGAATATTATATGACAATGAAGTTATTTTATCAACGGTTAGAGAATAAAAATTGGAAGGAGGGGTTTGGCTCAGCTTGCTAAGGCTGAAAAGGATGGCCAGAATCCTTCATTAACCACCTCATAGTTGGTGAAAATTGCATATGGATTAACTTTCAGCTACTGATCCAGGGGTGAAATCCAGCAGGTTCCTACAGGTTTTGGAGAACCGGTAGCGGAAATTTTGAGTAGTTCAGAGAACCTGCAAATACCACCTCTGGCTGGCCCCAGAGTGGGGTGGGAATGGAGATTTTGCAGTATCTTTGCCCTGGAGTGGTGTGGGAATGGAGATTTTGCAGTATCCTTCCCCTGAAGTGGGGTGGGAATGGAGATTTTGCAGTATCTTTGCCCTGGAGTGGGGTGGGAATGGAGATTTTGCAGTATCCTTCCCTTGGAGTGGGGTGGGAATGGAGGTTTTGCAGTATCCTTCCCCTGCCACGCCCACCAAGCCACGCCCACAGAACCGGTAGTAAAAAAAAATTTGGATTTCACCACTGGAATATTTTTACCCAGAGTTGAAATTGGGTTGCTGAAGGCGATAAATACATTATGAATAAGAGACATTAAAAAATATTTCCAGTGATGTGAGGGGTGTTCTAGTTGGATATGTGGCTCTACAGGTAGATTTGCATTCTGGTGGCTTGTCCCAAGGTCGTGATGGTATTCACCGGTTCAGATTGGTTCAAGCGAACCGGTAGTGGCGACCTGCAGGTGGGCCCGCCCACGTGTCCCGGCCAGTGGTGGGTTGCCCCCGGTTTGGACCGGTTCTATAGAATCAGTAGTAAAACCGGCGGAAGGCTCCACCCACTGACCCCAACGACATCAGAACGCTTCTGCGCATGCACAGCCCCCTTGCGAACTGGTAGTAAAGATAGGTAGAACTCACACCTGGTCCCAGCGCTATTCCATCCTATTTAGCCATGTTTTCTGAGCCGCGCACATGCGTGCACATTTTCGGTACGCAGCGAACCAGTGGTAAAATCATGTGAAACCCACCGCTGCTCCAAGGTCCCTTCCTACTCTATTATTTTACGTTCTATCTTGCTTTTTACGGTCAATACATGGAAAAAGCAGAACCTTTACCACAGAACTTCCCCCAAAGTTAGAGACTTGACTTTAGATCTCTTCCGAGTAACCGCCAAACAGACAAATCCTTACAAACACCGTACTCACTCCTAATTTTCCTCTGCCACTTCATTTCGTTATACAGATCCTCGGTCTGTTGGAAAAAATCGTTGACTTTGCTCCCTTGTTCGTCTCTTTCCGTGGTGTTGAATACGCGGCATTTTGATTCATGGGTGAGGAATTCACAAACGTTTGGCACGGGAAATACTATTTGCTCCATGGTTCTGTCGTGGCGGACAATCTGCAAAGGTCAAAAAATATTTGTACTTATAACTGCTGGGAATACAGGATGCCACTTCCTTAGTTTCTCTTTCTTTTCTATTTTTCTTTAACATTTTTCTTTTCTTCTACTTTTTTTTCTTTTTCTTTGATTTCTTTCTTACTTTTTCTTTTTTGCTTTCTTCTAGTTTCTATTAGCTTTTATCATCTTTTTAAAAAGTTTTAATAATATATATATATATATATATATTATATATATATATATATATGTCTTTGGTTATTCGGGTCTTCTCCCACGTAAAATTGGAAGTGTCTTGGTGACGTTTCAACGAAGTCTCATTCGTCATCTTCAGGCTGGTGTTCTCGGCTGCGATCTCACATTGCTCCTGGAAGCACGAAGCCGAGAACACCAGCCTGAAGATGACGAATGAGACTTCGTCGAAACGTCGCCAAGACACTTCCAATTTTACGTGGGAGAAGACCCGAATAACCAAAGACCTACATACAAACACCCGCGAAAACCTGAGAATATATATAAATATATATATATTATATATTTAAAAATTATACATATAGGATTATCTATCTATCTATCTATCTTTTTTCTTTCTAATCTATCTATCTATCTATCTATCTATCTATCTATCTATCTATCTATCTATCTATCTATCTATCTCATAGTTTACTACCTGCTCATTCCTGATGACAATGTCACCTCATCAAGTGACAGAAAGAAGATTCCATGAAGAACTCATTCTCTCTTATTTCCGCAAATCTGGTATTTCAAGTAAGGATCAGCAGAAGGAGTCCTCCATGACAGGGGTCTCCAACCTTGGCAACTTTAAGACTTCAACTCCCAGAGCTCCTCAGCCACCTGCTTGAGGAACTCTGGGAGTTGAAGTCCACAAGTCTTAAAGTTGCCAAGGTTGGAGACCCCTGTTCCATGAGACGGAATGTAGCACTGAAGCCTACAAATATTTTCAGCTCAGCAAACAACAGTTTACCTCAATTTGGGCGGTATGGTTGGCATAATACTTCAAAGCTTCATCTCCTTCTTCTGGATCTGCCCCAGGTTTCAGCATGTGTTGTAATGCTTTATTATGACGGGACAACTGGAAGTAAACGGAGGCGGGGGGGAAACAAATGTTAGAAATGCCATCTGGGTAGCTTGTAAAACTAAAAGGCAAAAGACATCACCAGATAAATCTTCAGTTCCACTGAATAAACCATCTAACCGAATACAACGAGTTCTCGCTTAGACTTCTGATTATTTATTGAAATGCACGGTCTGCGATCTGCAGCATTAGAAGTCCTAAAATCGTAGGGCCGGAAGGGACCTTGGAGGTCTTATAGTCTAACCCCCTCCTCAAGCCAGGAGTCTTGTAGCATCACAGCCAAATGGTTGTGAGCAGTGGCGAAATCCAATTTTTTTTTTACTACCGATTCTGTGGGCGTGGGTGTGGCATGGTGGGTGTGGTGTGGCTTGGTGGGCGTGTCAGGGAAAGGATACTGCAAAATCTCCATTCCCACCCCACTCCAGGGGAAGGATACTGCAAAATCCCCATTCCTTCCCCACTCCTGCAGGGAAGGATATTGCAAGAGCCCCATTCCCTCCCCACTCTGGGGCCAGCCATAGGTGGTATTTGCCAGTTTTCCGAACTACTCAAAATTTCCGCTACGGGTTCTCCAGAACCTATCAGAACCTGCTGGATTTCACCCCTGGATCAGTGGCTGAAAGTTAATCCATATGCCATTTTCACCAGCTACGAGGTGGTTAATGAAGGATTCTGGCGACCCTTTTCAGCCTTAGCAAGCTGAGCCAAACCCCCTCCTTCCAATTTCGTCTGATGTTCAATTAGCGGCTGTCACCCGAACCCCATTATCTTGTCTCATCCAGAGGATAACTCCCGGATTATGACAAGTGACAGGCCTCGCGATATGATAGGCGTCAAGAATTTAATCAGTGCAAACGAAGGTGGAAGCACACGAGATGTTCAAGATGAATCATTCAAGCAGAAGTTGGTTTCCAACGAAGCCCCCAAACCACAGTAGCTAATTTTAAACTGAGGCGGATGCAAGGTTTCATCAGACCATTAGACAGATTTACATATAAGTAATTACTAGAAATAGTGGCTTCTGGCAATGAGTGGCCCAACCACCAACCCTTGCTTCAAGATGGTCTCCTGTGGAGGGTTTAAATATTTCCCACCCCTTCTTAAAAGTACTTCCTCCAATGTGTGTCAATTCATTGCTAAGAAAATTCATTCTCCATTCCTTAGTGGAGAAAAATAATTTTCTTAACAAACCTATCCCATGTTGCAGAGATATTTTTGCTGAAGGTTTTGTTGAAGGCAACATCTACACAATGCTTTAAGTCATTTGCAGTCTATCTGGCCAGCTAATTCCACCCCTCTTATTTTATCCTCTTTATTTTATTTTTAAGACCACACCTGGAATATTGCATCCAGTTTTGGTCATCCACTACATTGTAAAAAAAAAAAAAAATGTTGAGACTCTGGAAAAACGGATGGATGGATGGATGGATGGATGGATGGATGGATGGATGGATGGATAGATAGATAGATAGATAGATAGATAGATAGATAGATAGATAGATAGATAATAGATAACAAAGATGATTAGGGGACTGGAGGCTAAAACATATGAAGAACAGTTGCAGGAATTGGGTATGTCTAGTCTGATGAAAAGAAGGACCAGGGTGACATAATAGCAGTCTTCTAATATCTCAGGGGCTGCCCCAAAGAAGAGGGAGTCAAGCTATTCTCCAAAGCACCTGAAGGCAGGACAAGAAGCAACAGATGGAAACTGATCAAGGAGAGACGCAACCTGGAACTAAGGAGAAATTTAGTAATACTGAGAAAAATTAATTAATGAAATTACTTTGCTTTCAGAAATCGTGGGCGCTCCAACACTGGAGGTTTTTAAGAAGAGATTGGACAACCATTTCTCTGAAATTGTATAGGTTCTCCTGTGTCAGCACTTCAAGCTGCATTTACTCTAGTGCTGACATAAGAAGAAGTGGAGACATCTGGAAAGGGAGGTTTGACTTTTCACCTACTTATTTTCCCTGGAGATAATATCCCCTAGGAGATGGGATGGGAAGGGGGAAATTCCTTTGAGCTGGAGCGGTAGATTAGGGGTAGAATGACTTGGAAGATGGCCAATGAGTGCAGGGGAGTGGGGAACGGAAAGGGAGGGTTTTGGGTCTGGAAGTCAGTGTTGGCTTCGATGAGTCGGAGGTAGAAAGTCGTGCTTAATAAATGGGAATTTTTCTTCAAAGACTTCGTTTGAAATGCAATTTATTTGAGACGACCTCGAAACCTAACATCCTGCTTGAACAGAGGGTTGCACTAGAAGACCTCCAAGCTCCCTTCCAACCCTGTTATTCTATGTTTTATGCCCTATTTGCCATACTAGCTTGAGACCTCTTTATATCTGTCAAATCTCTGATTTCTTCTGCTTCTGGTAAGCTCAACCACAAGTAATGACAGGAAAGGATGTTGCATTGAAGGGAAAAAAAGTACAAATGGCTACTGCCTTTTAAACAGCTGTTGAAACTGAGAGTCTGAATGCCTCTAAAATAATATTGTCAGCCCACATAAGATTAAAAAGAAGAACTTGTGTCTGGTTTTTTTTTAGCTTCCTCTAATCAGCAAAGAGATTGGAAACCAACTACCATCTATTCACTTATCTTAATTAAAAAAAAACCCAAGCTAAATTATATTCACTATGGTTAAGTTTTATAGGGACACGGTGGCTCAGTGGCTAAGACGCTGAGCTTGTCGATTGAAAGGTCAGCAGTTAGGCGGTTCGAATCCCGAGTGCCGCGTAACGGGGTGAGCTCCCGTGACTTGTCCCAGCTTCTGCCAACCTAGCAGTTCGAAAGCAGGTAAAAAATGCAAGTAGAAAAATAGGGACCACCTTTGGTGGGAAGGGAACAGCGTTCCGTGCACCTTTGGCGTTGAGTCATGCCGGCCACATGACCACGGAGACGTCTTTGGACAGCGCTGGCTCTTCGGCTTTGAAACGGAGATGAACACTGCTCCCTAGAGCTGGGAACAACTAGCACGTATGTGCAAGGGGAATCTTTACCGTTACCTTTTTATAGTAAGTTTGTAAGACCAACAGACTTAGCTGAATGGAGCCAGTCTGTTCCAAAAACACATCAAAAGTGAGAGATTTATTGATATGCGGCTACCGAGATACATTCCAGCAGCGTGGAGGACATGAGTTGTGAAGAACTGAACATCAGGAAGCAGAAAAAAAGAAATACGACGGAGATAAAAATCACTTAAGGAAGCAGTTTTTGACAAGTATCCGTAACAAAGCTTACTCAGGAAACGGGTATAAATCTCCCTTTTCAAGATCAAAAGATGTGACCAGCGGCCCAGTATTTGTTTCGTTCATTCCGTCTTAAAAAATGCACAGACTTGGAAATGTTAAGATTTATTTATGTTACGACAAACGTTTTAACTTGACTTAGATGGGTTTGGGGGGCTGGGTCAGGAAAAAAAATAGCTTGGATATGATTTATACGATTTATATTTTTAGATGCTGACAAAAGTGCGTATAGTCCAGGCGATGGTTTTCCCAGTTGCAATGGATGGCAGTGTTGTGGCCCCGCCCTCTGAGCCTGTCCCATCGGAGGAAGAAAGCTCCGAGCATGAGGAAGAGGAGTCAGCCAGGCCTCCCTCTCCAGGCCCCTCCCCTCTGGCACTGTCTCAGGTGCCGGCCGAGGGAGAGGAGATTAGCAGGGAGACAGGTGGCTCGGATGAGAGCGAGGGAGAGACATTGTTCCTGGACGCACGCCTCCGAAGGCGTGATAAACGATTGCAGCAGCTCAGGAGGCATGCTAGGGATTAGAACTGAGTCACTGGATCACACCCCAGAGACTATATAATAGAGGGTGGTGGCCAGTGATCCCTGTGACGAACAAAAATAAACCTTGGATAGTCACTAAAGCATCGTCCGAAACTGCTGAGAGGAATATTAATTCTGTTGGACTCTTGTACGCTGAGTATATTATCTTTCTGTTTTCTGTGGAAATAAAAGCACTTGGCAGACGGTGTGTATATCGCTGCCAAGTTGGAGATAAAGACCTGGGTGTGTTCCAAGTGCTTCCTTAACCCTCGGCTGGCTGTGTTTGTGTGTGTGTGTGGACGGGGACAGATCAGGCTGTGAAAGTTGGACCTTAAGGAAGGCTGAGCGTCAAAGAATTGAGGCCTTTGAACTCTGGTGCTGGAGAAGATTCCTGCGAGTCCCTTGGACTGCAAAGCCATCCAACCGGTCAGTCCTAGAGGAGATCAACCCTGACTGCTCTTTAGGAGGCCAGATCCTGAAGAGGAAACTCAAATCCTTTGGCCACCTAATGAGAAGGAAGGACTCCTTGGAGAAGAGCCTAATGCGGGGAACGATTGAGGGCAAAAGAAGAAGGGGACGGCAGAGAACAAGGTGGCTGGATGGAGTCACTGAAGCAATCAACGTGAGCTTAAATGGACTCCAGAGGATGGTGGAGGACAGGAAGGCCTGGAGGAACGTTGTCCATGGGGTCGCGATGGGAGTTAACAACAACGACGATTTAGGGTTCAGTTTTGAGTGCTGGCTGTTTAGAAGGAGCAATTTAGACTGCTTGGGAATGAATTAATTATCCCCATGTTTAAACATGATTTACTTAATCTCCTTGGGCTTTATATAAGCATTTGATTTTAATTTGTCATCGTTAAATTTACTAGTAAATTTAAGAGGATTGTAATCTAATAATGTTAACCATTCCAATCTAGTATTATTATTATTTTTTTGATGCCCACTCTGAGTAAGGTGAGCAGTCCCTCTGTTTGATAACAACGTACCTGGTGAGCTAATATATAGATATTATGCCCAACATCTTTTGGTGAAATATTGTCATCTCCGTTTTCCTCTTCTTGATCACTGTCAAGACCCTGGTTATAGGCGTTCTTCATGACGTCCACCTTGAAAGAAAATTTCTTTGATTGTTAAATCGAATGAGCTCTTTGCCCTCTTTAGTTTCATGTAACACCCTCTGCATACTCTTAATGCTTTTCTCCAATCTCCATTAAATAATCTCTTTCTATCCCACCATATTTTTAAAAATCTGTTTGCCGTGGATGAAGGCAGGAGAAGAAGCAATGGATGGAAACTCAACAAGGAGAGAAGCAGCTTAGAAGTAATGAGGGATTTCCTGACAGTGAGAACAATTAATCAGTGGAACCACTTGCCACCAGAAGTTGTGGATGCTCCAACATTGGAGGTTTTTAAGAAGACGTTGGACAGCCTTTAGGGTTTCCTGCTTGGGCAGGAGGTTGGACTAGAAGACTTCCAAGGTCCCATCCAGTGGTGAAATCCAAATTTTTTTACTACCGGTTCTATGGGCATGGCTTGGTGGGCGTGGCAGAGGAAGGATACTGCAAAATCACTCCAGGGGAAGGATACTGCAAAATCCCTATTCCCACCCCACTCCTGGGGGAAGGATACTGCAAAATCTCCATTTCCACCCTACTCCTGGGGGAAGGATACTGCAAAATCTCCATTCCCACCCTACTCCTGGGGGAAGGATACTGCAAAATCTCCATTCCCACCCCACTCCTGGGGGAAGGATACTGCAAAATCTCCATTCCCACCCCACTCCTGGGGGAAGGATACTGCAAAATCTCCATTCCTACCCGACTCCTGGGGGAAGGATACTGCAAAATCTCCATTCCCACCCCACTCCTGGGGGAAGGATACTGCAAAATCTCCATTCCTACCCTACTCCTGGGGAAAGGATACTGCAAAATCTCCATTCCCACCCTACTCCTGGGGGAAGGATACTGCAAAATCTCCATTCCCACCCTTCTCCGGGGGAAGGATACTGCAAAATCTCCATTCCCACCCCACTCCTGGGGGAAGGATACTGCAAAATCTCCATTCCCACCCCACTCCTGGGGGAAGGATACTGCAAAATCTCCATTCCTACCCTACTCCTGGGGGAAGGATACTGCAAAATCTCCATTCCCACCCTACTCCTGGGGAAGGATACTGCAAAATCTCCATTCCCACCCTTCTCCGGGGAAGGATACTGCAAAATCTCCATTCCCACCCCACTCCTGGGGGAAGGATACTGCAAAATCTCCATTCCCACCCCACTCCTGGGGAAGGATATTGCAAAATCTCCATTCCCTCCCCAGTCTGGGGCCAGCCAGAGGTGGTATTTGCCGGTTCTCTGAACTACTCAAAATTTCCACTACCGGTTCTCCAGAACCTGCTGGATTTCACCCCTGCCTTTCCCCAATCTCAATTAAATAATCTCTTTATATCCCACCATATTTTTTTAATCTGTTTGCCGTGGATGAAGGCAGGACAAGAAGCAACGGATGGAAACTCATCAAGGAGAGAAGCAACCTTGAACTAAGGAGGACTTTCCTGACAGTGAGAACAATTAACCAGTGGAACAACTTGCCACCAGGAGTTGTGGATGCTCCAACACTGGAGGTTTTTAAGAAGACATTGGACAGCCATTAGGGTTTCCTGCCTGAGCAGGGGGTTGGACTAGAAGACCTCCAAGGTCCCCTGCTATTCCTCTTTGTGTTTCAAATAACTTTTAAACACATTATATAGGTGGTGTTTTACTTACAGCAGTTCGTTTCGTGAACATTCAAAGTTATAACGGCCCTGAAACAAGTGACTTAGGACCGTTATTCACACTTACGACCGTTGTGGCATTTCCCCCATGGTCACGTGATTAAAAATTCAGACACTTGTCGACTGACTTGCATTTATGACGGTGCAGCGTCCCAGGTGTGTGTGTGTGTGTCATGTGATCCTCATTGGCGGCCTTCCAACAAGCAAAATCACCAGGGAAGCCAGATTCACTTCACAAACGGGTTATTAACGTAACCGCCGCAGGGATTCGCTTAACAACGGCGGCAAGAGAGGTCGTCAAACGAGGCAAAATCCACTTAGCAAATTTCTCACTCAGCAACAATAAATTTGGGGCTCAACTGCGGTCGTAAGTTGAGGATTCCCTGCATTCTAGTCAGTGCAGGGATCAAAACCAGTTTGGCTAGCTCAAAACCTCAATTCATTTTGATTAACAGCCAAAAATAAAAATTATTATGCTGGGCAGGACAGCAAAAATAGGGAGGAGCATGTTGAGATTAACAGTCAAAATGGAATGGATAAGTTGAATTTAACAACAGAAATAAAGACGATAATGATGAGTTCAACAGTAAAATATAATGATTATGTTGGAATTAACAGCCAAAAAATAAAAAAATGATTATGTTGGGAACAGTAAAAATGAAATGATTGTATCGGGATTAATAGTAAAGTAATGACGATGATTATATTGGGAGTAATAGTTAAAATATTTTTTAAATGTTTACAATAATTGTAATGATCTATATTGTTAAAATATATCCATCTAAGCAAAAAGGAATGATATTAGGTTAGCATCGAAGATTCAAGTAATGGGTTTTTTGGGATAATGGCCTAGTTAAATTGATAGAATTTAGAGAAATAACTGAGTAAAATATTTATTTATTTATTATTTATTAATTAAATTTGTATACCGCCCTACTCCCGAAGGACTCAGGGCGGTGAACAGCCATAAAATAAAACATATAGATACAAAATTTAAAACAGAGATAAAACAAATTAAATAAATTTGGCTGAACCATTTTAAAAACCCCAATAATTTATTAAGTTGTGTTGATTGGAAATTAGGATTTGTTAGTGATTTGTACTAATTCGTGACCGGATGGATCAATGCTTCGTTTTGGAAAAGATGTGTTTTTTTATGTTTGGGTTTTAAAAAAATAAAAAAAAACTTTTTTCAAAAAAACAAACAAATTCATTTTGTTGTTGTCATTGTTTTCAATACTTACGAGCTCCTTTGGTCTCATGTTGAAAAGGACCCTCTCTGCATTTTCGCTATCGTGCCTGCTTTCCATGATAGCCAGCAAAAGTTTCGAGGCGTTATTCTGAAAAGCATCGAAGCCAATTAAGATGTAGTTAAAATCTATTTCATGGACCGATGAACCGAAGCTGCAGGCACAGGTTTCCTTACGAGAACAGGGGCCTTTTAAAGGCCTTGAATCTTTTTATGGATTTTTGTTTTGTTTTATGGGTGACATCGTGGCCTGATCACTCTAATCACAGAACTAATTAAAAAATAAATACATATTTATAAGTGCCGGATGTTGGTAAAGGGAGCCTTTTTATGCAGCTGCTTTCATACCGTGCATTGACTTAATCACTGTGGCATTTGCAACCACTGCAAAAAAACAAAAAGTTATAAAATTGGGTTCGGTCGTGTGACCAACCCATTTTTTACGACCATTGCAACTTAAGACCCTTATGGACAGGCTCCATTACAGTTGTAATTTGAGGACTGCCTGTGAGGACAACCAACCTAGAACTAAGGAGAAACTTCCTGACAGTGAGAAGAATTAATCAGTGGAACGCCTTGCCACCAGAAGTTGTGGGTGATCCATCACAGGAGGTTTTCAAGAAGAGATTGGACAACCCGTTTATCCAAAATGGAATACGGTCTCCAGTTTGAGCAGGGGGTTGGACTAGAAGACCTCCAAGGTCCCTTCCAACTTTGCTATTCAGATGCCTGCATGCTTCGGAGATGGGACATGTCCAGTTGCTATGACTCAATTTCCAGACAACTCTACCTGGATGACTGAGAAATTTTTCATCAACAATCTTCACTGGACGTTCACCCGTTCGCTGATTTGGGATAACTCACAGTTGAATCTGTGAGTGATGCTAAAAAGCACTATGGTCCCTGAGAATATTCACAATACTGGTTAGTCAAAAGCGGAATTCTTGTTGAGCCTGGAATTCTGTATGGAATGAAATATGTATGGAATATATGGGATCCTTGGTGAAATCTGAGCTTGGTTGTCTTCCTGCAGATGCTTCATTACCCAAATTAGGTAACATCATCAATGCTGGAAGAGAGCGGGTTTCAGGGGAGGAGGAGGAGGAGGAGGAGGAGGAGGAGGAGGAGGAGGAGAAGAAGAAGAAGAAGAAGAAGAAGAAGAAGAAGAAGAAGAAGAAGAAGAAGAAGAAGAAGAAGAAGAAGAAGAAGAAGAAGAAGGCGGAGGAGGAGGAGGAGAATGAGGAGGAGGAGGAGGAGGAGGAGGAGGAGGAGAAGGAGAAGGAGAAGGAGGAGGAGGAGGAGGAAGAGAAGGAAAAGAAGAAGAAGAGGAGGAGGAGGAGGAGGAGGAGAAGGGGAGAACTGTGGGGCCCTTGGTGCTCTCTGAGCTTGGTAGTTTTCTTGAAGACGTTTCATTACCCAACTGAGTAACATCATCAGTGCTAGAAGGAAGTGGGGTTTGTGGAGAGGAGGAGAAGGAGGTGGAGGAGGAAGAGGAGTGTGGGGTCCTTGGTGCTCTCTGAGCTTGGTGGTTTTCTTGCAGACATTTCATTACCCAACTAGGTAACATCATCAATACATCATCAGTGCATGTCAAACGTTCGCAAAAAAACCCCCACCAAGTTCAGAGAGCACCAAAGATCCCTCATTTCAACCTTGAACTACAAATATTCTTGCAGGATCCAATCTGGGTCGGTCCCCAGGACTAGGAGTTTAGTCTCCTGAACTTTCAGACTCATGGTAGAGCCCATCTTCAGGGAACGTCTCTCTACCAGAATGTATCAACTGAGAAGTTCTCCGAAGATGGGTTCCAGCATGAGTCTCAAAGCTTGGAAGACTAAACCTGGTGACTGACCCAAATTGGGATCCTACCACATTATCCTGGGACATGTATCTTTGCCTTCCTTCATTCGTAGAAATATTCCTCTTCTCCTGACCATGGATGAGATACTTCTGTCCTTCTTCCATCCATCTCTAAGAGCAACAGTGGGAAGCCAGTGAGGTTAGGACTCTGAGGACAACGTGGTAGAATTCCATACCTTCAACTGTAGCACTAGGTCCATCCGATATTTTCCAAGGGGATTGATATCATTTAGGATCAGCGCGATGATGATGTCGATGCCATTGGACTCATGGGTGGCTATGCAGGTCTACCAAAGTCAAAGAAAGAAAGACATTTCAGATGACAACACATCCCATTAAGAGATTGCATCCTTCCTCTTCCTCTCGTTCTTTGAAAGATGAATAATGTCCTAAAGGATTTTGTGCAGATCAGCAAACCCAGGAGAAGGTTCGGTTGATTTCATTTGTCATGCATGCTTTCTACCAGGGAAAACATACACAAGGATAGATAGAATACTGGTGTACTGCACCATTGTAACCATTTGTTAAGGAATTCGCAGAGTAACCCTTGAGTAGCAAGGGTGTGCACATGAAAGCAATTGAGAGTAGATACAAATAAACACAGTCAACACACAGATACACTGAATTGTGTTTACTTTCAGGAAATAGTAAGGCACAGTCCAATAAACAGTCCAGGTCATACACATATAAAGCAGGTGATAGCAAAACGACAATCCAGGGATAATCCAATAACAAAGTCTTCTTACCAGTCGTCATAGTCATTCACAATAAACAGTTCTTCTGGATTTGCAAACAGGGATATCAGAGAGCAAGAACAGCAAAGAGAAACAAACCATGTTTCTAGCTCCCTCTTAAGGAGATTGGCTACAGAGCTAACCAATCAGGACACAGTATGATGCAATACAGCCGTTTTAAAGCTATATTGAGGGTTTATATATTGCCAACCTAACAAGGTAGGTAATACTCATTTCCTAACACCATTGTACATCTTCTCCAATGGAAAAAGTACACAATGGAGGAACTGAACCAGCAACAAACCCTCATTTCCCTCAAAAGGTCATGCAAAAACCAAGTACAGTTAAGTCCAATTGCATTGAGAATTTCCGTAGTCCATGATGGACAGGTATAGGTTTTGTCAAGGAGGCAGGGACCTTAAACTCATGATATCAAGCAGAAGAGAATATTGGTGGCTCAGGGTTGAGCCATGGGGTCCTTGGTGCTTTCTGAGATTGGTTACTTTCTCGCAGACGTTTCATTACCCAACTAGGTAACATCATCAGTGCTAGAAAGGAGGAGGGTTTGCTTTCTATTTATATATTCCAGTGGTGTGTCCTTTCAGGGTTGGTGGGAGTGTTGTTTTTTTTCTTTCGGGGTCCTTGGTTAGGCTGTTCACTATTTGATTGTCTATGGAGATTTTCAGAAATCCAAGCTGCTTCATTTCTGACTGAGAACCGAAGAAGCTTCTTGGATGAGAAGTGAAACATCTTCAAGGAAAAACAAAGGGAAGCCCAGTTGCCTTTGGAAAACGCACCTTTGGGATTGCTATTTGAGTGTTTGTCTGTGTAGTTAGATGGTAGTTGGATGGTAGAGAGCAAATCTCACTCAAAAATCTAGCACTGATGACGTTGCCTAGTTGGGTAATGAAAGGACTTCAGGAAGTAACCAAGTTCAGAGAGTTCCAAAGGACCCCACAAGCCATGATATCATCCAATCCACTGGAACATATGGGGGGATAGATCTTATCCCTGAACTGAATCCAGACCCCCAACCCCTGTTCTAAAAACATATGCAGGAATTGGGTATCTAAATAAATACTAGAAGAATTATCACATTGACTACGATTTCCACAATACAGTAGTGGCCAAAATTGTGGAAACCTTTTGGGAAAAGTGTATTTTCCAAAACTAGCTAAGAACACCACTTTTTTGGGGGGAGTAGTATCATAAAATTATATATCGTTGGAAAGATAATTTAATCAAGAATGTCATGCAATAACTTTTATGAAGGATTTGCTATTAGAATAGCAGTTACGGTATAAAGAAGAAAAGTGAAACGTGTAGAAAAAAGAGACAAAAATGATCACCATAGAAAAAACAAGATATACAAAAATTATCACCACGTCAGTTAATACTTAGTTGAGTAACCTTTAGCATGAATTATGGCCTTACAACCTCTTCCCATGGAGGGAACCAAGTCTTTTGGCTCTGCAGTTGTTATCATATGAAACCAAGATTAAATGATGGCTTTTATTAACTGGGTTTTATTGCTGGGTGGCTTCTGACTAACCAGTTTCTTTAGTCGGCTCCATAGATTTTCAATTGGGTGAAGGTCTGGGCTATTCCCAGCAGTGGAATAGGATTCTCTTGAAACTCAAAAAAAAAAAAAAGTGGTGTTATTAGCCATCAAACCCCAAAAATACGCTTTTCCCAAAAGGTTTCCACAATTTTGGGCACTACTATAGAAAGGCCATGTTCTGACACAGGTAATTAATTAGGGATTTTTGACATGAAGAAAGGAAATCTGAATTCGCCTTCAGTTCAGATTCTTCCCCAGGGGATAAACCCACCTGATTTTCATGGCAGGGGCCTTGGCAGTACTCTGTCAAACTTTCAAGGGTTTGATTTACCAAAGCTACATTTTTTTCTTTGATGTACAGGCCCAGGAGTCCTAGCCCGCCGGTGGTACTTCCGCAGATACAATCCAAAAACTGAAGCGTCTCGCAAACTAGGTTGTAGTTGGTCTTGTTGTTCTGGTTTCTTAAAAAGTTCTGGAAAAAGAGGAGAAAGGACACCACTGTACAAACCGACGAAAAGTAGACATGGGTTCAAATTGGAGGTAACGCTAAGCCACGGTTGAAAAGACTTCGCTATTATTACGATTCTGAGGGGATTTATCCTACTTTTAACTCAGTTTGAACTCAACATCTTTTTGGTAACGCGGTGACATATGAAGAATGATGGTTGCAGGAACTGGGTATGTCTAGTTTGATGAAGAGAAGGACTAGGGGAGACATGATAGCAGCCTTCCAATATCTCGGGGCTGCCCCAAAGAAGAGGGAATGAACCTATTCTCCAAAGCACCTGAAGGCAGGACAAGAAGCAACGGATGGAAACGAATCAAGGAGAGAACTAAGGAGAAATTTCCTGACAGTTAGAACAATTAACAAGTGGAACAACTTGCCTCCAGAAGTTGTGAATGCTCCAATTCTGGAAGTTTTTAAGAAGATGTTGGATAACCATCTGTCTGAAGTGGTGTGGGGTTTCCTGCCTAAGCAGGAGGTTGGACTAGAAGACCTCCAAGGTCCCTTCTATTCTATTCTATTCTATTCTATTCTATTCTATTCTATTCTATTCTATTCTATTCTATTTCATATCCTATCCTATCCTATCCTATCCTATCCTAACCTATCCTATCCTATCCTAACCTATCCTATCCTATTCCATTCCATTCCATTCCATTCCATTCCATTCTATTTCATATTCTATTCTATTCTATTCTATTCTATTCCATTCCATTCTATTTCATATTCTATTCTATTCTATTCTATTCTATTCTATTCTATTCTATTCTATTCTATTCTATTCTATTCTATTTCACATCCTATCCTAGCCTATCCTATCCCATTCTATTCCATTCCATTCTATTTCATATTCTATTCTATTCTATTCTATTCCATTCCATTCTATTTCATATTCTATTCTATTCTATTCTATTCTATTCTATTCTATTCTATTCTATTCTATTCTATTCTATTCTATTCTATTCTATATCCTATCCTATCCTATCCTATCCTATCCCATTCCATTCCATTCCAGGTGTGGCCTTACCAAGGCGTTATAAAGCGGTACTAACACTTCACGTGATTTTGATTCTATGCCTCCCTCGATACAACCAAGGATTGTCTTAACTTTCACACTAAAATACACCGTAATAACAATACTGTAGCCTACCTGGAGTTCTCGATTGTGATTCTCACACAACAATTGGAGGAACCTCAAGATGGGTTGCATGATCACAATAGCGGGACTCATGATGGTTTCTTCGGACGATTTTTCGTCTGCGCATCCTGCCTCTGACCCTGGACCCATGAGGTCCGTTTCCGGATCCATCTCTCTGCGGTACACGCAGTAAGCTTTGGAGGTTGCGGTGGAGGCTTCCGCCAGTTGTCCTTTCATGCCTTCCTTGAGGTGGAGGTTGGAGTCTCTAACTGTAGACAAGCGAAAAGAAACATGATTGCAATCCGATCTGCACCCGTGAGGAGCACGATGGGGTTTTCTCTGTCCATCCTTTGAGTCCGTCCTGATTCCTGGTGATTTAGTTTAGACTAAGGCTAGATTAAATTAACAGAGTTGGAAGGGACCTTGTAGGTCATCTAGTCCAACCCCCCCCAAACCCAAGTAGGAGAACCAACACCATTTCTGACAAGTGGCAGTCCAAGCTTTTCTTGAAAGTCTCAAGTGATGAAGCTCCCACAACTTCCAAAGGCAACTTCTGTTCCATCGACTGATTGTTCCCACTGTCAAAAAATTTCTCCTTATTTCCAGGTTGAATCTCTCCTTGTTCACCATCCATTATTCCTTGTCTGGACTTCAGGTGCTTTGGAAAATAGCTTGACCCCCTTCCTCCTCTCTGTGGCAGCCCCTCAAATATTGGACGACTGCTATCATGTCTCCCCTGGTCCTTCTCTTCACTACACTAGCCAGGCCCAGTTCCTGCAACCGTTCATTGTATGTTTTAGCCACCAGTCCCTTAATAGAATAGAATAAAAGAGTTGAGAGGGACCTTGGAGGTCTTCTAGTCCAACCCCCTGCTTAGGCACGAGATCCTATAACCCTACAATCCTCTTGGTTGCTCTTCTCTGAGCTCTTTCTAGAGTCTCAACATCTTTTTTATACTGTGTGGTGACCAAAACTGGATGTAGTACTCTAGGTGTGGTCTTACTAAGGCTTTACAGAGTGGTATGAGTACCTCACGTGATCTTGATCGTATCCCTCTGTTAATGCAATTTAGGATTGCGTTGGCTTTTTTGGCTGCCGCCACACACGGCTAGCTCATATCCGGGGTTGCATGCCAGCAACTGGACCACACAAGAGCCTTGATAGTACAGTGGTCTAAGCACCCTGTTATTAACACAGCTGCCTGCAATTACTGCTGGTTCGAATCTCGCCAGGCTCAAGGTTGACTCAGCCTTCCATCCTTTCTAAGGTAGGTGAAATGAGGACCCAGTTTGTGGGGGCAATAAGCTGACTTTGTATAAATATACCAAAGTATGAAGGCTATTGCTTAACGCACTGTAAGCCACCCTGAGTCTCCGGAGAAGGCGGCATATAAATCAAATTAAAAAAACTAATTAATTAATTAACTAGAAGCTTGAAGAGAGCTTCGTTCATAATACTAAATGCCAGCCATATAGAGGCCATTCCTGGCATGCTTCCCACCCATTTTTGCATAAACACATTGTACTGTACGTTCACATGTGCTAAATCCTAGGATAAAAATAGCTGGCCCGTGTTACCATTTTATCCCTCTCGTATGTGTCCTGAGGGGCCAAATCCGTCAGGTCATGTTTGACTACAGGTGATCCTGAGGACACAGATAAACCGCTTCAACGACCCTCTAAAAGGATGCAAATGACCAGTTCTGTCTGCAAGGAATATAAATCTTTCATTTCTCCACCGTCCAGCCAGAGCTGAAGAAGCTTCTTGGATGAGAAGTGAAACGTCTTCAAAAGAAAAAAACCAGAAAGTCCAGTTGCCTCCTGAAAAAGCACCTTTGGGGCCTACGAATGTGAGCTTCATATACTGTAGGAGAAGGACAGGCAGAGACTGAGGGCGGTGTCAAGAGAGCAATCAGCCTAGAGTCCTTACGTTTCCAACGTAAGGTCTAAATTTAACCCCTCTTGAATTCCATTGACTCTTAAGGTAAAAGTAAAGGTTCACCTTGCACATGTGTGCTAGTCGTTCCTGACTCTAGGGGGTGGTGCTCATCTCCGTTTTAAAGCCGAAGAGCCAGCGCTGTCCGAAGACGTCTCTGTGGTCATGCGGCCGGCATGACTCAACGCCAAAGGTGCACGGAACGCTGTTCCCTTCCCACCAAAGGTGGTCCCTGTTTTTCTACTTGCATTTTTTACGTGCTTTCAAACTGCTAGGTTGGCAGAAGCTGGGACAAGTCACGGGAGCTCACCCCGTTACGCGGCACTAGGGATTCAAACCGCTGAACTGCTGACCTTTCAATCGACAAGCTCAGCATCTTAGCCACTGAGCCACCACGTCCCATCATTGACTTCTATCTAGCCACAATTCAATGCTGACCATTAGCTGACCTGTGTATAAGCCTGAGCATTAAATCATCTTAACTGGAACTTTACATTTGGTGCCGATTCTTCGCGCCTCACAAATACTTGCTTTACGCGGACCGAAAACAATTGTTGGTGGCGCAATCTCTGGGTCCATCAATCCTGGGAGAAGTAAGTGCTGCTTGAGGTTATGACAGATAAATGCGACTTTCATGCTTCAATAAACCTTTTGAGATCAAATCAAATTCACTGCTCAACCCCGGTGGCTGACCGCGGCCGTATTACATTCATCATGGCTCCAACAACTTGAGCTGTTAAAAAAATTGGCTTCCCGCGGAGAGCACTTATTCCAGGAAAGTTCCGTAACAATTCTTATTTATTATTTACTACCTGGACACCCGTGCTTCACTACAAAACTATGTGATCGGGTGTGATAAATTGACACTTAAAGGCTGAAACTTAATGTAGAAGGTGTAACTCCGTAGCATCAGAGCGTGTTAATATAAGGCAACTGTCAGTTGGAACAGAAGGGGAGGGGGAGTAGAATGTCCCAGCCCGCAGGCCGAATGAGTCACGCACCGGCCACGCCCATGCCTGGTTTAGCGAAGGGGTAGCATTAGAGCATGTTAATATACAGTAACTGGCAGTTGGAACAGAGTTCTTTTCAGGTGGGGAGGGGGAGTAGAATGTCTAACTCCTTAGCATCAGAGATTGTGGGTATAATAGTACTGTATATATTAAATACTAATGATTTGATGGTCATTTGGAAAAATCCTTTCTTAGCGAGCACCTAGAAGCCAGAAGGAACATACGTGGCAAATTTCAAGTTTGTAGGCTTTACCGTTCTGGAAATTTTGTGATGAGTGAGTGGTATTTGACTTTTATATAGATAATAATAACAACAAATTATAATAAATAAATGGAGGTAGTCCTTGACTTACAGCAGTTCATTTGGTGACTCTTCAAAGTTACAACGGCAATGAAAAATATGACGTGATCTTTTTTCACACTTACGTCCGTGGTCGCATTTATTTATTTATTTATTTATTGGTTCGATTTATATGCCGCCCTTCTCCAGAGACTCAGGGCAGCTTACAATGCGTTAAGCAATAGCCTTCATACTTTTGTATATACCTGCTTAGTAGGGCTTTCGCCCCCCCCCCAAGCGGTGTTCTTTTTTATACAAAGTCAGCTTATTGCCCCCACAATCCGGGTCCTCATTTTACCTACCTCGGAAGGATGGAAGGCTGAGTCAACCTTGAGCCTGGTGAGATTTGAACTTGCAGTAATTGCAGGCAGCTGGTGCTAGTTAACAGCGCTTTAGTCTGCTGCTCCACCAGGCTCCTAATGATCCATGATCAAAATTAGGACACTTGGCAACTGAACTCATATTTATGACCGTCGCAGCATCCCGGGGTCACATTTTGCGACCTTCTGGCAAGCAAAATCAATGGGGAAGCCAGATTCACTTAACAACCCGGTGACTAACTTAACATCTGCATTGATTCACTTAACAACGGTGGCAAGGAAAGTCATAAAATGGGGCAAAACTCACTTAAGAAATGTTTCGCTTAGCAACATAAATTTTGGGCTTGATTGTGGTTGTAAGTCGAGGGCTACTTGCAAATAAATTAATCAACTCGTAATCAAAATGTTAAATGAATAAATTGAATTGTTTCTGTTTTTAATTACCGATCGTGTTTTGTTTTGTTCTGATTTATTTTAACCATCAGCTGCTTAGAGTCATGTATACGAAAAGGGCTGCCATATACATTTATGGAATAAATGAACAAACGAATGAATGAATGAAGAAATGAATGAACAAATGAATGAATGAATGAACAAATGAATGAACATATAAACAAATGAACAAACAAATGAACGAATGAATGAATGAATGAACAAATAAATGAACAAATGTATGAACGAATGAACAAATGAATGAACAAATGAACGAACAAATGAACGAACAAATGAACGAATGAACAAATGAACTAACGAATGAACGAATGAACGAATGAACGAATGAAGAAACAAATGAATTCTATAACAGTAGAATTGTACTTCGATGTATGTCATTTAACATAGGCGATCTTGAAATCCTAAGAAGCCCAATAGTGATTTAGGAAAACCTTTATTAATTAGGTTTTTATGCTCAGGTAGTATATACATCAATGCGGGCAAATGCAGCCTAAGACAAAAAATATTCCCCATTTTTTCCCCCGGTTACCTCTCTTTTTTGGAGCTGAAACTGTCACATCTGTTTCCTCGTCCTTCTTTTTGCTGCTCAGATCAATCGTGTTCACCGACACCGTGGACCGAATTTCCAGCTGGGCCATTTTCATCCGATCGTACAAAACTTTGAAAAACTTTTCGGATTTTTTCTGCTCGTTTAATTGTTGATAAAAGGAATACTAAAGAGAAAAAAAAAAATACATCAGATAACAAAGTATGAAGCTATCTCTAAAGGGGTCACTAAAGACAATGGATTATTAAATTAAATTAAATTAAATTAAATTAAATTAAATTAAATTAAATTAAATTAAATTAAATTAAATTAAATTGCTAATTCATAATTTGTACTCATACATAACCCGCGTTTGATCAGATAACCTGTCCTTTATTTTTCATAACTCCCCCTGTTTTCTTCCCAGTTTAAATCCTAATCACTCAAGTATCAATTTTTGTGAAGTAGTTCAGATGAGGAAGCACCCCTAAAAGCGCTAACTTTATTGTGAGGTCAGATTAACGGAATGAACAGGCAGTCCTCAATTTTCAACCACAATCGAGCCCAAAATTTAGGTTGCTAAGCGAGGCAGTTGTTGAGTGAGTTTCGCTTCATGTTACGACCTTTCTTGGCACAGTTGTTAAGTGAGCCACTCTAGAACCGGTAGTAAAACCGGTGGGAGGCTCCGCCCACTGACCAGAACCCACCCCTGGTGACACCCCCTGGGAATGCTGCAACCGTCATAAGTACATGCCAGTTGCCGAGCGTTCAAATTTTGATGACGTGACCATAAGGATGGCTGCAACGGTCGTAAGTGGGAAAAATGGTCATAAATCACTTTTTTCAGTTCAGGCGTCGTAACTTAGAATGGTCACAAAATGAATCGTTGTAAATCAAGAACTCCCTGTACCTGGGAACTTTTCTCTATCGAAAACCATATTCCACAAATAACACACCCCATATTTACAGAAGCCGGCCAGTTCCCTGTGGCTCATATAAAAAATATCATTACGATACCTGCTATATTTTTAGCTATTTTCCTATTCATTCTCAACCCCGTCCTGTTTCCTTCCTTGCCTTAGGAAATTTAAGGGTTAGAATTGGCTGGAAGGTTTTAAGGTACCAAAATGCACCTGGATTTGGGTGTTTCCTCCTTCGAGCAACGCAATGCCGAGCAAGATGGCTTCCGAGAATATCCGGTCATTCTTGGTACTAACGATGACATCGGTGACCAGTTCCGAAGCTCCTTCTTTATCCAAGAGACACTGAATGTCATGCATGGATGCCGCGGACTTGTCCACATCTTGTCCGGAGAAGGTCGCTGAAATTAAGGGGTTTAATTGACAAGTTAATTGGGATATTAAGATCTTTTTGAGAAAACAAAGAAGACTTATTCTTAAATTTTCAGTTAAGGGTTATCTCATTTTCTCTCCTTTTATCTCTTATCTTGTAATGTCTTGTCTTGTTATCCCATCCCATCTCCATCTCCATCTCCATCTCCATCTCCATCTCCATCTCCATCTCCATCTCCATCTCCATCTCCATCTCCTGGTGATTGGCCCAAAGTCACCCAGCTGGCTTTCATGGCTAAGGTGGGACTAGAACTCACCATCTCCTGGTGATTGGCCCAAAGTCGCCCAGCTGGCTTTCATGGCTAAGGCGGGACTAGAACTCACCGTCTCCTGGTGATTGGCCCAAAGTCGCCCAGCTGGCTTCCATGGCTAAGGTGGGACTAGAACTCACCATCTCCTGGTGATTGGCCCAAAGTCACCCAGCTGGCTTTCATGGCTAAAGTGAGACTAGAACTCACCATCTCCTGGTGATTGGCCCAAAGATACCCAGCTGGCTTTCATGCCTAAAGTGGGACTAGAACTCACCCTCTCCTGGTGATTGGCCCAAAGTTACCCAGCTGGCTTTCATGGCTAAGGCGGAGCTAGAACTCACTGTCTCCTGGTGATTGGCCCAAAGTTACCCAGCTGGCTTTCATGCCTAAGGCGGGACTAGAACTCACCATCTCCTGGTGATTGGCCCAAAGTCGCCCAGCTGGCTTTCATGGCTAAGGCGGGACTAGAACTCACAGTCTCCTGGTGATTGGCCCAAAGATACCCAGCTGGCTTTCATGCCTAAAGTGGGACTAGAACTCACAGTCTCCTGGTGATTGGCCCAAAGTCACCCAGCTGGCTTTCATGGCTAAAATGAGATTAGAACTCACTGTCTCCTGGTGATTGGCCCAAAGATACCCAGCTGGCTTTCATGGCTAAGGTGGGACTAGAACTCACAGTCTCCTGGTGATTGGCCCAAAGTCGCCCAGCTGGCTTTCATGGCTAAGGCGGAACTAGAACTCACCATCTCCTGGTGATTGGCCCAAAGTCGCCCAGCTGGCTTTCATGGCTAAGGCGGGACTAGAACTCACAGTTCCCTGCTTTCTAGCCTGATGCCTTAACCACTAGACCAAACTTCAGTAACTCCCTATTCCCATGAATGTATTCCCATGAACTACACTAGGGAAAAACCCCAAAGAGCTGTTTCTCAGCCAGATGTTTTAAACCCTGGTTACCTCCACTCTGCAGGGGTTTGCCGTAGCTGCCAGACAGATGACCGTTGATGTTCCCTCCGTAGTCTCCTTTGAAATAGCGGTTGAGGAGTATTTTCCGCAGGTTGCTGCCCTTTAGTAAGATCAAAACAGAGAGTAAGAATTAAAGAGGGTGGTAAATGTATTCCTGGGTATTTTATTTTCAAGTCTGCAATGCATCACAAAACACAACTCATTGATTGTAACTCTAAAAGAAACTACATTATGTTCTGTTCTATTCTATTCTATTCTATTCTATTCTATTCTATTCTATTCTATTCTATTCTATTCTATTCTATTCTATTCTATTCCATTCCATTCCATTCCATTCCATTCCATTCTTCCACTTTATTCTACTCTAACTCTACTCTACCTTTACCTCTACTCTAACTCTACTCTATTCTACCTCTACTCTTACTCTTACTCTTACTCTTTCTCTACCTCTACCTCTACCTCTACCTCTACCTCTACTCTACTCTACTATTCTATTCTATTCTTCCACTTTATTCTACTCTACTCTACTCTACTCTAACTCTACTCTACTCTACCTTTACCTCTACTCTACCTCTACTCTATTCTACCTCTACTCTTACTCTTACTCTTACTCTTTCTCTACCTCTACTCTACTCTACTCTACTCTACTATTGTATTCTATTCTTCCACTCTATTCTACTCTACTCTACTCTACTCTACCTCTACTCTACCTCTACCTCTACTCTACCTCTATCTCTACCTCTACCTCTACCTCTACCTCTACCTCTACTCTACCTCTACCTCTACCTCTACCTCTACCTCTACCCTACTCTACTCTACTCTATTCTACTCTATTATTCTATTCTTTCTAGATTTATGTGGCCTTGCCCCATAGGTGTAGCATAATCCCGAAAAGTTTGCGTAGGATCTAAAGGAGCTGCAAACAGGAGTGCAGCACAGTCCTAATAACGGACAATGAGAAATGTGTTCAGGCACACTTAAAATAAAATTTTTAAAGAGGTCTTGCGTCTTCGGAAAATGGCAATTACAACTGAAGAGAATTCCACCTGTAAACCCCAAATGGCATTTCGTTGGAGTAAAAACACAGGTTACATTGAATAAAAACTTTACAGCTTGCCCTTCCAAATATGACGCAGGGCACAATTGTGTTGGCCAGGTGTCAACATCCATATAACTATGGCAAGAGCCTTGGTGGCGCAGCAGACTAAAGTGCTGTTAAGTAGCACCAGCTGCCTGCAATTACTGCGAGTTCAAATCTCACCAGGCTCAAGGTTGACTCAGCCTTCCATCCTTTCTAAGGTAGGTGAAATGAGGACCCAGTTTGTGGGGGCAATAAACTGACTTTGTATAAAATATACAAAAGGATGAAGGCTATTGCTTAACGCATTGTAAGCCGCCCTGAGCCTCCGGAGAAGGGCGGCATATAAATCAAATTTAAAAAAAAATTTTTTTTAAAAAGCGTTTGAATTTGGATCATGTGACCACGAGGGTGCTGCAATGGTCATAAGTGTGGAAAACGGTCATTAAGTTGTTTTTTTTCAGTGCCGTTGTAACTTTGAAGGGTCACTAAATGGAACTGCCGTACGTCGAGGGCTAGCTGTACTTTTACATCCCCGTTTTAAGTGCAAAAAACGGTCGGTGTACAAGGCGGTTTGCTAAACAAGGACTTTTTGTATTCCACCTAACATTTCAAGGTTAAAATGAGCCAAGCTGAGAACCAGAAACGGATCCATCGTGGCTAAACTTCTGATTGAATGTTGACAGTTCCCTTCTAGGAATTCAAGAGTGCCTTGAATTGAAACTCTATGGCAGAGGTCTTCAAACTTGGCAGCTTTAAGACTTGTGGACTTCAATTCCCAGAATTCTCCAGCCAGCATGTTTTATACCTGTTTTATATCTATATGTTTTGGGAAGGAAGAAGAAGAGGAAAGAGGGAAAGGAGGGAGGGATGGAGGGAGGGAGGGAGGAAGGAAGGAAGGAAGGAAGGAAGGAAGGAAGGAAGGAAGGAAGGAAGGAAAGGAAAGGAAAGAAAAGGAAAGGAAAGGAAAGGAAAGGAAAGGAGGCAGGGAAGGAAGGAAGGAAGGAAGGAAGGAAGAAGGAAGGAAGGAAGGAAGGAAGGAAAGAAAGAAAGAAAGAAAGAAAGAAAGGAGACAGGGGAGGGAGGGAGGGAGGGATGAAGGAAGAAAGGAAGGAAGGAATGAAAGGAAAGGAAAGGAGGCAGGGAAGGAAGGAAGGAAGAAGGAAAGAAAGAAAAGAAAAGAAAGAAAGGAGACAGGGAAGGGAGGGAGGCAGAGAGGGATGAAGGAAGAAAAGAAGGAAGGAAGGAAGGAAGGAAGGAAGGAAGGAAGGAAGGAAGGAAGGAAGGAAGGAAAGGAGGCAGGGAAGGAAGGAAGGAAGGAAGGAAGGAAAGGAAGGAAGGAAGAAAGGAAGGAAGGAAGGAATGAAAGGAAAGGAAAGGAAAGGAGGCAGGGAAGGAAGGAAGGAAGGAAGAAGGAAGGAAGGAAGGAAGGAAGGAAGGAAAGAAAGAAAGAAAGAAAGAAAGAAAGAAAGAAAGAAAGGAAACAGGGAAGGGAGGGAGGGATGAAGGAAGGAAGGAATGAAAGGAAAGGAAAGGAGGCAGGGAAGGAAGGAAGGAGGAAGGAAGGAAAGAAAGAAAGAAAGGAGGAAAGAAAGGAGACAGGGAAGGGAGGGAGGGAGGGATGAAGGAAGAAAGAAAGGAAGGAAGGAATGAAAGGAAAGGAGGCAGGGAAAGAAGAGGAAGGAAAGAAGGAAGGAAGGAAGGAAGGTAAAACATGCTGGCTGGAGAATTCTGGGAGTTAAAGTCCACAGGTCTTAAAGTTGCCAAGTTTGAAGACCTCTGCAGTCTACGGACATCCTCACAACCTACTTAAAAGTCAGGGTGATACGTAAACCGGTTAACAAGGCTGCTATTCGCATTCGGGAGCATGAGGTTCTTCCCATCCGGCGTTCCTCCTAAAACCGGATTTTATAGCTTTTAAAAGTATACTAATCTGGAACGTAAACAGCTCTCAGCTGACTCCCAATCCTTATGCGATGGCAATTCTGCACATAGTAGGCTCTGAAGCAGCAGCACAATGGCCTTATTGTAAACCGTTAGTAAGACTCCTTTGTCGAACAGTAGCGACGCGGAGATAAGAACAAAGCTCCGAGAGAACAACAGGAATTTGTAAATGTTAAACAAAGCTCTGGCTGGTTTTGTTGTGGGCTTTTCTTCTGGAGGAGCACAACTAACGGCGGGATTGTTTCTAGTCGGTGAATTAAAATTCAGGAAACAGCTGCCGGTTGCAAGAAAGCTGCACGAGTCGTCTGAATTGATCTGAAAATACATGTGATGCACGTGTGCATGGGGAAAAAAAACACGCACCCACCCACAAACCCCACCTGTATTCCCAGGTGTTGGTCTCAAGGTCTGCCCCATATCCCTTGCCACTCCTAGGACAGCAACGCACCAGCCCTCTGAGCGTGCCTTGAAGGACAAGGGCCTCCCTCAAGTCAAGGGAAGCAGGTGGGTAGCCGGAGAGAAGGCTGCGTGAAGGCTACGTGCCTTGCAGGGCGCCCCAGGCAGAAGAGAATTCGTTCAGCCTTGGTGTGGAGGGGGAGCAGTGAAGGAGGGAGGGAGGAGAGATAGAAAGAAAAAAACAAAGAGAAAGAAAGGGAAGGGAAGGGAAGGACAGGACAGGACAGGACAGGAAAGGAAATAGTGAAGGAAGGAGGGAGGGAAGAAGGACAGAAAGAAAAAACAGAGAAAGAAAGGAAAGGAAGGAAGGATAGAAAGAAAAAACAAAAAGAAAGAAAGGGAAGGGAAGGGAAGGACAGGACAGGAATGGAAAGGAAAGGAAAGGAAAGGAAAGGAAAGGAAAGGAAAGGAAAGGAAAGGAAAGGAAAGGAAAGGAAAGGAAAGGAAAGGAAATAGTGAAGGAAGGAGGGAGGGAAGAAGGACAGAAAGAAAAAGCAGAGAAAGAAAGGAAAGGAAGGAAGGAAAGAAAGAGGGAGAGAGGGAGGGAGGAAGGGAGGGGGAGAGAGAGAAGTAGAACATTCATCAAGAAAGAAGGAAGGAAGGAAAGAAAGAAAGAGGACGGGATAGAAGAAACTAGGGAGGGAGGGAAGGAAGAAAAAAGAAAAAAGAAAGAGAGAAAGAGAAAGAAGGAGAGAAGGAAGGAAAGAAAAAGGAAGAAAGGGAGCAAGAGAGTAGAACATTCATCAAGAAAGAAAAAAGGAGGGAGGAAGGGAGGGAGGGAAGGAAGAAAAGATAAAAGAAAGAGAAAGAGAAAGAAGGAAGGAAAGAAGGAAAGAAAGAAAAAGAAAGAAAGAAAAAAGAAGGAAGGAAGGAAAGAAGGAGGGAGGGAGAAAAGAAAAAGAAAGAGAAGGAAGGAAGGAAGGAAAGGAAGAAAAAGAAAGAAAGGAGAGAGGGAAAGAAAGAAAGAAGGAAGGAAGGAAAAGAGAAAGGGAGAGAGAGAGAAAGAAACAAGGAAGGAAGGAAAGAAAGAAAGAAAAAGAAAGAAAGGGAGACAGAGAAAGAAAGAAAGAAGGAAGGAAGGAAAGAAAGAAAAAGAAAGAAAGAAAGGAGAGAGAAAAAAAAGAAGGAAGGAAAGAAAGAAAGAAAGAAGGAAGATAAACAAGGGGAAGCGAAGGGGCCGTTTCTGTCTTTGTGTGGCCAGTTGCATAACAGCTTTCAATTTCCACCTTCCCGGGGGGGGGTGTCACCGTGATGTACGTATCAGCCATGCCAAACATCCCCACCCCCCTTTCTCTACCCTGCCTGGAATGACAACCGCCAATTTCCCAGCTGGTGCGTGACGACCACCACCGCTGCCACCGCTAACCGTCCCCTTGGCTCTCCGCCCCCCCCCCCCCCGCTTGGGGCAGCTTAACTCATGCAGCCTCACGGCTCATTCAGAAAAGGCCCCTCATTGAATTTCAGGTCCAGGCGCTCAGCCGGGCCACGTGACGCGGCTCCTCCGCAGAAGCCCGTGCCAGACGCTTGCCAGAGAGTTACACAACCACAAGCTGTTGCCGGCTGCAAGCACTGCAGTCCCCGACACCCTCCGGCGAGCCATCGCACCCCGCCGCCTCCATCTGCACCCACACATGGACGGCCGCATGTCGTGGGGGGCACAACGCGCCACCGGAGACTCCGATCCCATCAAGGTTGCAAGGAGCGAGGATGAGCGGTCTAAAAAACTCATTCGACCACCCCAGGGGGGAAAAAACCCCAGAAATATTCGATCAAGTTAAACACGTTGATTAAGTTAAACGCTATAAAAACCCGAACGAGCCACAGGGTCTCAAAGAATTGGAGCTCCCTTCTATCTCAAATCAAACTTTTGGGATTGATGCTTCATTGCCATTCCAGGGCAGGTAGTCCTCGACTTACAACGGTTTATTTAGTGGCCATTGGCACTGAACGGTCACTAAACGAAGGATTGTACCGCATCCCCGCAAAGCGGTTGAGAGATGCGATTTTTGCAAGAACCGGGAGATTCAACCCGTTCTACTTTCTTTTCAGCCCAAACTTTTGCAAATACAATTAAGCTTTTAAATATTTATTTATTTATTTATTTATTAAATTTATATACCGCCCTATTCCTAAGGGACTCAGGGCGGTGAACAGCGAACGATAAAAATACATGTAATACAAATATAACTGGGCCTGGCTGGTCTAGTGAAGAGAAGGACCAGGGGAGACAGGAGAGCAGTCTTCCAATATTTGAGGGGCTGCCCCAGAGAGGAGGAAGGGGGTCAAGCTATTTCCCAAACTACCTGAAGGCCAGACAAGGAATAATGGATGGAAACTGAACAAGGAGAGATTCAACCTGGAAATAAGGAGAATTTTTATGACGGGAAACAATCAACCGATGGAACAGAAGTTGCCTTCAGAAGTTGTGGGAGCTTCATCACTGGAGGCTTTCAAGAACAGACTGGACTGCCATCTGTCAGAAATGGTGTAGGGCTCCTGCTTGGGCGTGGGGGATGGACTAGATGACCTACAAGGTCCCTTCCAACTCTGTTAATCCGTTAATTTAATAATCCATCTTTAATGGCAGACTGATTTTAAATAAATTTGCTTTCTGGGCCACTCATATACTATATATACATATATACACCCAACCAAATTTGGAAGGAAAAGAAAAAAAAGCGTTCGTTCCCTTGCAGAATTGCAGTAGATTTTATTATAGTATACTGTATTAATGTATTTGATTCTTTTTATTAGTTTTATGGTTTTAAATGTGGTTTTATATTCTGTAAGCCGCCTTGAGTCACCATGGGTGAATAGGCGGCAATATAAATTCAATCAATCAATCAATCAATCAATCAAATAAATATATCCCTGTTGGCTCCAAATTTCCTTTTTTTATATACCGATGAGTGAAAAGGCTCCAGGGTTTATGTTCAACATGTCAACTTCTCAAAGCTGAAGACCAGAATACCTGCAGATATACGGAATGGCAGATCGGGAAGATCTGAAGAAGATTGTGCCCAAGGACCGATTCAGATAAGAGCTCGCAAAGCCTGCAGCTATAAAACAGAAAGAGAAAGAATCTCTGAAGAGACCTTCCTAATTTCTTGAGCTGTATAGGAGGGGGGTGGGTGGGAGAATTGTGTTTTGAGGTTTACAAGGTTGATGTCGGCCTAACAGGGTAAACCAGGCTGAAAGCATAACAAGATGGGCATGTCTACTTTAATGAAAAGAAGGACCAGGGGTGACATGATAGCAGTGTTGCAATATCTCAGGGGCTGCCCCAAAGAAGAGGGAGTCAAGCTATTCTCCAAAGCACCTGAGGGCAGGACAAGAAGCAATGGATGGAAACTAATGAGCCTTGGTAGTACAGTGGTCTAAAGCACCCTGTTATTAACACAGCTGCCTGCAATTACTGCAGGTTCGAATCTTACCAGGCTCAAGGTCGACTCAGCCTTCCATCCTTTCTAAGGTAGGTTAAATGAGGACCCGGTTTGTGGGGGCAATAAGCTGACTTTGTATAAATATACAAAAGGATGAAGGCTATTGCTTAGCGCATTGTAAGCCGCCCTGAGTCTCCGGAGAACGGCGGCATATAAATCAAATTAAAAAAAAAAAAAATCAAGGAGAGAAGCAACCTAGAACTAAGGAGAAATTTCCTGAATGTTAGAACAATTAACCAGTGGAACAACTTGCCTCCGGAAGTTGTGAATGCTCCATCACTGGAGGTTTTGAAGAAGAGATTGGACAGCCATTTGTCTGAAATGGGATAGATAGGGTTTCTATTTTGGGTTTCCTGTTTGAGCGAGGGGTTGGACTAGAAGACCTCCAAGGTCCCTTCCAACTCACTAATTCTGTTAAGATGAGTCAATTCCATTTTACTGAAAAGCTAGAGTGACAGTATCTTGCAATCCTGCTTTGGGATTGTTAGGGAAGGGAGGAAGGAAATAAATGGAAATTCTTCCTTATTATCATTTCCCCCCCCCCACACACACGATAGCTGATACAGCTTCAGAATCACAGATCTGTGGGTCTCCAGACACAAAGAAGACGGGGATCAACTTATTCTCCAAAGCACCAGAAGGCAAGGCAAGAAAGAAAGAGAGAATGGATGGAAACTGATCAAGGAGAGAAGCAACCTGGAATTAAGGAGAAACTTCCTAACAGTGAGGACAATTCACCTGTGGAACAGCTGGCCACCAGAAGTTGTGGGTGCTCCAACAATGGAGGTTTTGAAGAAGAGACTGGGCAGCCACCTGTCTGAAATGGTATAGGCCAGGGCTTCCTGCCTGAACAGGGGGGTTGGACTAGAAGACCTCCAAATCCCTTCCAGCTAGATTCTGATTGATTGACTGAAAGATTTTGCAATCAAGTCCTAACCAGCCTCAACTCAACTCTGTTCGCTGTAGATCCGACTCAGCCGGTCAAGTGCTGCCATCTGGCGAGGCAACGGGACAAAACAGCATTAGATGTTATTGTTTTGTGCAGTTTTTCCTGGTTATGAGTATCCAGGAGCTGCTGTGAAGAAGAAGAAAAAAAAAACCCCCAATATTAAACTAAGATCTTCTTGAAGTGGCTTCTCTTCTGACGTGTCTCTTCTTTCTCTTCTTCTCTAGTTCTTTGTTCTCACCTCTTTCTTCCCATCAGGATGGATCCTGCCATCCTTATTCCTTTTCCTTCAAAATTATAATCTGTCTGTGTGGGATTAGAAGTATTCTAGTCTAGTCTGGGCTTCATTGCAATACTCTGTTCTGTCCTGTTCTGTCCTGTCCTGTCCTGTCCTGTCCTATTCTATTTATTCTGTTCTGTTCTGTTCTGTTCTGTTCTGTTCTGTTCTGTTCTGTTCTGCTCTGCTCTGTTCTGCTCTGTCCTGCTCTGTTCTGTTCTGTTCCACATTTTCTATTCTGTTCTATTCTATTCAGTTCTGTTCTGTCCTGTCCTATTCCATCTATTCTATTCTATTCTACCCCACTCCACTCCACTCCACTCTATCCTATCCTATCCTTCCTACCCTACCTCACTCCATTCTCAATAAAGATTCTATTCTATTCCATATTTTCTATTCTATTCTGTTCTGTTCAGTTCAGTTCTGTTCTGTTTCTGTTCCATATTTTCTATTCTGTTCTGTTTTGTTCTATTCTGTTCTGTCCTGCCCTATTCCATCTACTCTATTCTATTCTGTTCTGTTCTGTTCTGTTCTGTTCTATTCTATTCTATTCTATTCTATTCTATTCTATTCTATTCTATTCTATTCTACTCTACTCTACTCTACTCTACTCTACTCTACTCTACTCTACTCTACTCTACTCTCCATCCTATCCTATCCTTCCCTACCCCATTCCATTCTCAATAAAGATTCTATTCTATTCTATTCTATTCTATTCTATTCTATTCTATTCTATTCTATTCTATCCTATCCTATCCTATCCTATCCTATCCTATCCTATCCTTCCTACCCTACCCCATTCCATTCTCAATAAAGATTCTATTTTATTCCATATTTTCTATTCTATTCTATCCTATTCCATATTTTCTATTCTATTCTATTCTATTCTATTCTATTCTATTCTATTCTATTCTGTTCTGTTCTGTTCTGTTCTGTTCTGTTCTGTTCTGTTCTGTTCCATATTTTCTATTCTGTTCTGTTCTATTCTGTTCTATTCTGTCCTATCCTGTCCTGTCCTGTCCTGTCCTGTCCTGTCCTGTCCTATCCTATCCTATCCTATCCTATCCTATCCTATCCTATCCTATCCTATCCTATCCTATCCTATCCTATCCTATCCTGCATTCTATTCTATTCCATTTTATTCCATTCATTTTTTTTCAAGATGGTTCAAATATTTCCCTAGACTTCATTCACTTTGCCCTGGAAATCAGATCAAAGCATTTCTCCTCTGTTAGGTATTAATTAAGTATTGCACACTTTTTACTTAAAATCCACAGCCGGTACAGCACATCAGAAATGGTACAGGGTTGGACTAGACGACCTCCAAGGTCCCTTCCAACTGTCTTATTCCGTATCTATAGCTCACATACTTTTCAGGAAGAAGATCCGGGCCTACCTCTTCAACAAAGCTATCTTTCTGGTCCAGCATTTCCCGCAGAGTCTGGAGGATTTTGATGCAGAGTTTTTCTTCCTTCTCCATTAGCCGTTTTGTATGGTTGATCAACCTTTAAAATAAAACATCAGGCAAAATTATAACTTTCAAACCCAGCGGGCCTCTCCGGATTTATTTCTCTTTGCTCTTTTTCACGTTATATATTCGCAGCTTTTACTCCTACCGTGCAGTTCACAAATGCGGGGGGGGGGGGGGGGGGCTATTGTAAGGAACAAACCTTTGCATTTACACTTAAGCAAAAGAACAACGTATTTTTTCACCATCAAGCAATAGAAGACAACATCTGGCACTGGTGATGTTGGGTTGAGTTGGGTCATGAAATCTTGGCAAGGCAATATCTTATTTCTTTGCAAAGGTAAATAACTGGGAGCAAAGCCAACTCCTTTCTAGAACTGATGATGTTCCCTAGTTGGGTCATGAAACGTCTGCAAGAAAACCACCAAACTCAGAGAGCATGAAGAACCCTACAATCCTCCTCCTCCTCCTCTTCCTCATCTCTCCAAACCCAACTCCCATCTATCACTGATGATGTTACCTAGTTGGGTCAGGAAACATCAGCAAGAAAACGAACAAACTCAGAGAAGACTAAGGATCCTAGAGTCCTTCTCCTCCTCCTCCTCCTCCTCCTCTGCCGTCTCCTCCTCCTCCTCCTCCTCCTCATCTCTGCAAACCCCACGTCCTACTAGCACTGATGATGTTACCTAGTTGGGTCAGGAAACAGCAATAAAACAACCAAACTCAGAGAAGACTAAGGACCCTAGAGTCCTTCCCCCCCCCCTCCTCCTCCTCCTCCTCTTCGTCCTCTTTGCAAAAACCCTCTCCCTTCTAGCACTGATGATGTTTCCTAGTTGGGTCATGAAACGTCTGTAACAAAACCACGAAGCTCAGAGAGCACCAAGGACCCCTCATATCAACCCCGAGCTACAAATATTCCCCTTTATTGGAAATAACTTCGCTCAGAGAGGGAATAAATTACTGTAATAGCTTCCACTTTGGTAAAGGGTATCTTCAGCTTCCAAGGTAAATTACGAGTAACTTTTCCATGTTATGTGAGGATAATGAAGAGAAAAACATGACAAGGAACTTTCCAGAAAGAAAGTCAGCACCGATAAAAGAGAATATTTGTAGCTCAGCGTTATACCCTAGGATCCTTGGTGGTCTCTGAGCTTGGTTGTGTTCCTTGCAGATGTTTCATCACCTGACTAGATGACATCTTCAGTGTTACAAGGGAGTGGAGTTTCGGAGGATGGAGGGGAGGAGGAGAAGGAAGAGAGGAAGAGAAGAAGGAGAAGTGGGGGAGGAAAAGAGGAGGAGGAGGAGGAGCACTGTGGGGTCTCTGAGATTGGTGGTTTTCTTGCAGATGTTTCATGACCCAACTAGGGAACATCATCAGTGCTAGAAGGGAGGGAGGTTTGCAGGGAGGAGGAGGAGGAGGAGGACAAAGAGAAGGAGAAGAAGGAAGAGAAGGAGGAAGAGACAACCTTGGCGCTCTCTGAGCTTGGTGTTTTTCTTGCAGACTTTTAATCTTCCAGTTAAGCAATGTTTTCTAGCTAGCACTGATGATCTTCTTCTTCTTCTTCTTCTTCTTCTTCTTCTTCTTCTTCTTCTTCTTCTTCTTCTTCTTCTTCTTCTTCTTCTTCTTCTTCTTCTTCTTCTTCTTCTTCTTCTTCTTCTTCTCCTCCTCTCCTCCTTCTTTCCTCTCCTTTTCCTTTTCCTCCTCCTCCTCCTCCTCCTCTTCTCTTCTCCTCTCCTTTTCTTTTCCTTCTCCTTCTCCTTCTCCTCCTCCTCTTCTTCTTCTTCCTCCTCCTCTCCTCTTCTTCTTCCTCCTCCTCCTCCTCCTCCTCCTTCTAACAACCTCATAATCCCTTGCGGGATGGAGTCTGGGCAACTGAATGGAGTTGAGTGTTTCCTGGCCAGATGCCCTTCCCGTCGCCAATGCGGAGTTTTGTTCAGCAGATACATTCTCAATGTGCCCAGAGAGAGAGAAATATCTGCCTCTACCTAGGGTTCGAACTCACAGACCTCCTGAGGATGTTACCTAGTTGGGTCATGAAACGTCTGGGAGAAAACCGCCAAGCTCAGAGACCCTTCCAAGGACCCCATAGAAACCAAGCCGTCACAGATTGTTCTGGAATAACTTTGCTGAGTCGCTTCAGCCCTTACTTGGACATGAAGGCTCCACATCGAATCCTTGCGTCGCTCCCTTCGGGGAAGAGAAGTTCAGGGCTCCGCAAGACATCCACCAACACGGAAAATTCAGCTTGCATCATAGGATTGAACTGCTCTTCCAAGGAGGCCACCACGTCCTAAGAGAAGGACAATAAAAGGAAGATTCTTGGCGGAGGCGTCTGGACAGCGAAGCTCGTTTTCTGACGAAGAGAGCAGCATGGAGGATCCGTTTTCAACGTTTTCCCATTTCAAGGGAACCGAGTTGACAAAGGGGAAAACAGACCTACAACTTATAGCACCAATAGGTTGTGTGGTTTTCATTCAACAACTCAAAAACACAATGGTCAGTCATCATCTAGACCAGGGATGTCCAAAGTTGCCTCCCTCCCTTCCTCTTTTCCTTCTCCCTTTCTTTCTTCTTTCTTCCCTCCCTTTCCTCCTCCCCCCTCCTCGTCTCTCCTGTCCCTTCCTTCCCTCCCTCCTTCCTCTCGCTCCATCTCGCCCTCCCTTCCTTCACAACTGTTCCTGTCCTTTCTTTCCTCCTTTCCTTCCTTCCTCCTTCCCTTCCTTCCTCCTTTCCTCCCTTCCTCCTTTCCTCCCTTCCTATTTTCCTTCCTTCCTTCCCTCCTTCCTTCCTTCCCTCCCTCCTTCCTCGCTCCATCTCGCCCTCCCTTCCTTCACAACTGTTCCTGTCCTTTCTTTCCTCCTTTCCTTCCTTCCTCCTTCCCTTCCTTCTCCTTTTTCTTCCTTCCTGCCTCCCTCTTTTCCTTCCTTCCTTCCTTCCCTTCCTTCCTTCCTTGACTCCTTCTTTTCCTTTCTCCCTTCCTTTCTTCTTTCTTCCTCCCTCTCTCCTTCCTTCCTTCCTTCCTTTCCTCCCTCCCTCTGTCCCTTCCTTCCTTCCCTTCCTCTCACCCACCCTCCCTCCCTTCCTTCCTGTCCCTTCCTTCCCTCCCTCCTTCCTTCCTTCCTTCCTGTCCCTTCCTCCCTCCGTCTCTCCCTCCCTTCCTTCGTGCCTGTTCCTGTCCTTCCTTCCTGCCTCCCTCCTTTCCTCCCTTCCCTTCCCTCCCTCCCTTCATTCCTTCCTTCCTTCCCTCCCTCTTTTTCTTCCTTCCTTCCTTTCTTCTTTCTTCCCTCCCTCTCTCCTTCCTGCCTTCCCTGCCTTTCCTCCCTCCCTCAGTCTGTCCCTTCCTTCCTTCCTCCTTCCTCCTTCCCTGCCTCTCTCCTTTCTTTCCTTCCTCCTTTCCTCCCTTCCTTTCTCCTTCCCTGCCTCCCTCCTTTTCTTCCTTCCCTCCCCCTTCCTTCCTTCCTTCCCTGCCTCCCTCCCTCCTTCCTTCCTTCCTTCCTTCCTTCCTTCTTTCCTCTCTCCCTCTCTCCCTCCCTCTCTCCTTTCCTCTTCTTCTTTCTTCCCAAAACATATAGATATAAAACAGGGGAAACATGCTGGCTGGGGAATTCTGGGAATTGAAGTCCATAGGTCCTAGAGTTGCCAACTTTGGACACTCCCCGATCTAGACACTGCTTTACCTGAGTATTTGGGGAGCCACTTTTCTGACGTACCTGTAGTTTCTCAATGATGTTCCTATAATCCCACGAAGGTCCTCCAAGGGGCTCTTTAAAGCGGGGGCCGCTCCGAGCGGACATCCGCCAACCCATGGCCGCCCTTTGGATCATGTTGCTGTGGCTCTTCATGAACAGCGTGTTCACCTGGCTATCCAGGTCCACTGGGATGGCAATGCCCCGATTCTTGGCTTTGGAAAAGCAGCATCGGAAACGTCTCAGCGCATGCATCAGTCCACGCGCACAGGCACACAGGAAAGGCATCAAACCACGAGATAAATGCAGACGTGTCGGACATAAAAGGTTACTGATAACGGAACTTTGACTCTTTTGTCCTTTCCTTCCTTCCTTCCTTCCTTCCTTCCTTCCTTCCTTCTTTCTTCTCCTTCTCCCTCCCACTTTTCCTCCTCCCTCTCTTTCTTCTTTCTTCCCTTCCTCCCTTCCTTCCTCTCTTCCTCCCTCCCTCCGTTCCTTCCTCCCTTTCTCCCTCCCTCGCTCCCTTTTTTCCTCCTTCCTCTCTTTCTTCTTTCTTCCCTTCCTCCCTTCCTTCCTCTCTCCCTCCCTCCCTTCCTTCCTCCCTTTCTCCCTCCCTCGCTCCTTTTTTCCTCCTTCCTCTCTTTCTTTCTTCCTTCCTCCTCCCTTCCTCCTTCCTTCCTTTTTTCCTCCTCTCTCCCTCTCTCCTTTTCTTCTTTCTTCCCTTCCTTCTTTCCTCCCTCCCTCCCTTTTTTTCCTCCCTCCCTCCCTCCCTCCCTTTCTTCTTTCTTCCCTTCCTTCCTTCCTCCCTCCCTCCCATTTTTCCTCCCTCCCTCCCTTTCTTCTTTCTTCCCTTCCTCCTCCCCTTCCTCCCTCCTCCCTCCCCCCTCTTTTCCTCCTCCCTCCCTTTCTTCTTTCTTCCCATCCTCCCTCCCTCCCTCCCTTCCTTCCTCCCTCCCTTCCTTTTTTCCTCCTCCCTCCCTTTTTTCTTTCCTCCCCTAGTAGTCCCCAACAACAGTTCATTTAGTGACCATTCGAAGTTACAACAGCACTGAAAAAAGTGACTTGTGACCGTCGTTTCACACTTATGACCATTGCAGCATTTCCATGTTCAAAATTCAGAGTCTTGGCAACTGATTCATACTTATGACGGTTGCAGTGTCCTGGGGTCACTTTATCTCCTTTTGCAACCTTCCGACAAGCAAAGTCGATGGTGAAGCCAGATTCACTTAACAACCATGTTACTAACTTAACAACTGCAGTGATTCGCTTAACGACCGAGGCAAGAAAAGTCGTAAAATGGGACAAAACTCACTTAACCAATGTCTCCCTTAGCAATTTTGGGTTCAACTGTCGTCGTAAGTAGAGGAATGCCTATATGACAGATGTTACACAGAGTATATATATTGGGGGGGGGGGGTTCTCCCACAGAGATTGCCATCTTTTAATTTTTTATGGATTTGGTTACAACATTACCAGAGACTGATTTTTGATTTAACATTCAAATGGATTCCCTGAAAGGAAGAATTTAAAAAAAGGAACCGTTAAAATTACCCACCAACTTCAGCCAAAGTTTTGATGCAAGATTCCACGGAAGATTTCTGAGCGGGATTTGGCCAAGTACAGTTGTAAATCCTAAAGGCAGATTGTAGCAGCTGGATGAAGACCGGTTGATGTGTCTACAAGAAGCAAGACACCAAACACAAATTCATTCACGGAAAGTCGCGTTCGCCCTTTCGGGAAATGGAACACAAATACGTGTGTTATAATCTATTTAACACTCCCTATAGACGAATTCTTCTATTTACAAAGGACTCTCGTGAATACACAGGAAGTCCTTGATTTACAACAATCCGTTTAGTGACTGTTCAAAATTACAAACGGCACTGAAAATAGTGACTTATGACCAGAGATCTAACTCCGGCTAACTTATCTCCGCTAATTTCCCTCGGCTGTTAGTAGTTCAGATTCTCGTAAGGAGTTCAAGCTTGCAATAAATCTTTACACCTATTTGAATTGTCTAAGATGTTCAGCTCCCCAAACACGACAAACCCTCTGAAGTGAACTCAAAGATTCCTTTATTAGGAGCGCCAGCAGCCCCGGCAAAAAGTTTATCTCGCAGGCTGACATGTCCGTCCGTCTGGAAGATGAATAATTGTTTGCCACACCTTTTATCCCCAGAGCTAGAGTGGGCCTAGCAGCGGTGGCGCTTTCATCCCGAGGACCGGCCATAGATTTCCACTGCTCTCCTCTCCTCTGCCTTCTGTGCATCCACAGGCACTGGACCCAGCTGTTCCTCCTCTTCCTCATCAGCCACCGCCAGATCTGGGGGCTGTTGACTCTCCATCTGAGGGGTGACGGATGGCCAGGCTCCTCTGTCTCTCTCTCTCTCTGTCAGCTCCATTCCCTCTTCCCCCTCGGAGCTCCCAGGTTGCCTTGATGCTGGTCCTGACTCCCACACCTCCTCTTCCTCCTCCTCTGATTCGGCTGCTGGAGGGGCCGGTGGCCGACAGGCCACAACACCGGAACTCCTGATTTTCCCGGTGCTTGGAAGCTGAAGCCCCCCCCCAATCTAGACCCCTTCAACCTCCAAGCACCACAAAATGCAGAAAGGGCTCTAAATCAGGGGTCCCCAACCTGTGAACTGTGCCCCACAAGTGAGCCCTGAGGAGTTTCCAACTGGACCGTGGAAACAGCCTGCGAGCACCCCCACTCACTTCCACAAACAGCAGGCGAGCACATGTGCAACATGCTCCATTTCCAGCCGCTTGTGCGAATCATTCCCTTTCCCTCCCCTCCTCACCCCCAGCCAGAAATGTTGGGAAACTCAGACCTTTTGAGTTATTTCTTCATATAGGAAAATTATTTTCCTGACGAAAAGTCTTATCGCAGCGTTAAATAAACGTGACTTGGCACAAAGGCATCTATAAGAGCTGAGGTGGCGCAGTGGTTAGGGTGCAGTACTGCAGCCACTTCAGCTGACTGCTAGTTCAGCAGATCAGCGGATCAAATCTCACCGGCTCAAGGTTGACTCAGCCTTCCATCCTTCCGAGGTGGGTAAAATGAGGACCCAGATTGTTGGGGGCAATAGGCTACTTAGTATACTGTCTTTGGTGTAAGCCGCCCAGAGTCCTCATAGAGTGGGCGGCATAGAAATATGACTAATAAATAAATAAATAAATAAATAAATTATACTGTGGAATCACAGCTAATTGTCTGTCACCAAGGTCTTACCTGCAGGCTGGTGCTGTTGTCTGAAAACGGAGAACTGAAAAAGCCGCTCACAATACTCATTACTGGTTCGGTGACATATTTTTCAAGAGATAAATCGGCATGTTTTCTATCTGTACTGCTGTTACAAACCTATCGGTGGAAAAAGACAGACATGATGTAACACAGACAGACAGACAGACATCAAAGGAGCTACAATTGCCATCCTTTAAATGCCCCAATAGCACCTGTAGCTTTTCTTAATAGCATTTAAACTTTTGAAGCAAAGCAAAAATTGAAAAATAATCTGGTCAGTGAAAATAATTATTTCCTTGCTCTTAATTAAAAAAACCCAACCTCTTCCCTTTTATGACCCTGTAATCTATTAATTCAGCGTAGAGTTAGGACGACTGGATGGAGCTGAGTATTTACTGGCTGGATACCCTTCCCGATGCCTATGCGGAGTTCACAGCAGATATTTTCTCTTTGCACCTGGATAGACAAACATCTGCCGCTACCTAGGATTGAACTCTCAACCTTCTGAGTGGGAGGCAAGCGTCTTCATCTATAGGCCACCGTGCCACTCATCTCTCTATATCTATCTATCTATCTATCTATCTATCTATCTATCTATCTATCTATCTATCTATCTATCTATCTATTTAACCATCTATTCATCCATTTATATCTATCTATCTATCTATCTATCTATCATCTATCTATCATCTATCTATCTATCTATATCTATCATCTATCTAACATCTATCTAACATCTATCTAATATCTATCTATATCTATCTATTTATCTATCATCTATCGTCTATCATCTATCTATCTATCTATCTATCTATCTATCTATCTATCTATCCCTTTAACCATCTATTCATCCATTTATATCTATATCTATCTATCTATTATCATCTATCATCTATCTATCATCTATCTATCTATCATCTATCTAACATCTATCTATCATCTATCTATATCTATCTATCTATCTATATCTATCTCTCATCTATCTATCTCTTATCTATCTATCTATCTATCTATCTATCTATCTATCTATCTATCTATCTATCCCTTTAACCATCTATTCATCCATTTATATCTATCTATCTATCATCTATCTATCATCTATTTATCATCTATCTATCTATCTATCTATCTATCTATCTATCTATCCATCCATCCATCCATCCATCCATCCATCCATCCATCCATCCATCCATCTTTCTATTTTAAAATCAAGTCCACTTCTTGGTTTGAAAATAATTGAAAGTTTCAGTATTTTAAAAATTGCTCAATAAAATTTCTGAAAGACGTCCAAAGGCTTACCCTTGCCATGTCAACCAGAAAATTCTCAAACAGTTTCCAGATATGGTTACTGGTGTATATTTCCTTCATTTCCACTTCGGTGTCCACATAGCAGTGATTGACAAAGTTGACATACGCAATCTTGATCTGGAAGTTCAAAGAAATTGCATTGATGCGAAGAAAACAGGAGCAGGGCCACTGGATTTTCCCACCGCTAGACACATCAAAACCATTCCACGAAACCTTGTCTTACAGCTACAAACTTGTTTTCTATTATTATATTTTGCGTTAATCTAAGGCAACGCTTCCTTTCCAAAAATTTGTTACTTCATTTCTTCATTTAAATGGCATTTGTGACTTGTCCTACCCCGGTTCCCAAACCATGTTACCATTTTTTAAGGGAAATCTGTTTCATTGCTTTAATTAATGGCTTGATTAAGAGCCTTGGTGGCAAGAATGCAGTATTGCAGGCAAAGTCTGTCCACTGTCAGCAGTTCAATCCTGACTGGCTCAAGGTTGACTCAGCCTTCCCTCCTTGCGAGGTGGGTAAAATGAGGACCCAGATTGTTGGGGGCAAGAGGCTGACTCTGTAAACCGCTTAGAGAGGGCTGTGAAGCACTATCATATGAAGCAACATATAAGTGCTATTCCTTCCTTCCTTCCTTCCTTCCTTCCTTCCTTCCTTCCTTCCTTCCTTCCTTCCTTCCTTCTCCTTCCTTCCTTCCTGGTGGCACAATGGTTAGAACGCAGTATTGCAGGCTAACTCACTGTCCACTGCCAGCAGTTCGATCCTGACCGGCTCAAGGTTGACTCAGCCTTCCATCCTTCCGAGGTCAGTAAAATGAGGACCCAGATGGTTGGGGGCAAGAGGCTGACTCTGTAAACCGCTTGCAGAGGGCTGTAAAAGGACTATGAAGCGGTATATAAGTCTAAAGGCTATTGCTAAGTGCTATTATTATTATCTTGATTGAACTCTTTTGCTGTAACTGCTGTAACCCAGAGCAGAAGATCTATTTTTAGTATGTCTACTCAACATGCCATTAAGATTCATATTATTATTCATCTTTTGTTGTAGTCTAAAGGCTGGTGTAGGTAAAACTCAAGTTATTTCAGCAACGGAGCCTGTGGCGCAGCAGACTAAAGCACTGTTATTAACATCTGCTGCTTGCAATTACTGCAAGTTCAAATCTCGCCAGGCTCAAGGTTGACTCAGCCTTCCATCCTTTCTAAGGTAGGTAAATTGAGGACCCAGATTGTGGGGGCAATAAGCTGACTTTGTATAAATATACAAAAGTATGAAGGCTATTGCTTAACGCACTGTAAGCCGCCCTGAGTCTCTGGAGAAGGGCGGCATATAAATCAAATAAAAATAATAATAATAAAAAAAAAAACCATGCAATATTAAAACCTACCTTGTTTTAAGAACATTACCACAGCCTTCAACCTACCTCGGGTATGCAGTCGTCATGCGTCACCACTCTCACGATGTCATCCAAGGGGAGGAGAGAATTACATTTGATCTCGGTGTAGACATTTTTGCCCTCGGTGCAGGCTGCCAGCAGTTCCACCAAGGTGATGTGATACACCAAAGGCCCGCTCTCGTCTACTCGGTCTCGCTCAGAGCACATCATGTGAAGGAGGGTTGGGAAAGAGGCTCTGTCGTTGTAGAACACCAAGGCATCTTCCCCTCCGTTGATCAACTGAAATGAGACCTGGGATTACGGCTCATCCGCAATAATAGGGTCCGAAGGGACTTTAGAGGTCTTCTAGTCCAACCCCCTGAACATGCAGGAGACCCTATACCAGGGGTGGGCTTCAAAATTTTTTAGCAAGGGGTTCTCTGTCCGGTTGCTGGGTGGGCATGGCCATGGTGGGCGTGGCCTAGTCGCCCTTCTGCACTGGAGGGGTGGGGCATTTTTGCCCTCCCCGGGCTCCGGAGGCTTTCCTTGAGCTTCCGGGAGGTAGAAAACGGTCTCCCCAGGCTCCGGAGTCCCTCTGGATACCGGAAACTTCCGGTAGGCCCATCTTTCGCCGTCCACGAGCCTCCATGCGTGCCCTGCACTTACCTGCATCCAAAATGACCCGTGTGGGGACTCCTGGGAGGGGAGGATGGGCGGGGCACCCCAGTTCTGTCCGAACTGCACAGAATCTTAGCTAGAGGTTCTCCCAAACCCCTGCAAACCCCCAGAAGCCCCACCCCTGCCCTATACTATTTCAGACAACCTATCTCCTTGGAACCCGTCCCTGGTGCCCAAAAGTTTGGAGGCCGCTGCCTTAACTTACCTCTGTCATAACCATGTCCTGACATTTCTTGACGTATTTACCATCGGCCTTGACAATGGTGTGCAAAAAACGCAGATATTCAACATGGCGGCCGTGCGTCTCGATGCAGTGGACGAAATGCTGCACGGCCCGCTCGCTAATTTCATTGCACAGATGGTAATTGTTGGTGAAGATGTGCCGCATGGTTTCGGCCTCCAGAAGCTAATTTAAACACCGGGAAGGAAGGGGAAAAAAAAAACTCATTGTACGATAATATCGGTGGTATTTACACGTAATAGATTACCGATTCACAGAGTTGGAAGGGACCTTGTAGGTCATCTAGTCCATCCCCCACACCCAAGCAGGAGACCTTACACCATTTCTGACAGATGGCAGTCCAGTCTCTTCTTGAAAGCCTCCAGTGATGAAGCTCCCACAACTTCTGAAGGCAACTTCTGTTCCATGGGTTGATTGTTCTCACTGTCAGAAAATTCCTCCTTATTTCCAGGTTGAATCTCTCCTTGATCATTTTCCATCCATTGTTCCTTGTCTGGCCTTTGGGTGCCTTGGAAAGTAGCTTGACCCCCTTCCTCCTCTCTGTGGCAGCCCCTCAAATATTGGAAGATGCTATCCTGTCTCCCCTGGTCCTTCTCTTCACTAGACTAGCCATGCCCAGTTCCTGCAACCGTTCATCGTATGTTTTAGCCTCCAGTCCTCTCATCATCGTGGTTGCTCTTCTCTGCACTTTTTCTATAATATTGAGTAACGTCAAGAATGCTAGTCCTACGTGGAGTATCATCTCTCTCTTGTATTTTATTCTTCAAGGTATTCAGTATTTAGTCTTATTCAAAATTCTCCCTGTTTTGAATAAGACCAAATTCTGGCCTTGAAGAGGTTGAATGGAAGCTAATTAGTAGAGAACCTTCCCAGTGGCAGGACAATATCTCCAAATGAGAGTTAAGAAAGCAGACCTACCATTCCATCCTAATCTTTCAAATAAGAAAAGATAGCCTTGAATACCAATAAAGGAGAGTATTTGTAGCTCAGGGTTGAAACAAGGGGTCCTCTCTGAGTTTGGTGGTTTTCTTGCAGGTGTTTCATTACACACAATGCTAGCACTGATGATGTTACCTAGTTTGGTAATAAAATGTCTGGAAGAAAATCACCAAGCTCAGAGAGCACCAAAGACCCCCCCACAGTCATCTTCCTCCTCCTCTTCCTCTTCCTCCTCCTCCTCCTCTCCACAAACCCTACTCCCTTCTAGCACTGATGATGTTACTTAGTTTGGTAATGAAATGTCTGGAAGATAAACCACCAAGCTCAGAGACCACCAAGGCCCCCTCACATCCTTGAATCTTCAGATGCAGAATCATGCAGTCTTTTTGGATACAAATACCGCCCCTTCCAGTGAGAAATTCATCCATGAATTAAATACTGACCCCAGGGGTTAAGAATAGGTTGAGGTGTTTATGGAGAAGTATCTGATTCTGGGGATTCCCGCGACAGAAGTTCTGAAGGAACAGGTGAGCTAAGGTCATGATTTCATTCATCTTTTGGTCAGTCTTCGGTCGTGGTCATTATTTCAATTGTGAGATGAACCAACAAAAGGAAAAAAACAAAGTTAGAAATTAACATTAGTAGAGGCTGTCCCACACATTACGTGTCTGATAATCAGTCAACACAGGTAGAGTCATTGTAAACAATCCATGTTTGTTTCACATGAATGTTTAATTTGAATAAATTACATTCTTGAGGCTAGTCACAAACAAAACACTGAATAAAATAAATATTTTATTCATATGTGTGTGTGTGTGCATGTATGTGTGTATCAGTATCCATATATCTCTACCTCTACCTACCTACGTACCTATGTATCTGTCTGTCTGTCTGTCCGTCCCTCCCTCCCTCCCTCCCTCCCTCCATCCATCCATCAATATCAATATCAAAACTGGGGGGCGCGGGCGGGAACTTTTCAATTTTAGTTCATGATTGCAAGAGTTTGAAAGGGAAAATAGCCTCCCTTAATTAAAAATAATTTTATTTAATTATTTGCATTAATGATAGTTGCCAATTCATTATATACTGTATTACCAGATATATTACGTCCTTACCTTTTCATAGGGTATTTGAAGGAGATCCAACACGACGCTGTGGGCTCCCATATTTTTAAGTAAGCGCTGCTGCTGGTTTCTACATTTTTTATTTTGAATGCAGAGCCCTCGTAATCGGATCAAAATCTGCGGATGGAAAGTAACCCATATTGAACATTTTTCTCCCCCACGAATTAAGCCAAATATACGTGTCCCGGGATAACGTTGCAAGAACCAAGCTGGGTCGGTCAACGGGACCAGAGATTTACTCTTCCGAGTTTTCAGATTTGTGCTGGAACCCATCCTCTCTACTGGAATATGTGCTTTAGGCTATTCTGTAAGTCGTATTTATGCGGTGCCTTCCTATTGGATGATTGGTGTGTTGATGGCTGGTGATTGGCTGTTGTTTACCTGTGCTGCCATGCTCCTACGTTTCTGATAAGCTGGCGGTAAATCAGCACTCCTGTTGATTGACAAAGAAGCCATTTCCAAGCTTCAATCACTTCCCTGGCTGTTTTTGTCCCTGCTTGGCCAACAATCTTAATAGCTGCATGTATGTCCTTGTTCATTGCAATTGTGAGGCCATCAATGAATTTGGGTCTTCTTGTAAAATGAAGAATATTACTATATTGTACAAAAGGTACAATATTACTAGATTATCAACATACCTCCATAACTATATTATAGTTGTTACTCTTGTTGGTATCAATCTGTGGTTTCTTACTGCCATCTTGGACTGGACTCAACATGCTTGAATCCTATAATTTCAAGAAAGAGTCAAAAAGTAAAATGTAAAGCGGTTACTTGTGTTATGATTATCAACTAGGTCTGTATTTGCCTCTGAGGTTTGACTTTATATGTATTTGTGAACTGTTTTTAGCCAGCCAGAATTATTCTTTTAAGAGAGTGGCCATATAAATTGTCTAAATAAAAAAAAAATACATTTGGAAGACTGAATGATAGGGGAGGGGAGGGGAGGGGAGGAAAGGAAAGGAGAGGAGAGAGAAGAGAAGAGGAGGGGAGGGAGGGGAGGGGAGGGGAGGGGAGAGGAGAGGAGAGGAGAGGAGAGGAGAGGAGAGAATAAGAGGAGAGAAGAGGAGAGGGAGGAGAGGAGAGAAGAAGAGGAGAGGAGAGGAGAGGAGAGAATAAGAGGAGAGGAGAGAAGGATAGGATGGGAGCAGTGGGGAGGGGAGTGGAGGAGAGGAGAGAAGGAGAGGAGAGGAGAGGAGAGGAGAGGAGAGGAGAGAATAAGAGGAGAGGAGAGGAGAGAAGGAGAGGATGGGAGGGGTGGGGAGGGGAGTGGAGGAGAGGAGAGGAGAGGAGAGAAGGAGAGGAGAGGAGAGAATAAGAGGAGAGGAGAGAAGGATAGGATGGGAGCAGTGGGGAGGGGAGTGGAGGAGAGGAGAGAAGGAGAGGAGAGGAGAGGAGAGGAGAGGAGAGGAGAGAATAAGAGGAGAGGAGAGGAGAGAAGGATAGGATGGGAGGGGTGGGGAGGGGAGGAGAGGAGAGGAGAGGAGAAGAGAAGAGAAGAGAAGAGAAGGAGGAGGAGAGGAGCAGAGAGAAGAAGAGAAGAGGAGGAGAGGAGAGGAGAGGAGAGGAGAGGAGAGGAGAGGAGAGGAGAGGAGAGGAGAGGATTCTTTATTGGCCAAGTTCAACACACAAGGAATTTGTCTCGAATGATAGTTATAATAAACTTAAGATAATAATACAGTAATAATAATAAAAAGGAACAATGCTTGCAAAACTTTCAAAACCTGGGAAAGTGAAAGCAGGAATGATTTAAAGGATCGAAACCAAAAAGACTCACTTCGATTGGCTCATCACTTCCTTTTGTTTGATTTTCACCCAATATTCCGCTTTCATAATTACTGGTTTTCTGGACCCAAAGTTCTGATTTTTCTACAGTCAGTCTTAGTTGATCAAGGTCAGTTTTAATCTGCTTGTAACTGTCCACGTCTTGGTTAGACACCAACAATTGGACCTGTAAAATATTCGGAATTCAACAAAAACTCAACGGCTTCACATGCAGAGATTTTACCCCGAAGTTCTGTTTATCTGCTTGTGATGTAGCGTTAGAAAATGGCACTTGCTAGTCATAAGGTCACAAAAGGAGGATCATTTGACACTCCAATGGCCATAAATATGAGTCAATTGCCAAATTTCTGAATTTTGATCACATGACCATGTTGCGTGCTGCAACGGTCTTAAATGTGAAAAATGGTTTTAAACATCTTTATAAATCCATATATTTTAATTGTTCTAGTATGAAGTCCCATTTGACGTTATCGAATGCTTTTTGCGCCTCGGTGAATATCAACGCCATCTGTTTTTCATTGGGGACTTCATAGTATTCTATCATATCCAAGATAATCCTAATGTTGTTCCTTATATGCCGTCCGGGAAGAAAACCGTTTTGATCAGTATGAATGAAATTCTCTAAAATTTTCTTTAGTCTGTCCGCCATAGTTGTCATGAAGATTTTACAATTCGAATTTAGTAGGGATATCAGCCTATAATTTTTAATATCAGTCAAAGCGGAATTTTCTTTGGGAATCAATGTGATTGTTGATTCTTTCCACGATAATTTTGTATTATTAATAAAAAAACTTTTAATTTTTTTTTAAAAAAACGTGAAAAATGGTCATAAATCACTTTTTTTCAGTCCCGTTGTAACTTTGAACCGTCACTAAATGAACTGTCGCAAGTTAGGATAGGATAGGATAGGATAATTTTATATCTATACCGTCCCTCTCCCGAAGGACTCGGAGTGGTGTACAGCCAGGTAAAAACACAATACAAATATCACAATTTAAATTTAAAAATTATTAAAAGTATTACATTCAAGGCCAATTAGCTAAAAAACCCCAAAATTTAAGAATTCCGAATTTAAAACTCAATTATTATTAAGTTGAGGACTACCTACTCAGTGAAAGCATTCCTACTATTGGGAGGCTGTGTTACTTGTCTTAGACAAATACTTGTCACTTCTACAGATTCAAAAGAAAGAAACAGGTTTGAAAATGGAAATATTACATGGGAAGGTAACAGCGTCTCATGCGCTTTAGCATATAGTCATGCCGGCCACACGGCAACGGAAATGTCTTCGGACGATGTTGGCTCCCTTGGCTAAGAAAGTCGGACACAACCTGACAGGGGAAAACCTTTATCTTAAAACCAATATTCTTGGTTCGTCATTTAATGACCCCATAATCCCTTGCGGGTGGAGTTGGGGCAACTGAATGGAGCTGAGTGTTTTAATGGCCGGATGCCCTTCTTGTCACCGATGCGGAGTTTTGTTCAGCAGATAGATTCTCATGGTGCCCAGAGAGAGAGAGAGAAATATCAGCCTCTACCTAGGATCGACTCACAGTCCTCCTGATTGTGAGGCGAGAGCTCCACCTCTAGGATTCTGGTGGCCTTACGTACCTGTTTAAATGCTTGCAGCACTTCTGCTCGCTGGCTGAAGTGCTTAAACAAGAGTTGCAGGGCTCCTGAGAGCAAAGGAGGGTAATCGTGCATTATAAGATGAATCAGGACTCGCAAAAACGTCCTTCCTCCTTCATCGTCCAGTTGCACGGCGTTCTTTTCCTTCCTGCAAAAAAAAAAAAAAGGAGAGAGAGAATCTAGTCACAGCAATGCTAAGCCTATTTAGAATCAAGGGCACGTGAAGAGTTAATACCACTTTATAATGCCTTGGTAAGGCCACACTTGGAATACGGCATCCAGTTTTGGTCACCACAATGTAAAAAAGATGTGGAGACTCTAGAAAGAGTGCAGAAAAGAGCAACAAAGAGGATTAGGGGACTCAAGGATAAAACATATGAAGAACGGTTGCAGGAACTGGGTATGTCTAGTTTGATCAAAAGAAGGACTAGAGGAGACATGAGAGCAGTCTTCCAATATCTCAGGGGCTGCCCCAAAGAAGAGGGAGTCAAGCTATTCTTCAAAGCTCCTGATGGTAGGACAAGGAGCAACGGGTGGAAACTAACCAAGGAGAGAAGCAACTTAGAACGAAGGAGAAATTTCCTAAAAGTGAGAACAATTAATCAGTGGAACAATTTGCCTCCAGAAGTTGTGAATGCTCCAACACTGGAAATTTTTAAGCAGATGTTGGATAACCATTTGTCTGAAGTGGTGTAGGTAGCAGTCTAACTTACTATCAGGGGTACTGTATTTAGTGGGTGGCCTTGAGTATTTTTGGTGAAGCAGAAGTCAGTACGGCTTCCAAGCTTCCTAAAAGCCATCAGAAGTTTGCAAAACAGTCTGAAGATTAAAATTTCCAGCACAGAGAAACAGTATTGATACACTGTCCAGAAGAAATATATGTTGTGGCCCGCCAGCTACCAGCAAAGCTGGCGGCAGACTCGGACGATGAGGAGGTTGGGGAAGAACTTGGGCCAGTTCTGGAGTCTGGGGAAGGCTCTGATCGTCACTGAGTTATTTTATTTACCAGCTGAGCTCATTATTTCTGGACTATCAGACTTTCCGTACCTTGCCAAGAATTGTTATCAGAAGCTACTACGCATGTCCATCCACCCACATTCCTTCACACACTCTTTCCTTTGTTCTCTTGCCAGGAGTGCCAGTTGCTGGAAAGCAGCTGGCCCAAATTATTTTCAAAATGTAGCAATTATCTTTCTTAGTTAGTGAGGTGTTTTATTTTCTTTATAACGAATAAATGAGTTTTATTAGAGAACTTTTCTTCGGGTTTTCTTTTCAGAATATTGCAACTTGGAGAAAGCCTCGATCCATCCTCTAATTAATCAGGGTGATTTGTCCCAGAGCCAATGATGGGATTAATCAATGCCCTGACACTGATGGATGCTCTGCGTCAGATGCAGAGATAGAGCCAGGGCCATCTGACATTTCCCAGCCACCAGAGAAGCAGCTGCCTTTGGAGGCTGAGATGAGTGAGGAGGAAGAATAGCTGGTGCCTGTTCCAGATGAACGTATGCGCAGAGCTGTTAGGAGAGGAGAACAACGGAGGACAAGGAGTCGACTCGGGAAACAAAACACACGTGGACGCTGAATGGCCCCTCCCTGGCTGGGGAATAAATAGAAGGAAAAAGGAGTGATGGTCATAGGAGACAACCGTTCGTATTTCTAGAGATTTTGCTCACTGTGTTTCTTGCCTCAGAGACTGCTTGCCAGAACTTAATTTGCAGCCTTTCGGCTGGGACCTCACCGCCGGGCAATTATAGCAAGGAATTGATAAGGTCTGTTACTGCAGTTAACTCCTGGAAGGACTCTTGCCTGGATTTCTCGGTGGGTGAATGCAATTAATTCACAAGAGGTAAATAAAAATAAAGGGTTTTCGGGACAAGGAGTCTGTTTCTTGCTTCTGCTAAAGCTGGGTCAGAACAAGATAAAGATTAATTAAAAGTATTAATTAGGCCTATGAGAGCGAAGACAGCGGAAAGGAGTTGGTCAAGCAAGACAGAGGGCCAAAGATATGGGCTCACCTGCCCGCAAACATGGTTTCTGCTTCTGCAGCGATTTCATCTATATCGGGAACAGCCGCTGAAACAGAAGACGGTGTACAGTCAACACTACAAAAGCCATCATCCTCCTTTCCTAGTTTTGCGCTAGAAGGAAGCGATCAGTGGCAACCGATGTGACACAGAAAAATTCGTACTGGGACTTTTAGGCTCCTACCGTAGGCCGCGTCTGCTTCTCCTCCAGGGTTCCGCCTCCGTGCATTATCCACCAGCTTTTCTCCTTGGCTGGCCCGCCCCCATTCTTTCACCCTGGCCAATGGGCCTCGGCCCCTCAGTCCCAGACCCTTCGCGGTGGCTCATTCACCGAAATGAGAGCGGGGGGGGAAGAAAAAAAAAGAAAGAAAAGAAAGAAAGGGGAGAGAGAGAGAGAGAGAGAGAAAGGAAGGAAGGAAGGAAGGAAGGAAGGAAGGAAGGAAGGAAGGAAGGAGAAAGAAAGAAAGAAAGAAAGAAAGAAAGAAAGAAAGAAAGAAAGAAAGAAAGAAAGAAAGAAAGAAAGAAAGAAAGAAAGAAAGAAAAGGGAAACATGATTGACGTCCACTGTTGGATGCTGGATTGAGTTAAAATGCATCGAAACTCACTTTTAACAAAGTTCTTGTTTAGCAACCAAAATTTTGGGTTCAATTGTGGTCATAAGTCAAGGGCTATCTCTTCCTTCCTCTACATGGCAGCCTTGTTGTAGTAAACTCCTTCCCTTTTCTGGGAATTTTCTTCTCTGTTAGAGGCACCAAAATAACCCAGATGATATATGGTCTCCTGCTGGAGCAGGGGGTTGGACTAGATGACCTCCAGGGTCCCTTCCAGCCTGAAGCTACATCTAGTGCCAGGGTTTGTGGTCCTTCCTTTTTCTCTCCCTCCCACCCTCCCTCCCTCCCTCCATCTCATTCCCCTTCCTTCCTTCCTTCCTTCCTTCCTTCCTTCCTTCCTTCCTTCCTGTCTTTCTCCCTTCCCTCCTTTCCTCCCTCTTTCTTTGTTTGTTACCCCTGGAGGAGAAGCAGGCGCGGCCAACGGTAGGAGCCAAAAAAGTCCTAGACCCGAAAAATTACAGCGATGTTGCTTAAATCCTTGTTTCCTTGATTTACTCTGCACTTACCTGAGGTGAGAGCTGGTGAGTCGGGTGGGGACACTGTGGAATTGTCAACATTTTCATTGTTCTCCCCAAATTCCTTCTTGTAAATAGACAGCATGTAGGATATCCGGTAGTCAAGGCGAACGCTAAGAATAAACTGTAGGACATAGACAAACTTTTGAGCCTCTTTTTTCAGCAGGACATAAAGATCATTTGGGTATGAAGTCAAAGTTGCTACTATGCAGGGGTGGGATTCACCGGTTTGGGCAAACCGAATGCTAATTTTACATCTGCTTCACCGAATCGGTAGTGGCAAGGACTGGCTGGCTCTGCCTATCTCACCCCTCCCCTCCCAGGAGTCTCCACCCAACCCATTTTAGATGCCAGGTAAATACAGGACCCACACGGAGGCTCTGGGAGGGCAAAAAACGGGCCTCCCGGAAGTTCCGGAAGTCTGGAAACAGGTTCGTTTCCAGCCTCCGGAGCCCAGGGGAGGCTATTTTCGCCCTCCCGGAGGCTCAAAAAAAGCCTCCGGAGCCTGGGGAGGGCAAAAACAATCCCCACGGCAGTGGTGCAGGAGGCTGAGTAGGCCATGCCCACCCAACAACTGGGCAGAGAACTGGTTGCTAAAAATTTTGAATCCCACCCCTGCCACTATGGCATTAAAAAATATTGTATCACCGATACAAGAGAACATCCGTAGCTCAGGGTTGAATTGTGAGATCCTTGATGCTCTCTGAGCTCGGTTGGGTTTTTTTTGCAAACGTTTCATTAGCCAACTAGGTAACAAGATCACACCCCCACCAACACTGACAGGGCAAGCCACTAGTATATAAACAGAGGACAAACTGCACTCCCTTCTAGCACTGATGATGTTACCTAAATGGGTCATGAAATGTCTTCAAGAAAACAAGGACCCCCAATGCATTTGTCATTTCAAAAACCAACCCTGTTCATCCTTGAAGATTTGAAAAACAGCCATTATTTCCAGCACTAATCACTAAAAGTCAAATCGTCTGTTGGGTAGCTAAAAGAATTGGGCATAGGAATTCTGATTTTCATTCAGATTGGTATCTGGAGAAGGGACCCTCTCCTACTTCTTCATATATGTTGCCTGGGGTGAAACACAAGGCCACATGAGTAGATTTCAGCTTCCATTTTCACCTCTTTGTATGTATTGTTTGTATGTATGTATGTTTGTATGTACCTCCTTGTATGTATGTTTGTTTGTATGCACTGAGAGCTTATGCACTGGAGACAAATTTCTTATTGTCCAATCAGACTTGGACAATAAAGAATTCTATTCTATTCTATTCTATTCTATTCTATTCTATTCTATTCTATTCTATTCTATTCTATTCCATTCCATTCCATTCCATTCCATTCCATTCCATTCCATATTTTCTATTCTATTCTATTCTATTCTATTCTATTCTATTCTATTCTATTCTATTCTATTCTATTCTATTCTATTCTATTCTATTCTATTCTATTCCATTCCATTCCATTCCATTCCATATTTTCTATTCTATTCTATTCTATTCTATTCTATTCTATTCTATTCTATTCTATTCTATTCTATTCTATTCTATTCTATTCTATTCTATTCTATTCCATTCCATTCCATTCCATTCCATTCCATATTTTCTATTCTATTCTATTCTATTCTATTCTATTCTATTCTATTCTACTCTACTCTACTCTACTCTACTCTACTCTACTCTACTCCTGTCCTGTCCTGTCCTGTCCTGTCCTATCCTATCCTATCCTATCCTATCCTATCCTATCCTATCCTATCCTATCCTATCCTATCCTATCCTATCCTATCCTATCCTATTCTATTCCATTCCATTCCATTCCATATTTTCTGTTCTGTTCTGTTCTGTTCTGTTCTGTTCTGTTCACTGAACTGGGACAAAAAACATTTAACTTTTGCAAAGTGGCTGTTTTGCACACATCCACAGTATGAAGCACCAAGTACTTCAGAAAAATGAAAAGTCGTGCGGTGGCCTAGAGGTGGAGCTCTCGCCTCAAAATCAGGAGGCCGTGAGTTCAATCCTAGGTAGAGGCTGATATTTCTCTCTCTCTGGGCACAATGAGACTATCTGCTGAACAAAACTCCGCATTGGCGAACGGGAGGGCATCCGGCCATTAAATGCTCTGTAATCTCCATTCAGTTGCGCACACTCCACAACTCAAGGGATTATGAGGTCGTTAAATGATAATGACAAGGGTACAGACACAAATGATACATACATACAAGCTTATGCACCGGAGGCAAATTCCTTGTGTGTCCAATCACACTTGGCCAATATTCTATTCCGTTCTGCTCCATTCCGTTCTATTCTATGCCTTGCATTTCATCATTTGCCCCATACTAGCTCCAGAAAATGTCCCTAACTCACAAAGCAGGAGAAGGACGAAGGAAAATGCAAAACTTGTTTTTCCTTTTTTTTTCTACTGAGGGCAAAAATGACCGAAGTAAGCTATATTTTTTTAGTCCTTTTCTCAGAAAGTAAGTAAACGGGGAGGCGGGGGAATCGTTACCTGTAAAATCTCGATAATTTTTAACTTGGTATCCATCACAGTGATATCCTCACTCTCCAAAAGGTTGGCTTGTTTGCTTCGCTGGATAATTGGGGGAATATCAGGTGAAGAGGCAGGAAAGATAGAACCTCTGCTGAGGACCATTTGAGTCATCATCTCTCCCACACCATGAATGGTTCTCATGACATTGTTTCCTGGAAATGACAAAGACAACAAGGGCAACTCTTGACGGGCAATAGAGAGGCTGAGAAGAAGACTCTAGAACCGTGATGGTGAACCTATGGCACGCGTGCCACAGGCGGCATGTGGAGCCATGTCACCTGGCACGCCAGCTCAGCTCCGGCAAGCATGTGCACGCCGGCCAGCTGATTTTGGGGCCTTCTGGGCCCACCAGAAGTAGGGAAACAGGCTGTTTCCTGCCTCCAGAGGACCTCGAGGGGTGGGGTGGTGGGAAAGGCCGGTTTTCCTTTCTCACCTGGCCAGATCCACTCTATGCATCTGGGGAGGGTGAAAACAGCCTTCCCCACCCCCTCGGAGGCCCTCCGGAGGCCCGAAACAGCCCATTTCCCAACTTCCGGTTGAACAGGAAGTGATGTTTTTTGCTGTCCCAGCCTCCAGAGCTTTCTAGGAGTCTCTGGAGGCTGGGGGCAGCAAAAAACATCACTTCCTGTCCAACCGGAAGTTGGGAATGGGCCGCACTGTTATTAACATCTTATTAACATCTGCTGCTTGCAATTACTGCAAGTTCAAATCTCACCAGGCTCAAGGTTGACTCAGCCTTCCATCCTTTCAAAGGTAGGTAAAATGAGGACCCAGATTGTGGGGGCAATAAACTGACTTTGTATAAATATACAAAAGTATGAAGGCTATTGCTTAACGCATTATAAGCCACCCTGAGTCTCCAGAGAAGGGCGGCATGTAAATTAAAGCAAAAAAATAATAATTATGCGACACTGAATTAATGCAGTTGGGAAGAGTTTTAACGGGGAACCAGGTAATTTTAGCATTCACCGTTGAAACAAGTTATGACACAAACGCTAATCTATATCAATCAAGAAGAGCAAAAGTTAAAAGCTTCCCAGTTTTAGATAAAGACGTTTAAAAATTTAGAGACGAAGGCAATTATATTTCAAATTAACGCAGAACAGGTGTTGGAAAAATCTACTACAGTGAAATAGAAATTGCAATTATGGTGGAAAAACCTGGAAATTTTTGCGGAATAAGAATTACCCAAGTGCTAAAAAGCGCTATTCAGCAACTGAAAAATAAAGAGTGGAAAACAAGAATTTCAACTGAGCTCTAGCTGTTTGCAAAATAAGTTGCTCTTCAAAAGCGTTGGATTTAGTAAAAAAAGAGAGAGAATGAGAGACCACAATCTGCTTATGTGACACATACACAAAAAACACAAAGCTTTGATCACACGGCTTCAGCCACCATCTAACTGGGTTTTGTTTGTTTTTTTGCAAAGACCACTATCGAAATATCCCTTATGTGCAAAAGCATGCATCGTATTCAGATTTATAAACAATATATTAAATGTAATGGCAGATAAAAAGTATCCTGAAATCAATTATTCCAAGTTTCTTTTCATTTTCTTTCAACAAATGTTTATTACCTGGGGGAAAAAATATCTTCTTTGAAGCACGGTGATCTAGAAAAGTTTAAGAAACTCTAGTTCGGACAGAACCGTTGCCATTATTTATGGCCGATGTGATTTATTTCATTTTATTTATCATTAAATTTATACGCTGCCCATCTCGCTTATATCCTGCCTGTGTATAATTCAGCAAGTAGCCAAGGCAGCTAAAAAACTTCCATCTACAAATAACCTTATTTTTTTTCTCCAAATAGCTTCCTAGAAATAACCATCTTGTACCATTTCTTTTATTCTTGCATTATTTTATTTGCTCTCTCATGCAAACCCCAAATCCCACAGTCCTCCTTCTCCTCCTCTTTTTATTCTCCTTTTCTCCGTAAACTCCGCTCCCTTCTACGACTGATGATGTTAGCTAGTACGATAAGGAAACATCTGCAAGAAAACAACCAAGCTCAGAGAGCACCAAGGATCCCACAGTCCTCCTCCCCCCTCTTCTTCCTCTTCCCCTTCCTCCTCCTCCTCCTCCTCCTCCTCCTCCTCCTCCTCCTCCTCCTCCTCCTCCTCTTTGCAAACTTCACCCTCTTCTAGGACGGATGATGTTACCTAGCAGGATAAGAAAATGTCTGCAAGAAAACCACCAATTCAGAAAGCACACAGGAGCCCACAGTCTCCTCCTCCTCTTCCTCCTCCTTCTCCTCCTCCTCCTCGCAAACTCTACCCCCTTATAGCACTGATGAAGTTACCTAGTTCGGTCATGAAATGTCTGCAAGAAAACCACCAACTCAGAAAGCACAAAGGAGCCCACAGTCTCCTTCTCCTCCTCCTCTTCCTCCTCCTCCTCCTTGCAAACTCTACCTCCTTATACCACTGATGAAGTTACCTAGTTCGGTCATGAAATGTCTGCAGGAAAACCACCAACACAGGGAGCACCAAGGAGCCCACAGTCTCCTCCTCCTCCTCTTCCCTCTCCAAAACTCATACAAACAAGTTGCTAAGTTCTGCCATTGTTTTCTGCCCTATACAGACGTATTTCTTCGTAAATCATACACATATTTCTTGAACAAGATGAAATCAATAAGTTTTATCAGAGGGCCGCTGATCCTTTTAGCTTTGCGACATAGAGCTTTCCCCCGTTATCATGGCGTGGCATTTCTCCAGATCCAAACATATATGGAAATGGATTGTAAAACGGAAAGAAATACACCCACCCACACCCACACACACACACAAACACGATAAGAGTTTTCTGTGGAGGCTGTTTTCCCCTCTTACCTCCGTCCTGAAATTTGCTTAATCTTTCAAAGTAGGATGACATGGGCACTTGTACAATATCGAGGATAGCCAAAAGCGTTCTGGTCAGCCTGAGGAGTTCACTGAAACTATAAAAACCAAAGTATATGAGATTGCGAGCGAGGTGCACCACCTAAAAAAAAAAAAAAAAAAACAAAGAACAGAAAAATTAAAAAAAAAAAAAAAAGCAAGAAAGAAAGAGAATCTCGACACGACGCTTACGATGAATGGACCGACATAGTTTTGCTCAAGAATTTAATCCAGAATATAGGTAGTCCTTGGTTTACGACCACAACTGAGCCCCAAATTTCTGTGGCTAAGCGAGATGGTGAGGTTTCTCCCAGTGGTGAAATCTGAACTGGTTTGCCACCAGTTCGCTGGCCATGCATGCATGGTGCAGGGGTGGGTGCTAATTTTTTTTACTACCGGTTCTGTGGGCGTGGCTTATTTTGTGGGCGTGGTTTGATGGTCATGTGACAAACAATTATTTAGGATTTAGCAGAGGTACTAGTCTACCAGGCTTTTAACTGCTTGCAGACCATACCGGACTACCCCTTTGTTTTTGGAGCGTTCTGGTTTACCCATTTGTTTATGGACCGCACTGGTCTACCACCACACTGCCTTTTACCACTGATCAGCTGTAGGGCGGCCCTTTGAAGCGCCGTGGCAAGAGTTTAAACAGTTTTTTTCCTTGTAGCCGATCAGCTGGGACTCGGGAGGCAGCAATAGATTGGGGGCGGGGCCAGGCAGAGGTGGTATTTACCGGTTCTCCAGAATACTCAAAATTTCCACTACCGGTTCACAAGAACCGGGGAGAACCGGTAGCAACCCACCATTGGTACGGTATGTGTCAAATGCACTGTGCGAGCGAGCGCAGGCGCAGTACGCACCAAACGTGCGCTTTGCATAGTAAAAGGAGGCTTAACAAGGTAAGTAGAACAGCGAGGAAGGGAACAGCTGTGCCGTGTGATTTACATTTGCAGGATTTCCTGCTTTCTAGAGATTTTAAATCGCGTGGCACAGCTGATCGTTGGAAATATCTGTTCGGAGGAACCGGTAGGTTTTTTTTAACTGTTCGCCCGAACCGGTGCAAACTGGTAGCATTTCATCACTGGTTTCTCCACATTTTATGACTTTTCTTGCCACAGTTAAACAAATCACCGCAGGTGCTAAATTAGCAATATGGTTGCTAAACGAATCTGGCTTCTCCATGGACTTTTTGAAGGTCACCAAAGGGGATCACATGACTCTGCCGATGCCATAAATATAATCCGGTTGCCAAAATTTTGATCACGTGACCGTGGATTTAAGACGTTTTCTGCCAACTATATAGTCACCCAGATACCATCAAATTGAGTCAGAACCTCAACTATAACAGCATGACAGAGCTGGAAGGGACCTCGGAGGTCTTCTAGTCCAACCCCTTGCCCAAGTAGGAGGCCCTCTACCATTCCAGACAAATGGCTGTCCAATCTCTTCTTAAAAACCTCCAGTGTTGGAGCACCCACAATGTCTGGTGGCAAGTCGTTCCACTGGTTTGTTGCCTGCACTTTCTAGAGGGCTCCAGAAGACCGCTGTGCTATTACAGGAATCTTTCTGGCTTGGTTTTTTGTTTTTGTTTTTTTTGGACTTTGTAGTCCCTGCCCAAAACATCCAACATTCCTCATAACTATCCATCTCAGCATTAAAAGAGTCAAATCTGTGTTTTGCTTACGTGGGGCAAATAATGAAACGTTTTAAGCAAAGAAATGAAAATCTCTCTTTCTTCTCCATTTTTTCTCAAATTTTGCTCGAAACTAACAGATTAACAGAGTTGGAAGGGGCCTTGTAGGTCATCTAGTCCAACCCCCCACCCAAGCAGGAGACTCTAGACCCTTTCTGACAGAGGGCAGCCCAGTCTCTTCTTAAAAGCCTCCAGGGATGAAGCTCCCACAACTAATATTTAAAAAGGTAAAGGTTCCCCTTGCACATATGTGCTAGTCATTCCTGACTCTAGGGGGCAGTGCTCATCTCCGTTTCAAAGCCAAAGAGCCAGCGCTGTCCGAAGACGTCTCCGTGGTCATGTGGCCAGCATGACTCAATGCCAAAGGTGCACGGAACGCTGTTCCCTTCCCACCAAAGGTGGTCCCTATTTTTCTACTTGCATTTTTTTACGGGTTTTCGAACTGCTAGGTTGGCAGAAGCTGGAACAAGAAACGGGAGCTCACCCCATTATGCAGCACTCGGGATTCGATCCGCTGAACTGCCGACCTTTCAATCGACAAGTTCAGCATCTGAGCCATTGAGCCACTGCATCCCTTCAAATATTATTTATTATTTATTATTTATTATTTTGAATATTAAATAATCAAATATTAGTCCCTTTAACTAATATTACGTGGCCCCAATATGTCCATTTTTTAGGCTGAATTTCAGCCGTGCCACCTGGGCTCATTTCTCAACCTTACATGGGGGATCTAAAAGCTAGGAGTTGTTCCTGCCCCGGATTATTGTGACAAAATTGTAACCTCAAATGTCAGCTTGTTCTTCTCTTTGTCTCCAAAAGGGAAAGGCTGATTGACAACTTCTTTCAAGTAATCTTCGACAAATTCCATCGTGAAAGCAAATTTCCTCTTCATGTCATTTCGGGATGAATCGGTGAAGGAGTCATACCTGCAAACAGAGAGCATGTTAGGGTGGGAAGTAGGACGCACCGCCATAAATTGCGACGTGCATTTGGTCATTTCGATGAAATCGTAAGTTCCTCTAGATAGAGAGGTGGGATTCAGCCGGTTCGGACGAATCGGTAGTGGCGACCTGCCGGTTGACCTGCCCCCCACCCACCCACCCGCCCGGGCGCAATCCTGTCCTATATCTCTGTGTTTTTGATGCTGCACGCATGTGTGGACGGCATGCGTGAGCAAATTGCCATGTTGTTTGATGTCACATGCATGTGTGGATGGCGTGCGCGAGCAAAGTGCCATGTATTGTGACGGTGCACGCTTGCATGGATGGCGTGACTGCGCTCACACGGTAGCTACAGTATGTGAACCCCATTTCTGTCTAGATACCCCTGATGGGTAACAAATCCTGAGATTAGATTTACCCCATCCCTAATCCTAGGTAGCCCTTGATTTACAACCGAGGCCAAAATTTCTGTTGCTAAGTGAGACCTTTGTTAAGTGAGTTTTGTCCTGTTTTATGACCTTGCTTGACCCCGTTGTTAAGTGAATCTGGCTTCCCTCATTGACTTTGCTTGTCAAATGGTCTCTAAAGGTGATCACATCACCCCAGGACAATGCAACTGTCATAAATACGAATCAGTTGTGAAGTTAGTAAACATGGTTGTTAAGTGAATTGGGCTTCCCCATTGGCTTGTCAGAAGATCGCAAAAGGGGATCATGTGACCCCAGGACACTGTGACCATCATAAATATGAACCAGTTGCCAAGTGTCTGAATTTTGATCACAAGAAGAATGCGGTAAACAACCGTACATGTGAAAAATAGGCATAATTTTCAGTGCCGCTGTAGCTTTGAACCAGGGGTAAAATGCTGCCGGCTGTATCCGGCATGCAGGAACCGGTAGTGCCAACGGTGGGTACTTTGGAGAGCCAGTAACACCAGCAGCGGAGGCTCCGCCCCCCAAAACCGGGATGTCATCATGTCCTGGTTTTGACCATCTGCGCATGCACAGATGATGGCGCGCGTGCTGACAACAGTGGTGCGTGCACATCAGCAAGCCGGTAGGAAAGGTAAGTACATTTCACCCCTGCTTTGAACAGTCACTAAATGAACTGTTGTAAGTCAAGGACTATCGCTACTGTTTGGGAATTTACTAAAAATAAATCCTCCTTCCCATGAGGATTTGTGGATTGGATGGATACGACCTCTGACTGTCAGGATTACATGGTTGCAGAGGTGCTGTGGAGGTCGCAACTCTTAGGTTGTAACGTTTTTTGAGTCCATCGTAACCTGGAACGGTCACTTAGCGATCACTCGTAAGTCGAGAACCACCCGTTATCGTTGAAGGATCCATCTGTCGTTTCTGTTGTGGTCCGCCAGCAGCCTGCGGAGCTGGCAGCGGAGTCGGACAGCGATGAGGCTGAGGAAAAACATGGGCCAGTCCTGGAGGCTGGGGAAGGCCCGGAGGAGGGCTCTGTGTCGGAGGCAGAGATGGGGCCAGGGCCATCAGGGAGTGAGGTGCGGACTCCGGAGCCTCCAGAGGCTGACAGCAGAGAGGCAGAGGAACAGGAGGAGCCTGTTCTTAGTGGACGTATGAGAAGAGCTGCCAGAAGGCAGGAGCAGCTAAAGCAGAGAGGACGACTCAGGAGTAAGGCCAAGAGATGATTGGCCCCTCCCATAAGGCTTAAAAGACCAACAACGGCTCTTGGGCTCTTTGCCGGAAAACAACCGTTGAGAGATTTGCTTCGTGTTTGGATGTATTTCTTTCTTGTCAGCATCTTCTGTTCCTGAACTGTTGCCAAGAAAAGCCTTTGGCAGTTTGCCTAATTAACCCAAGGTCAGAGATAAACTGGAGAATGGTGTTTTGAGGACTTTGCTTTCATTTCATTTGGAATACGCTGAGAATGAGTTAATTCTCAGCTGTTTTAATAAAATCTGTTTGTTTTTTGGAACTGTTTTGCATTTAATATTAACTGTGTGGGCCTGGGTCACAACAGTTTCTGGAAAGGAACTTACTCATGGATAGTAATCTTGGTAGGAATTTCCGTCCACAGCCTGGCGTACTTCACAGGGACCCCCGTCTCTTGAGGGTCTCGGTCGACGTGCATGTGTAGCATTAAGCGACAAAACGACGCCCGCAATTCGTAAGGTAGGCTTTCATCCGACATGCACCGTAAGATCAAATCCACCGACAGCTGGGTGGAAATCTGATTGATAGCCAAATACTGCCGGTCCAAACACATCCTTGCAAAGAGGTTGAGTTGATACCTTAAGGTAAGAAAACTGTATTTATTAGGTATAATATCAGAAAAATTAGATAAGAAAAGTACATATTTAGTATGTCTTAACAGCGGCGAGGATTATCTTCACACATATCGGAAAAGTGAAGAAACACCGCTAAAGAAGAAGGAATAATGGTTTAGGATCGCGTACAGTTTTGTTCTCCCTTTGAGGAAAAATTACCTGTAGTAGGTAAGGACCTCTAAATCAGTTTTGGTGCCCTCCTTGGCTTCCTGAGCAAGATGGCGGATGGCCTTCCCGTGGGGCTCCTTGTTACTGTCGATCCAGTAGAGCCACACCTCTTCTTCTTCCATATCGTCCGAAAGGGAGGAGCAATTCAAGGGGTTGTCCATTTGCATGGAAACCAGCCTTTAAAACAACAACGGACACGATCACTACCAAGGGTTGACTTGACATGAAGGCGCGGCTTAAGAGAAGCGACGGGGAATCATTAAGATGTAGATCTCGGTGGGCTTACTTGGTCTGAATGAGGATGTCGGCGTTTCCGGGACTCAGCATGTATTTACAAATGAGTTCCTGGGTGACTGGAATGGCAGCCGTGTTGGAAACGCAAAGGTCGGAGAGGTAATCCAAGAACCTGGAGGAGGGGCAGAAGTAGCAAGAAGAGAAGATGCTTCAAACTGTGCAAATACAAAGAGATTTATAGAAATACCACTATGATCAATTCATCCATCCATGAAAGGGGATGGATGGATGGATGGATGGATAGATAGATAGATAGATAGAGAGAGAGAGAGAGAGAGAAATAGAGAGACAGCAGATAGGCAGGCAGGCATGTTGATAGATATGAGAGAGGGTGGTAGGAAAATAGGTAGGTGGGGGGATAAAGATAAGAGAGAGAGAAAGAGTGAGAGAGAAATAGAGATAGAATTAGGTATAGAGAGCTAGCAATAGAAAAAGATAGAGATAATAAAAATAGAGATGATAGATAGATAGATAGATAGATAGATAGATAGATAGATAGATAGATGATAGATAGGTACGTAGGTACGTAGGTAGATGATAGAGAGAGAGAGAGAAAGGCAGATAGATATGAGAGAGAGGGGGTAGGAAGATAGATAGGTAGATGGGTAAGTGAATGGATGGATAGATGGATGGATGGGTAAGTAGGTGGATAGATTACAGAGAAAGAAAGAATGAGTGAAATAGAGATAGAATTAGATATAGAGAGATAGCAATAGAGAAAGATAGAGATAATAAAAATAGAAAATAGAGATAGATAGATAGATAGATAGATAGATAGATAGATAGATAGATAGATAGATAGAGGGGTAGGAAGATAGGTAGGTAGGTGGGTAGGTGAATGGATGGATGGATGGATGGTTAGGTAGGTTGATAGAGATAAGAGAGAAAGAAAGAGTGAGAAATAGAGATAGATATAGAGAGAGCAACAGAGAAAGATAGAGATAATAGAAATAGAAGATAGATAGATAGATAGATAGATAGATAGATAGATAGATAGATGATAGATAGATAGATAGATAGATAGATAGATAGATAGATAGATAGATAGATAGATAAATGGTTATTGATATTGATCAGAGAGACAAAGATGGAGGAGAAATACAGAAATACATCTATATCTATACAAATATAGATAGCAATAGAGACATACAGATGATAGAGATAGATAAATAGATGATAGATAGACAGACAGACAGACAGACAGACTATGAGAAAGAGAGAGAGAGAGAGAAAGATAAGAGAGATACAGAATCAGAATGAAAGAAATGCTAGTTTTCTAAAATCAGGAGCTGCTCTTGATATTAGCACTATTTTACAGCAAATATTCACAGCTAAAACGATAACAAATGACATGAATTATATGAGCGGCTTCAAACCTTGGCTCTCGGTTCCTCCTGAGTAAATTCACAAAGGTCTCGATTTCTTTAGCTGTGATATGTTTCTCCAGCAGCTTCCTGTTGTTGTGCAACAAAGCTGTGATCGTATCTTCTGCCAAGATATCATAGCCAATTTGAGACTGCATGATGCAGAAATTGGTAGCAATGTATTCCTGGAAGAAAATCCCAGAACGATCTGTTAAATAGTTTGAAAACAGGAACACTCCCTCTTACTTCCCCAAGTTCCACATTCATTCCATATTATTTTCCTTCCTTGGTGCTCACCAAGCTCAGCTCCAAGGAGTCACCAGAAAGAGAAACCCAGATAAGCATGGATAAACACCAGACAAACAATCCAGCAGAAAACAATATCCGAATCAAGGAACTACTAAGCAGGAAACCACTCTCCCATCAACACTACCAGGGTTGTATATAAGAAGGGAGCAAACTTTACACTCCCTTGTAGATGAAGTTACCAAGTTAGGACATGAAATGTTTGCAAAAAAAATTACCAAACTCAGAGAGCACCAAGGACTCCACAATCCTCCTTCTCTTCCTCCTCTTCCTCTCTCCAAATCCCACCCACTTCTGATGATCTTCCCTAGTTGGGCCATGAAGCATCTGCATGAAGCCTACCAAGTATCAGGGACCCCACAATCCTCCTCCTCTTCCTTCTCCTCCTCCTCCCTGCAAACCACACCCCCTTCTAGCACTGATGATCTTACCCAGTTGGGCTATGAAACGTCTACAAGAAACCCACCAAGCTCAGAGAGGACCAAGGACCCCACAGTTCAACCCTGAGTTACAAATCTTGCGTTCTATTGGTAGGAAAAGACCAACCTGGTTTTTCCTGTAGTCCTGTTGAGAATGGCGGAGGATTCTGTAGCAAAGTCTAAGCATGTATTTGTACGGGGCGTATCTCTGGTCTCCCAAGTCTTCCAATCTCAACATGGCTCCCTCGCCAGCCTTCTCTTTAAATGGGGCTTTCAATATTCCAAAAATCTGTGTCCAAACACAGAGACAGACAGACACAAGCACACCAAGTTAAGTTGCTCGGGAAAGCAGACCAAGGATCTTCTCCTAAGCCTTCATAAGCAAACGAAAAGGCAAATCTTTACCACCCCTGCCAACAGGTCAGGGGTGAAATGCTCCCGGTTCGGACCGGCTCGGGCGAGTAGGTAGCGATGGCGGTGGGCAGTTCGGAGAACCGGTAGCAAAAATCCCTGCCCCCGCCCCCCCCATGCCCCATGCCCATGCTCTGATGAGCCGCGCGATCATCAGAGGCTTTTTTTCTTTTAAATGCCTCTGACGATCCAAGCTCCGACGATCCCAGCTGAGTTGCCTGCCGATCAGGCAACTCAGCTTGGATCGTCAGAGCCATTTAAAAGAAAAAAAGTTTTTTCTTTTAAATGGCTCTGATGATCCAAGCTCTGATGATCCCAGCTGAGTTGCCTGATTGGCAGAGGGTTTTTTAAAAACCCTCTGATGATCAGGCAACTCAGCTGGGATCGTCAGAGCCTTTTGAAAGCATTTTTTTTAACATGGTTTTACATGTAAAAAATGGTTTTAAAAGTTTTTTTTTTAATTGGCCACGCCCACCCAGTCACATTACCCACCACCAGGAAGCCACGCCCACAGAACCGGTAGTAACAAATTTTAGATTTCACCACTGCAACAGGTGCTTCTCAAGTTACAGCCATAATTGAGACTGCCATTGCGGTCATCAGTCATGACGGTCGTAAGTCATTACGGTTATAAGGCGAGTCAACCTGGATCTGATTTTATTACCTTCTTTCTCAACGGACATTAAACAAAAATGGAGGTTGCAGAGAGAAGGTTGGGTGAAAATGGGTAGGAAATGCTGGCTTGTGGTAAAAAAACCATCATAAACCATGATTGTGTGACCACACAGTCATAAATGTGGGTTGATTGCTGGATGCCCAAAATGTAGTCATGTGAATCAGTGGTGAAATCTGAACTTCAAATTTTGGGCTTAGACAACTTAGAACTACGCCAACTTCAGTCTGACCTAAGCATAGTACATAAAATTATCTGCCACAATGACCTTCCTGTCAATGACTACTTCAGCTTCAACCACAACAATACACGAGCAAAACACATTACAAAACCGGGCAGGTGGGCGGAGCCTCGCACCGCGATCGCTACCGGTTCTCCGAACCACCCGCCACAATTGCTACCGGATCGGGCGATCCGGTCTGAGCCGGGAGCATTTCACCCCTGATGTGAATGCAGGAAAGGGGCTGTTGGAACATCGAAACCAGGAGAGATCAAACTTGGATCGATCTCTTTTGTGAGGCTAGTTTAATTTCCTCAAACAATTTTCTCCAGTCTAGAAGCCTCCTTGATATCCTGATACGATATTCGGAATTTCCCTAAATTCACGTCGAAACAGGTTGCAGATTTTTTTTTAAAAAAATGCCTGTCAACCCAGAAGCTGGCCTGGCTGAAGCCATCTTGGAGCTTCAGTGCTGCCACACTAGAGCTGAGGGATTGTGTGTGGGGGAGGGGGGATTCAAGTAGTCAAAACAAAATACTTTCTCTTGGGAACCAAGGACGTCCTCACACCTGGGCGGAGGAAGGCGGAGCGATGTCACCTGACCAGCATACACTGCCTTGATTGGGCCACGTGACTGTTTGTTTGGGATTCAGGGAAAAACTTTCTCTTTTAGTTAGGGGAAAACCGAGGGGCCCTTCACAGTCGGTTTTCACCAGATATGTGTTGTGGCCCGTCAGCGGCCTGTGCAGATTGTAGCTGATTCCAACAACGAGGAGGCTGGTGTGGTGCTGCGCCAGCAGCCTGTGCAACTGGCGCTCGAGTCGGACAGTGAGGAGGCTGGAGAGGATGTGGTGCCAGAGGCAGGGATTCAGCCAGGGCCTTCAGAACCTCCAGAAGCTCCTTTAAGTGAAGAGGACGAAGAGGAGGAGCCTCTTCTCGATGCACCGGCACGCAGAGCTGCCAAAAGGCAGGAGTGGCTCCTCAGGAGGAGATCTCCTTGAGAGTAATGCTTGGGGCTAATTGGCCACTCCCTTAGCCTATTTAAGAAAGAACACCGATTGCAACAAGCTGCAGGAAACAACTTTAGTTCACTCTCCTTCGCGTCTGGATTCTCTGCAAAATTGTTTCTGGGCTTTCTGCCAACTCTAATAAGACTGTGATTACCTTATCTTAAAATTCTGGTAGGCTGTTAAGACAGTTTATTAACAGCCTTTGGTTGATAAAGACTGAGTTATTTGAGTAAAATAAGCTTTGTATAGAGTTTGTGTGTACTGCGTTCTTTGGGGTCCGTAGCTGGGGCAGAACAATATGTGCCAATGTGATATTTTCCAATAAAGCTATTCTTTGAGGAATCCACCAGCCTCGGAGTTTTTGCTGGCAATGGATCTATTACATGGAACCCCGACAATGCCATTCCTTCATATTGTGGGCACCATCAAGGAAAGGATTATATGGCGTCTCTCCTCAGAGAGTGCATTTGTCATCACCCACCTACCTGTTCCAATATATTTTGTTCCCTCATTAATTTCTGCCTCTCTCGATTGGGTCTAATCACCACCACGTCTAAAACCTCTTGGCCATTGTTGTGCAAATCAGCCACAAAGAAAATGAGGTCTTCCAAGAGCTTCGTGACAAACCTAAAATGAAACAAGGATAGGACACTGAACAACAATGAATAATAACAGAAGAACAGAGCTGGAAGGGATCTTGTAGGTCATCTAATCCAACCCCTTCCACCCAAGCAGGAGGCCCTACACCATTTCTGACAGATGGCAGTCCAGTCTCTTCTTGAAAGCCTCCAGTGATGAAGCTCCCACAACTTCTGAAGGCAACTTCTGTTTCATCAGTTGATTGTTCTCATTGTCAGAAAATTCCTCCTTAGTTCTAAGTTGAATCTCTCCTTGATCAGTTTCCATCCATCGCTTCTTGTCCTGCTTTCAGGTACTCTGGAGAATACAGAAGCTCCACGTTGAACATCTCTATCTTCCCTAAGGTCCTCCAGGATTAAAAAAGGCAGGCTTCCAAGCAAGAGACATCTTCTTTGTTTAATATGGAGAGGAAAGCCCTCCATGTATGGTGGCCAAGACTCAGGAAGAATCTGGTCACGCTTTTTCAAAAGGGGAAAGAATACAGAATAACAGAGTTGGAAGGGACCTTGTAGGTCATCTAGTCCAACTTTCCACCCAAGCAGAAAACCCTACACCATTTCTGACAAATGATGGTCCAGTCTCTTCTTGAAAGCCTCCAGGGATGAAGCTCCCACAACTTCCGAAGGCAACTTCTGTTCCATTGATTGATGGTTCTCACTGTCAGAAAGTTCCTCCTCATTTCTAGGTTGAATCTCTCCTTGGTCAGTTTCCATCCATTATTCCTTGTCTGGCCTTCAGGTTATATTCACTTCCACATAAGTTCAACCCGCCTTAAATTCCACACATTCAAATGATGGGAAGTCTTAACATAATTGATCATTGCAAAACATCTGGATTCAAATCCGAAGCCTTTTTCACTTCCAAGCTACACTTAAAGATTCCCAACCCAGATTAAAGCTAGCCAGATATTGCCACCTACTCTGCTCACACAGGACTGTTATTCTAAAACAAAAAAAATTGCAATTATTACCTGACAATACAATTGCATTCTGACAGGAAACCCCCAAACCAAAAAAGGGCAAGAAAGACCACTAACCTCCTTTCGTTTTGAGTTACTGAACCGTTCTCCAAATTTTTTACCGTCGATGCTAAAACCTTGTTGGCATCATTTGCAAAATCCAGGTCTCTGACCTCGGACAGAGGGACAGACACAATGGCGAAGGCCTCTTTGTCTTCCTTCGTCTGACAGGTTCCAATCTAGAGATTGCAGGGGGGGGAAGCAATAAATCAATCCCATAAGTAAATAATAAGTAAACAAAACAAATGTATAACATCTATAATCTATCTATCATCTATCTATCTATCTATCTATCTATCTATCTATCTATCTATCTATCTATCTATCTATCATCTTTTATTTATCAACTATCTATGTCATCTATCTATCATCTATCTTTTATCTATTATCTATCATCCATTTATCATATATTTATCATTTTATCTATCTCATGTATCTTCTCTCTCTCTCTCTCATCTTCTATTTATCATCTAAACTATTTATCAACTATTTATCTGTCTTTTGGATAGGTTTCGGATAGATTTCCATCTATCCCTCTATCCCTCTATTCATCCACCCACCCACCCATCCATCCATCTATGACTGTCTGTCTATCTGTCTGTCATCTATCTATCATCTATCTTTTATCTAACATCTATCTATCATCCATCTATTTATCATATATATCGTTTATCTATCTCATCTATCATTTTCTCTCTCATCTATCTCTCATCTTCTATTTATTATCTAATCTACTTATTACCTATCTGATTGTCCGTCCATCCATCCATCCATCCATCCATCCATCCATCCATGACTGACTGTCTGTCTATCTGTCTGTCATCTATCTATCTATCATCTATCTTTTATCTATCATCTATCATCCATCTATTTATCATATCTATCATTTATCTATCTCATCTATCATTCTCTCTCTCATCTCTCTCTCTTCTTTTATTTATTATCTAATCTATTTATCACCTATCTGATTGTCTGTCCATCTATCCATTCATCCATCCATCTATGACTGTCTGTCTTATCTCTCTGTCATCTATCTATCGTCTATCTATCTTTTATCTATCATCTATCTATCATCCATTTATCATATATATCATTTATCTATCTCATCTATCATTCTCTCTTTCATCTTCTATTTATCATCTAATC